CAGTTGGTTGAGCGACTGCCTCCGGCTCAGGTCATGATCCCGGAGTCCCGGGATCGAGTCCCGCATGGGGCTCCCTGCTCGGCGGGGAGTCTGCTTCTCCCTCTGACCCTCCTCCCTCTCATGCTCTCTGTCTCTCATTCTCTCTCTCTCAAATAAATAAATAAATAAATAAATCTTTAAAAAAAATAAATAAATAAACATGTTAATTTGGGAATTTAAAAAATAATGTTTAAGCATAAGATTAATCTAATATTTCATTATTAAAGATAGGTAAGATCTATTTAATGCTTCTTTGATCTATGCTTCATCCTTGTGCACAATTTTAACACTTCATTAGTTTACTTCCTTTAGCTTTCTACTTACAGTGATTTGAAACAACCTTGGTTTTAGAGTCCTTTGCAAGAAGAACCTCAAGTTATTATTTTTTATGGACTTTTTCTGTTTTACAGACTTTTTCCGAAAAAATTCTGGGTCTTTTTTTTTTTTGTCTTTTAATCACAAAAATTCAGGAGTCTTCTTGAATGTGTACTCTACTTGGCTCCATGATTTAGTTGGTATTTTAAACTGGATCCACACTCAATATAATCATTTGATATACTTCAAACATAATCCAGTCACTTAGGGTAATTGTGCTATAAAATGTCCAAACTTACAGGTCTTTCTTGATATTCTTCAGCAGAAGGTTAGTAGAGACCAGCCGACAAAATTATCATGTAATAAACGGTCAAATATGACTACAGCTGATTTTAGAAATTTTTTTTAATTGTTTATTGTTTTTCTGTTGCCATTCATGTTAGATTTCTTTGAGGTTTTAAACTCATGAAACAAAAAACATGATCATTTTTTGTTTGTCTGATGTAGGCATTTAGCCAGTATTTATTGAACATGTACTATGTGCCAGGCTTTTTTTCTAGCTTCATGGTGTGGAAACAAATAAATAAACATAATATTTTAGGAGAACAAAAATAAAGTAAGGAGAGGGGAGGGAGAGAAGTAACAGGATGTTCAGAGAGAGCCACCCCAAAGAGATGCATCTGAGCAGAGACCTGATAGAAGTGGGAGAGTGAGTGAGTGAGCCTTGCAGACATGGGACAGAGCAGTCCAGGAAGCATTCCTGGAAGAAGTGGCAGCAAATGCCAAGCCCTGAGGCTTCCCATGCTCCAGGGAAAGAAAAGAAGCCTGTGTGACTGGAATAGAGTGATTAATGCTGAGGGGTAGGAAATGAGATCGGAGAGAATAGGAATGATGGTCCCTTAGAGGACCTCTTGGCCATGGGAAGGAGCTTATATTTTCTTCCGGGTGGGATGAAAAGGTATTGGAGGAACCCAGATCAGGAAGTGACACATGATTTGATATATATGTTAAAAGATTACTTATAGTTACTAATTGTATTAGTTTTCTTATGCAGCATAACAAATTGCTACAAATTTAGTGGCTTTTATTTTTTTAAAGATTTTATTTATTTATTTATTCGTTTGTTTATTTATTTTATTTAGAGAGTGTGATCAGGGGGAGGGGCAGATGGAGAGGGAAAGAGAATCTTAAGCAGACTCCCCGTTTAGCACAGAGCCTGACACAGGGGTCCACTAGGGGCTCGATCTCATGACCCAGAGATCACGACCTGAACGGAAATCAAGAGTCAGACGCTTAACCGACTGAGTCACCCAGGTGCCCCAAATTTTGTGGCTTTTAAACACATTTATTATCTCATAGTTTCCATGGGTCAGGAGTCAGAGAGAATGGACTACTTAACTGGGTCTCTGCTCAAGGTCTCATAAGTCTAAAGCCAAGATACTAGCTGGGCTGTATGCTCATGTGCAGCCTAGGGTTTATGCAGCTTGTTGGCAGGATTCACTTCCTTTTGGCAAGACTGACGTCCAGGTCCCTGTCTTTTGTTTATTTGTTTTTGCCATCTTAAATTTTTTCCACTGTGGTAAAAAATATAAAATTGTCCATCTTAACCATTTTTAAGTGTGCAGTTCAGTAGTGTTAAGTGTACTCACACTTGTAAAACAGATCCCCAGAACTTTCCATCTCACAAATCTGAAATTCTGTACCCATTAAACAGCTCCCCCTTTCCCCTCTCCCTGTCTCCTGGTAACGACCATTCTGCTTTCTCTCTCTATGAATTTGGTTACTTTAGCTACCTCATGTAAATGGAATCACACAGCATTTGTCTTTTTGTAACTGGCCTATTACGCGTTTGTCCTTGCTGGCCGTCAGCCTGGGGGCGCTCTCAGATCCTAGCTATATGTACCCCTCTTCCAGCCTAGCAGTGTACTTGTTCAAAGCCAGAAAGAGAATCTCTCACACTTTGAATCTTTCCCTCCATCTCCAGTTTGCTCTGACTGCGCCCTTCTTTAACAGAACATTATCACAGCACAGATTCCCATCACCTTTGTCATATAATGTAACCTAATTAAGGGAATGACCATCCCGTTAAATTCACAGCCTGCCCACCTTTGAGTGGAAGAGATTATACAGGACCTGTACAACCGAGTATGGGAATTTGCCGGGGGCAGGAGGGCATCTCAGAATTCTGCCTACAGGGGTACCTGAGTAGCTCAGTCAGTTAAGCATCTGCCTTCAGCTCAGGTCATGATCCCGGGGTCCTGGGATCGGGGCCGCGTCGGGCTCCCTGCTCAGCGGGGAGCCTGCTTCTCCCTCTACCTCTACTGTTCCCCCTGCTTGTGCGCTTTCTCTCTCTCTCTCTAAAATAAATAAATAAAATCTTTAATAAAAAAAAAAAGACTTCTGCCTACCATGTAGGTGGAGAATGGGTTTGTAGATGGGGGGCAAGAGAAGCTGGAGACCGATTAGAAGGCATTCAAAATGTCTAAGCCATTGCTTCTCAAAATTTAATGTGTATATGAAACTTCTGGGGATCTGGTTAAAATTAGATTCTGACTTAGCAACGTTATGGTGGAGGCCTGATGCTCCCTAACAGTCTCCTAGGTGAGGGCAATGCTTGTGAGATAGCAAGACATAGACTCACAAGGACAGTGGCCTGGGCAAGGCTGGTAACAGTCGCGATGAGAAGTCATCTGATTAAGGATATTATTTGAAGGTAGACCCAAAAGGGCTTGCTGAGAAGGAACCAGAGGCATCGGGATGACTTTTACATTCAGGGGATGACAGAGATCATAGGAGGAGTTTATTTCAGGGCAGAAATCAAGTGTTTAGTGGCGGATATGCCAAATTAGAACCACACAGAGATGATCATGAAATGATGTGGGAAATAGGTTGATTAATCATATGCAGTGTTTCTAGACACTTTACAGTTTTTGTTGCACCATAACCGTGAGACTCTTCCTAAGGGTGCTTGAAATTTATTGCAGTGCATTAAAAAATTTAAGCAATACAAAGGGTCTTCCTGATTCATGCTGCATTCTCTCTGCTTCTCTTGCACTATTAGTGAAACAAGCCGTGTTTTCTTTTCCACAGGCCAGTATTCTTTACAGTGAAATTAACATATCGTTACTCAGATCATTAAAGCTGTTCCTAGAAGTCAAAATATGCACCCCTGGGCAAATTTAAAGCTCACTATATTCCAACACTCTCTAGGAATAGAGCTAGATTTTAAAATAAAATGAGTTTTCAGCACCTATTGATTTTGGTAGATGCCTCACAAGGAGATGAATTACCTAATTTTTCCTGGCTATCTAGGCCATTTCATGGTATGACTAATTATTATTTCATTCCTGAGCTAGATTATGCAAAGTTTGCTTTGTCACATTATGAGAGCTTTTCATGGAAGTCAAAATCTTCTCTGATGCCTTTATCTCAAAAACAAGATGGCATAGACTACGGTTGTATAGAGGATATGTTTACTTATAATTTCCCTAAACATTAACCATGTAAAATCTTGGCTTTACCCATACTCGTTTTCTGTTTTTTTTTTTAAAGATTTTATTTATTTATTTGAGAGAGAGAGAGAGAGAGCACGAGCAGTGGGGAGGGGAGGGGGGAAAGGGAGAAGCAGACTCCCTGCTTAGCCGGGAGCCTGAGGTGGAGCTTGATCCCAGGACCCTGAGATCGTTGACCAGAGCTGAAGGCAGACACTTAACTGACTGAGCCACCCAGGCGCCCCACCCGTACCCATTTTCTAAAAGAAGAGCTTTTGAAAGGGGGATAAGCCGAAAACCGTGCTGCCACCCTGCTCTTTCATGGGATGGCTGGAGACATGTAGAAAAAGAAAAGTTTAAGACTCTTAAATAAAACATACCTGTTCATAGTGTTGCTTGGACTCTAGCTAAGGTCATGTCCAATGACATAAGATTACAAGAGATGGTTCATGGTTTCAGGAGGTGTGAAATAAAGGCAGCACAGAGAAGCTTTGCTTCAAAGAACTGTGCATTCTGTGGAACAGGTGGAAATTCACTTCAGTGTAGGCAAAATCTTTACAGAAAGTCTTGTTTTCTGTTTCTCATTGTTAAGCAATAAAACCTGGTAGGCTTCAAGACCAAAAAAAAAAAAAAAAAGTGAGAGAGAGGAGGAGATATTTCGGGGGGAGAGCATGGTGATTATGTTTTTGTAAGTCAGACCCTGAGCAGATGACAGTTAAACCAGATTATTCAATGGCAGGGGTGACAGAGGTCTGAAGAGAACTAGCCCCATGGAGAATGCTAAAGAAGTCAGAATTTAACACCTGCCATCTGGACGCCTTTCGCTCTGGTACCTGGGCTCGGACTAACTACCTAATAGGGCAGTGAGGCTTTCTGTTGATTTGGAAGAGTCTGATGGCTAAAGCAAAGCCATTGTTGAACCCTGAACTTCATGCGGCTTCTCTATAGGCTTCTTTTTATAGTGTATTACAGGAAAGCCCAGAACCCACACCTACGCACATTTGTTTTATGAACTGATTCAAAGAGGTTCCCATTTTTTCTACTGTTGTATCTATTTTTATGTAACGTATGAACTACTTTATAATATAAAATATAAAACGTAGCTTTTGCATAGTAATTTAAGCAACTAACTTCTTAACTCTTTCCTTTCCCTAGGAGCACTGAATCAAAAAAACTGGGGAAAGAAATATCCAACATGCAGTAGCCCCAAACAGTCTCCTATCAATATTGATGAAGATCTTACCCAAGTCAATGTGAATCTTAAGAAACTTAAATTTCAGGGTTGGGATAAAACGTCTTTGGAAAACACATTCATTCATAACACTGGGAAAACAGGTAAAATGTTTGCATTTTGTTTGTGACTTCAATATGTTTATTGGGCTAAGAGTGTGTTTATATGAGTTTCATTTTATTTTCATTTCCTTCATTTTATTTCATTTCATTTTCTTTGTGTAATGTACTATGAACTGCCTAGAAACTATAGATAGAAGAAACCAAATAGAACCCAGTAAATCAGAAGTTTAGATAACATTTTGAAAATGTGTACAAAAATAAAATGACCGAAGTCATCACATCATGTTCTCCAATAATAGAACAATAATGACGCCTCCACAGAAGACGTGATAAAGATAATGCAGTATACAGCTTATGTCATTTAATAACTCCCATCTCTGGTTAAATCACTTAGTTAATCAGAATTTCCTTTTCTTGGACACTGTATTGGCTCTTGTTTGCTCAGCTTCATGCCATGTTCAATATTGGGATACGAAAAAAGCAATCATCTATAATTAAATTTTAAGAAAAGAAAATAGTAGTATTTCTATATAGAAAGTTTAAAATTATATACTCTCCTTAGGAAGCACTCTCTAACTGCTTTTTTTAAAAGACTGTCTTTTTTTCTAAACATGCAAAATATAACACCATAAAAAATTCTAGTAAACGGTAGAGGGACAAAATAGTTTTCGAAAGTGAACAGCTTTCCTTTTCTGATACTATAGTTTAAACAAAATTATATGTATACCAGGAAGTTATATAATAAAAGCAAATATACTCATAGGAAAAAAATTTTCTAAATTATAATAGTAGCTATGTTGAGTGGTTTTATCAGTAGCGAGTTTTTTCTCTATTTTCGATATTTTGGTAATGCAATTATTTGAATGTAGTAATTTTAAGTCCCACGAGGGTAGGAATTTTTCTGTATCAGTTCCTGATACGTAATAAGCATTAGATGTTTCTTAATTAATGAATAATTAACAAAATTATTATATATTGTAAGATGTTAATTAAATACATAAAAGCATATTGCCCCAAATCATGACATTTTCATTACCAGTTTTGAAGGATGTTACAAAGAAGTAGAGCATGTAACCTCTGCTCTGTTTTTCTTAGTGGAGTATGGTCAAGCACTTGATCTTTAGAGCCATGCTTTTTAAAGGGTCACTACTGGCTCTTTATTTAATTTTTTTAAAGATTTTATTTATTTATTTGACAGAGAGAGACACAGTGAGAGAGGGAACACAAGCAGGGGGAGTGTGAGAGGGAGAAGCAGGCTTCCCGCGGAGCAGGGAGCCCGACGCGGGGCTCGATCCCAGGACTCTGGGACCATGACCTGAGCCGAAGACAGACGCTTAATGACTGAGCCACCCAGGTGCCCCACTATTGGCTCTTTAAAGTGGAACCTTCAGCAAATTATTTAAACTCTCCCTGATTCAGTTTCCTTATCTGTAAAATGGACTCTAATGGTATCTCTTCCTTCATTGTGTGAGGTTCTGTAAAAATCAAATGTTTAGCACGTGTAAAGTACCTTAACACATAGCACATTGTAAGTAATACATGAATGTTGAGCATTATTGCTATTGTGCTTGTTGTTGTTGTTGTTGTTGTTACTAAGGGAAGTTTAGATCTCTAGCTAGCTGGCCAAGATGTTGGATTCAGTCCCTAATGCCAACAGTGGTTTCTGCCTAATGGAACAAAGACTATTTAAATCTGATGGAGACACATTAAAAGGCTCTCAAAAGAAACATTAATCTTCAGACCATTTGTAAGATAGAGTCAAAATGTCTGCTGTGGAACCCAACGAGGAGAGTTTAAGATTCTGAGTTGCCACTCAGGGTGCAAATATCACATGGCTAAACCCCGTCAGTGGGCATGGATTTCCCACCTTCCTTGCCACAGCGTGGGACAAATTCCAGAGCCTGCTGAAGCCTGGGATGATGCTTGCTTGCAGGGATAAGGAGATGGGACGAAAACACCTGCCTGATAAGGAGTAGGAAGGGTTGAAAGTGAGAAGGTGGGGGACACTCCCAAGAGAAGATTTTCTTCTCCATCTTCTGTTCCCTCTCTCTTCACTCTGTGCCCTCACTACCATCAGATGCCTTAGGAAAGCAGAGCTCTGGGGGAATGGCAATCTTAGGACACCAAACGGAACAGGGCAGGTGGACTGGTGGTCTCCTGCTCTTAGAGTCATACAGCAGTCAAGGTCTTTGTTTTAGTTTATATTTGGGGCAATAAGATACATAGAATGTATTTTGTAGAGTTACAAGTTCAGCATCCAAATGGCGCCTTAAGTGTTTTTATTTATTATTATTGTGTTTTTTATTTATCAGATAAATGACTTCCTTTTTAAAATTTTTTATTGTTACGTTAATCACCATACATTAAATTACATCATTAGTTTTTGATGTAGTGTTCCATGATTCATTGTGCATAACACCCAGTGCTCCATGCAGAACATGCCCTCTTTAATACCCATCACCAGGCTAATCCATTCCCCCAACCCCCTTTTAATGTAACTTTGATAGGAGAAAGTGTAGTTGAAATTTGTTATTTTGATTTTCCGAAACACAGATGCAATTTTGTGTTTTTTCTTTAAAGTGGAAATTAATCTCACTAATGACTACCGTCTCAGTGGAGGAGTTTCAGAAGTGGTGTTCAAAGCAAGCAAGATAACTTTCCACTGGGGAAAATGCAATATGTCTTCTGAAGGATCGGAACATAGTTTAGAAGGACAAAAATTTCCACTTGAAGTAAGTCACTGGCTCTGCTGGCTGTTGTTTCATTTTCTAAATCATTGAGATTTTGGGTAGCATATAATTTGATTCATTTATAATCCAATTTTATAATTTATAGTTATATTTTGTTTCTTGGTTAAGGTCTTCCTTCCTCACTAGACTAAGCTCAGTAGCGCCCATACTTGATTTTCCACTCCTGGCAACCCAGAGCGCCACACTGTAGACGTCTGACCAGCCAATGCTGATGAGTAAAAGAATAGATGAAATTCCTTACACAGCTCAGGAGGGGGAAAAAGGGGAAATTTCTTCAATTTACTGGAGAATCAAAGAAATGCAAAATGAAATGGGAACATTTTTCAGCTTTAAAATTGGTTAAAAATATAATTATAATAAATAATGAGTATGCAGTGAAACAAACACTTTCATACATGTCTGGAGAGAGTATAAATTGGTAGTTTCCTTGTTTTTATCCAGAACTTTAAATGTTTCATTCCCAGTGCCCACCATTTCCACTTGTAACAATGTAGTCTAAAAAATAAAGACATGCTCAAAAATGTATGTGCAAAGATTTATTTACAATAATGAAAAGTTGAAAGAAAAGGAAATGATTAAATGGAGGGGCTCCCGGCTGGCTCAGTCAGTAGACCGTGCAACTCTTGATCTCGGGGTTGTGAGATTACTGAAAAATAAAAATATATTTTAAAAATACATTATGATGGACTATTACAGATCTTGTAAAAATCATGTGTTTGAATAATTTATTTACACAAAAAGGTTCATCATAAGATATTAATGGGTTTTTCTTTTTTAAGATATTACTGCTTGTTAACAAAGCAGAATATAAAACAGTATGTGCAGTATCTATATTCTGATTTTGTAAAACATGAAAACTAATTAAATAGTGACTAAGGGCCCAGAATCTGAGTCAAATGGACTAGGTTTGAATACTTACTTCACCATTTAGGTGTTAGTTATCGACATGACATTATACAAATATTTAATTTACCTAAGCTTCCATGGCTCCCTTGTGAAATTGACAGAAGAGTAGTAGCACCTACCTGATGAAGTTATTATGAGGATTAAATGAGAGAAGGAATTACTACTGTCGTAAAAATAATTGAGAGAAACCAAGAAGACATGAATAGTGATTTTCCCTGGGTGATGGCATTTTAGGTACCTTTTCTCCTCTCCTTTAAAATTCCCATACTTTTAAAATTATTTATAATGAAACTGTATTACTTTTATAGTCAAAATAGTTATTGATAATAAAAATAAGATGAGTGAATTACCTGCTATAGGACTAAAAAATTTTAATGTGGATAAGCACATTCTAATTTATAGCTTGTAAATTTACATTTTTCAATATATTAAATATCCCTAAAGAAAAGCGCATTTATCAAATTTGGTTTGTCAAAGAAATAAAAGTCAATTCATTAAACATATACATTGTCACTTTGGAGAGTTTAGCTCTGTCACAATACTACTTATTTAGAGCAAAGAGGAAAATCAAGAAAAACGCTAACAACAAAAAAAGCCCTGAGCCAGCAAAATAAATGGTACAGAATCTGTGCACTAAATCTCAAATATTTTTCTTATTTAAAAAGCCTCTCAAGTTCTCTCAGAGGGATTGTTTGTTGCTTTTCTTTCTTTAAACTCTCTCCATGTAATTGGGCAAGCAGGGAAATTCGGGGATATCCTTGACTTGGTCTTTTTTTTCTGGTCTCCTGCATCCTACAATGAGGTCTTAGTTCTGCCCCTAAATGATGTGGGAGGGCAGAAGAAAGTTCAAACCACCTTTGTCTCTTACTTAGATTGTTAAATGCCCCCCAACTGGTCTCCCCCTCTCTAGTCTTATTCTCCGCCAGACCGCACCCTCTTCCCCCCAGTCCTGCCACCTCCCCACCCCTGTTAGACGAAGCGCATCCAGTGTTCTCTGTTGCTCTCCAGAGCAAAGGGCTGGGACTGCCTCGTGGGCTTCCTGGTGTGGCCCCTGTCTGCCCTTCTGGCTCCGTCTCTTCTTCTCTCCCACATGCTCAGCTGCAATCACAGCCAATTACTTCCCACTTCCCACAGTTCTCCTTCTTTCTTGCCTACTGGCCCTTCCCAAGCCGGCCCCACTGACCTGAACATACATTCATCTCTTCTGCCTTTTCATCGGTCAGTTTGTAAGCTGCTCATCCTTCAGGGGTTAGTTTAGCAATCCTTTCTCTGAAAAGGCGTTTTGACCACCCAAGGCAGGAGCCACTTCCATCCTCTGCCCCACACCTGCGGTTTCTCCAGTCATAGCCCTACCCAAGCATTAGTCTTCACAGAGGCTTTCTGCTCCTCCCTTAATTATTCTTCTAACTAGCTAAATTACCTGCTTTCCAAGCTCATCACATGGGGAGCACCAAATTACAAGTGAGAGTAGGGGCCATTGTCAACAGACACATGGGCTGAAGTAGAAATTAACAAGGAATATAGCCTGGCGGCCAAAGAGGACACTTAGGATAAGGAACTTAACATTCTTCTTGGTATTTTTTAGATAGAAGCAGAAAGTCCTTGAGAGTTTCACCATTAATAGCATGCAGTATGGGGCACCTGGGTGGTGCAGTCGGGTGAGCGCCTGACTCAGTTTTGGCTCTGGTCGTGGTCTCCGGGTTGTGGGATCAAGCCCCAAGTCAGCTTCCACTTTTAGCACAGAGTCTGCTTGGGGCTCTCTCTCCCTCTCCCTCTGCCCCTCCACCCTGCTCTCTCAAATAAATAAATAAATCTTGTATTAAAAAAAAAAAAAAAGAATGCAGTATAATAATGTCCAAAAAAGGTAACTCAGACCATCAAGAAAGGCGTGTCCAATCAAAGAATGAAACCATATTTGAAAGAATGCCAGCAAAATAGTTAAAATAACATTTGATAACTTATTACATTAGATAATTGTTCTCATATATTATTACCTCAGTATTCCCTGGTAATGTCAAAGTGGTCATTTCTGTCCTAGATGTGTCTAACTTTGTATTTCCTTCCTCACTGAAGGATGATAAGTGATAGTAAATGCAGTTGTATGTATGTGTAATTGATGATAAAATATTTTGAAACTATACAGAATATAGAATTATGCAGTTTACAGAGTTTTTCAAATAGTATTCACTGAATTGGTAAATTATTTTATTGTCTCTTTGGTGACTTTTGTGATGTCTTTGTATATAATAAAGCTGTCGTTGTTACATTTCATAGATGCAAATCTACTGCTTTGATGCGGACCGATTTTCAAGTTTTGAGGAAGCAGTAAAAGGAAAAGGGAAGTTAAGAGCTTTATCCATTTTATTTGAGGTAATCATTATACATAGATTTAATGCTAACTTAATTCCTTCTTTAATCACATGATGTGACATATCAAAGCATACTTTTTAACAAATATAAGAGCTCACAAGTGTGATAACTGGTGATCATTTTCGAACAGAACAGTTGGTTGGCTGGTAGGTTTAAAAGGGGACTCTTGCATTCATTAACTGGGTACGTCACTTCTAGCTGGAGCAAACTGTTCGTGAGTGCACAGATTTGCTTATGTGTACATGCAAAGCATCATCAGGATATAGAGCAGAGACTGTGAATCAACATTTTTAAAGTGTACTTTTCTCAGTGGAAAATTTCAAACGTAGCTGTTTTTTGTTTGTTTTATTTGTTTTTATCTTGTGAAAAAAAAAGTATGCATTTGGAGGTTTTTACTTTTGGATACGTAAAATGGAATTCACTGATCTTTTCATTTTATTGAAGAGTTAATCCAATATTTTATCCCATTCTTAGAATGTCATTCTTCTTTAATAGGTTGGAATAGAAGAAAATTTGGATTACAAAGCAATTATTGATGGAGTTGAGAGTGTTAGTCGTTTTGGTAAGCTATTTGGAGAAATCTCTTTCTTCCAGATTTCTATTTTGGATGCATACGAATTTTTATAATATTACAAAAATCAGTTGTTCCAAAAGGAGGAAGGAAAGACCCTTTCAAAGAGAACCCATCTTTTTATACAATTTATACATGTCTCACAAAAGAACTTTTTATCTGAAATTTATTTATATATGTCTCACTAAAGAACATTCTTTCTGAAATTTTTGTCATGTAAAAATCATAAAATGTTAATATAAGTAGGAAGTTGAAGTTTTCTAATTTTATTCTTGAAAATAATCTAATTACATCATGCATTCAAAATGTATTTATTCTGGGGCACCTGGGTGGTTCAGTTGGTTAAGTGTCCGACTCTTGATTTTGGCTCAGGTTATGATTTCAGGTTTTGGGATGGAGCCCCAGGTTGGACTCCATGCTCAGCGAGGAGTCTACTTGGGGTTCTCTCTCTCTCTCTCTCTCTCTCTCTCCCTCTGCCCCTCCCTTGCACTTGCAAACGTGCACTTGTGCTCACACACTCTCTATCTCTAATAAATAAATAGATCTTTAAAAAAATAAAAAATAAAATGTTTTTATCTATTCTGTCTGCATTGTACATTTGTTAAAGACTCTAATTTATAATCTGAAACCAGTTAATTTTATAAAAAATCATATCTTAAAGTGAAAAGAGAATGGTTCCTCAAGTTAAAACTTATTTCCTGGTGGTTTCCTCGACAGGCCCTTTGCTTTACCATTATGACAGGGTATTGGAAGGAGGCCAACACTTAAAAAGAAAAAAAGATGCCGTATGCTTTGATATTGTTCTGCCTGCTAGCTCACGGATCTTGTCATTTGTCACAGCGAATGCTTGTAACAAGATTGGCAAGAGACAGCAAACCTGTTATTATTGTTATTTTATTTTTAGTAGGTATCCACACACACAGTATTAATGCTGCCCTGAGTTATTAATAAAATAAGGATTATTCCTCTCCGGGAAGCTGCAAACTCTTGAAATCAGGAACAAAATTCATATAGATCCTTTTGGGAAGCAAAAGCCAGGCCTAGGATTGATTCATCTTTGTCAATCACATGTGAGGACCTTAACTGACAGAACTTTTCAGAAGTCAGGAATTTGTGAACTCATGCAATGCTGCTTGTATTGGGTTTTTTTGAAAGGTGCAATCAACGCAAGATGAAGTTGTTATCTCCCTCCATCCACTAGATTGCAAAATTCAACACTGAATGCCATAAGCCACACTTAATTTTTCCCTCATTTAGTCAGAAAGTGGATTCTATCAAGACTGAAAGAAGGCAGCTGGCTTGAATTCCTACACTGAAACTTGTGTAAAATACGAAGTCTGAATGTTCCGGGGCCTGGCATCAGCCTGTGGGGCCAACAAGAGTGGTGTAAACACTGACCTGTTGGTCCTGACTTGGGTCACTGTGGCATTTTGGCCACTTCTTCCTGAGGTTTCTTCATTTATTTCCGGGGCTCTCTAGAAGGGTCATATGAGGGTCGTATGAGTTTAAGAACCACTTTGCTCATGTTCTTTGGCTAAAGTTTACTTTTTAACATTCACTATCTGCAAGCCATTGAGGGAGGCGCTTCATCAGAGCCCTTGCTGCCACATAACAACCTCCCTGAGAATCTAGATTGCCAACAACACGATTCTGCCCCTATCCCGGCTCTCCATTTGGAAGCAGAACTTACAGTCTCTCGGACTGCCTGGGAACACATCCTCATCTGCCCGCCATTACTGTTTCCTGTCTCTCTATCCTGCTGCTTGCGCACCAACTTCTTCCCTCTTCTTTTACCAGAAAATAGAATAATTCTCCATGTGTATCAGCTCACCCACTAGATACTTAATATTTCAATATATTCGAGAAGGACACCTGAGCTTTTACCATTGGTAAGTAGTAATAGAGCTAGGATCTAGCTCCTAGTCTGTCCAGAGTTTGTTCTGCCACACTGTGGAGACGTGTATTAGTGGTAAGTGTCAGTTTGATTTGAATTGGTTCTTAGACAGGATCCGTACAGACTAAATAAGTTAAGCCCTCCTAAAGGTAAATGTTTCTATTTTGACAGTTCTTAGACTAAATCTATTTCAGAGTCTAGAAAATCCCCTAGTGCCCAATAAACTGAAGGCTTCCCAGTATTAGCCCTCAGCCATTGCTGGTGGGAACCGAGACGACGGAAGGCAGGGCTTCTCTGTAGACAGATGCCGGAACTGCAGCGGAACTCCCGAATCCTGCTGCATATTCTCCATCTAATGTGAGTTGTTCAACAAACCACACTTAGAACCATCATCAAGATTATAAAATTTATCTTATTCCAATGTGGGCTGATTACTCATTTCCTATGTTCCTCTCCAAAAGACAAACCCATTTCCCGTTCCTTCCCTCACTCTTACCTTTCTTTCTTTCCCTTCCTTCCTCCATACCTGCTCTGTGTTAGGCACTTCCTACCCTTGGAGTGGAGAGAGAGAGGGTGAGGTTGCATCTATACAAAGATAGCATATTAATATTCCACAAGCAGAGTCCACAAAAAAAGAGAACTTTTGGTTGAACTCTTTCAAGTTGCAAAGGAAGAGACACACCCCAGGTAACATCATCAGTGATTCTCAAATGGGATTTGTCATTAGAACGGTTTCTGGTGTTAATCTTAATCACAAATTCAGCCCAGGAATTTGTATATTGGAAAGTCCTCGCAGACCATTTTGACATGGCACCATCTTAAATTTTACTGTCCTAAGTAGTAAGAGTTGGTTTTTTAAAAACATTTTTAAATTTAAATTCAATTAATTAACCTATAACGTATTACTGGTTTCAGAGGTACAGGTCTGTGATTCATCAGTCTTATATAATACCCAGTGCTCATTACAACACATACCCTCCTTAATGTCCATCACCCACTTACCCCATCCCTCCACTCCTCTCCCCTCCAGCAACCCTCAGTTTGTTTCCTATGATTGAGTCTCTTATACTTCGTCTCCCTCTCTGGTTTCGTCTTGTTTTATTTTTTCCTCTCTTCCCCTATGCTCCTCTGTTTTGTTTCTTAAATTCCACAGTAAGAGTTGGTTTTAAGTATTTAGTGGCTCTTCCCTAGTGCTTGACCCTATTGTGGTCTTTATCTCTCTCCCTACTCGTCTTCCCCCACCTGCTCTCAACCTCCTATAAAAGGGAGCAGCAGATTGATTGGTTAGTCACCAACATATGTTCAAATGAAGAGTGATTGAATGATCATAAATACAGCAGCACTGACTCAGGTGTGATTCTCACCTGTGTTCACAGTAGTGAGGTGATTCAGATGAAGCAAATGTTTTTGCTAGACATATATTCAAAAAATCACCTTATTCCTATTTTCTCAAAAGACAGTGGTCTAATTGAAAAGCTCTACTGTAATTGAAAAGTCTTGTGTTATCCAAGACAAAAATTTAGGACATATATGTAAATAACATTTTTAAAATAAGGCACAAAACAGTTAGCATTTTAAGAAAGTTCTCCATTTCACCATCCCTATTCAGATCTCACCTCTTTTCTTCCTTTTCTGGCCTTTAGCTTTCTTGGTGTCATTTCATTTCCCGCCTAATTTAGCAGTGAGTCAATGTTTGGCTCCTTAATTAGTATTCTCCAAATTCACGTTTCCACAGAACATTTTTAAGATAAATTTCGTCTCCAGCAGAAAAAAGAAACAATTGTAGCACATTGATAAGATTAAGAAGGAGGTTTGTTAGGGGCGCCTGGGTAGTTCCGTCATTAGGCGTCTCCCTTCGGCTCAGGTCATGATCCCAGGGTCCTGGGATCGAGCCCCGCATCGGGCTCCCTGCTCCGTGGGAAGCCTGCTTCTCCCTCTCCCACTCCCGCTGCTTGTGTTCCCTCTCTCTCGCCGTGTCTCTCTCTGTCAAATAAATAAATAAAATCTTAAAAAAAAAAAAAAGAAAGGTTATTTAATCAACATTTTTCTGTTTTCCTCTAAAATCTTTATTATTCTGTTCACATGTAGATCTACATCTATTTAAAACTCATTGTGCTTACCTTGTGAAGTAGGGAATCATGATTCATTTTTTTCCATAGGAAACCAATTGATATAGCACTGTTTACTGAAAAGGCCATCCATTCCAACTACATAGTAATTTCTCCTGTCCTAAATCAAGAGTATGGGTCTGGGTTCTCTATTCTTTTTCATTATTCTCTTTGTCTGTCTTTGCGTGAATATTTCACTATCATGATATCCATAGTTTTATATAATGGGTCTTTCTACCTGATAATGAAGGTTCTCAGTAACTTTGTTATTGCTCAAGATTACCTTAACTTTTCTTTTCATTTCCATTTAAATTTTAAAATCAGCATCTCAGTAAATACACACACATACACACGTGTGCAAAAGCTTCTGGGATTTTGATAAGATTTGTTGACTCCATAAATCAATTTGGGGACAATCAACACCTTCACAATACTAAATCTTCCAAACCATGAACTTGATATTTCCCATCATTTTAAGATTTTATCTATTACTTTCAAGAAAGTTTTGTAATTTTCAATATAGATGTTGTACATATCATTTGTTAGATTTACTTGTATTTGATATTTTGTTGTTTTGAGTTATATTGCTTTAAATTTCATTTTCTATTGCTTGATATTGGTACATAGAAATATAATTAATTTTGGTATATTGGTCTCATGAACAGTGACTTTACTAAATACACTTATTAATTCTAAGCCTGTAAATTCTTTTCAGTATTTTACATACACAATCATGTATTTGCAAAGTATGATGGTATCATTTCTTCATATCCAATCTTTATGACTTTTTTCTTTTTCTTACTTTATTGCACTGGCCCAGCCCTCCAGTTCAGTGTTAATTAGAAATGGTGATAGCAGGATTTTTTTGTCTCATCCTTTATCTCTAGGGGTAAAGCTTGCCCAATAAGTCATTCTTAAATACAATGTTAATTACAGGCTTCTGAAGATAATCTTCACCAGAATAAGGTTTTCTTTTTGTTTTCCACAAACTGGCATTAAGTCTTCTAAAATGGTTTCACTGTATCTATTAAGATGGTTATATGATTTCTGAATATCTTTTATATGTAAAATAATCTCTCCAGCATCTTGCTAGTGTAAAGTTGAAACATTTAACCCTATGTAGTGATACATGTAAGGAAATTCAGAATATGTTGGTTTTATCACCATTTTTGAAATATATCTAAAATATTCTTAAAATTTCATTTATTAAATTTATAACAAACCAAATGTCTCTGTTTTGTAGAAGCTTTGAACTGCTGAGTTCCAGTATTGAGATTCCAACTGAGATATATTTTGTTACTTTGTAGGGAAACAAGCTGCATTGGATCCCTTCATACTGCTGAACCTTCTGCCAAACTCAACTGACAAGTATTACACTTACAATGGCTCATTGACGTCTCCTCCCTGCACAGACACTGTTGACTGGATTATTTTTAAAGATACAGTTAGCATCTCTGAAAGCCAGGTAATCTTGGAAATTCAAACAAAAGCAGTAATTTGAAGTAATTAAAAATAATTATTTTCTAAGCTTTACTACTAAATATCTATTTTAAAGCATTTACAGATGCCTTTGAAGCAGATATGCTAAATTGTATGTTAAATGATCTTTTTTCCAGTTGGCTGTTTTTTGTGAAGTTCTTACAATGCAACAGTCTGGTTATGTCATGCTGATGGACTACTTACAAAATAATTTTCGAGAACAACAATACAAGTTCTCTAGGCAGGTGTTTTCCTCATATACTGGAAAGGAAGAGATTCATGCAGCAGGTGTGTATTGAAATATAATTTTTTACTACTTTTATAGGTTCAATGTTATAGGAGTTAATTGTGGAATAATGGAAAATACACAACACTAAGATTTTTTTAAATATTTGATGATTAGCTTTATAGCTTTAGATAAGCTATTTAACTTCTCTGAATCTCAGTTACCACATTTATAAAATAACATTTAAAAACAGCTGTTCTGGGGTACGTGGCTGGCTCGGTCGGTTAAGCGTCTGCCTTCAGCTCAGGTCATGATCTCAGGGTCATAAGATTGAGCCCAATGTCGGGCTCTGCACTCAGCGTGGAGTCTGCTTGAGATCTTCTCTCTCTCTCTCTCTCTCTCAAAATAAATAAAATCTTCTAAATAAATAAATAAATAAAAATTGCTGTTCTTCCCCACACAAATAACCGCATCTTGCAAATGAAAAATACTGAGATTCAGTAAGGAAAGTGATTTTTTTTTTTAAACACACAGTAATAGATGGCAAAGCCACATAGACAAACTTCCAAATTCACTTTATGGTGTTTGTGCTAAGAGCTCTAGGAAATGAATGACTAATGGGCTGAGGTGTGCAGAGCTTGGGGAGATCACTTCCGGTTGGGGTGGTCAAGAGCCTCTCCGATAGAACGACATTTGAGTTGAGTCTTGGTGCGTGGTTGGGGTTTTAAAGTGCTCACCTTTGTGTTGGCAGCTCTGAGTGGAGAGCATAGCACGCAGTAGGGATTGAAAGCAAATGCACTGAATTATTAATGAATAAAAAGGGAGTCTTTCCTCCAGTTTCCTTCTTTGGGGGAAAAGAAGTTTGTTAGGCCCAAGCAACGGAAGAACCCCAGGGGCAAGTTTCTGCAGTGCCCTCTGTGTATTTTGAAGTTGACCCACAGTCAGAAGCCTTTGAAAATGTCCGGAGGACACAATCAGGTGCATCTACTGACTTTTCCTTTTCAGTTTACACTGATAGTGGACTGGCTGATGAAAGAAATAGGTGAAGTGGCCTTTGCTTTGAGGACTTAAAACATTTCCAAGTACATGGCCTTCTTTGATCTCAGCTGTACAATGAATTTTTGGCCATCTATAATATTTATCTAATAATCATCTGCTTTTGAAGAGTAGCATTAAAACAGCATGTTTTTATTATTTTAATGTAATGTTTGTGAGAATTACTTCTCCTTTAACAACAACAACAACAAAATAGAGCACAAGACAACAGTGATGAAGAGCTACATTTAACATGACCATAAATTTCTAATTGAATTGCCCCAAAGTGAGGAAATTTCATTATATTTCTACCAGCAATACTAAATACTATAACATTCTGTCTGGTAAATAATAGACAACTGATTAGAAAAAAAAAAAAAAAACCAAACACTACATTTAAGCATCTCCTTTTAGAAAATACAATAGATCAAATAACAAATGAAATAAATTCGATTTTTATTTGCTACGTACTTTTGTCAGTTGTATTTTATTAAAACCTTTCAGTGGCTTTCCATTGCCTTTAGAATAAAATCCAAACCATTCATCATTGCATGGTCCTGTTTAGCACGTACTAGCCTTAGCATTTATTCTTTGCCATTAGCTTCCTTCTCTTGTGCTGACCGAACTCTTTGATGTCCCCTGAAGATGGAAGACCACGTTCTCCCACATTACATATTACATGCTATTTCCTTACCATGGTATATTCTTCCCTCTGTCTTCACTTGCTTGCCTCCTCCTCATTCTTCAAGACTCACACAGACTTTGCATCCACTGGGGAGCCATCTTTGAGTCTATCTCCATCCTCATCAAGTCTGGCTGTGTCCGGGGCATGGGACTCTGCACTCGTGAAGGTGCCAGGCCCACAGAGTACAAAATCAGTGATGCTCATCTGGAGTCGTGTCGTGTCCTGTGCATCCAAAGTGCACAGCAGTTGCCACAGATGACAATTGTCTGTTCACTTATTTGTCTCCCCCACTGGACACTGAGACCCATGAGAGAAGTAACTAAGTCTTTATCTCCATTACTGGGCTAACATAAAGCTCTCATTCACCAAATACTCCCTGAATGACAGAAAGAATCCATTTTCATATAATAAAAACATAGCAGGGGTGCCTGGGTGGCTCAGTGGGTAGGGCATGCAACTCTTAATCTCAGGGACTTGAGTTCAAGGCCCAGGTTGGGCATGGAACCTACCTTAAAAAAAAAAATGGCACTGGCTTTTTTCACAAACTGGAACGATTGGATTCTTAGTTTTTCCATCATGAGTATTTGTATTCGACAAGTCTTTATTATCATTTGCCATGGGCATATTCCTGTGATGGTTTTCTTCTTAATGGACACATTATCCCCCTTCTACTTTCTGGTGAATTTGAGAATAAAAATTGAGGATTGCATTTATGTCCATGATTTAATCTTTATTAAATTGAATCTGAAAATAAGTTTTTTTACATGAACATTATTAAAAGGCAGGAAACACAGATAAACACACAGAAAAAATGAAAATTCCCTATAATGTCACCACCCAGAGATAACCGTTAGGAAGATTTTGGTGAATATCCTTCCAGGACTTTTTCTTAAATTAAAAATATATTCTTATATCTCACAAAAATGAGACTACAGTACATATATGTTTGTTGATTTTATTTTACTCGATGATACAAATATATTGTTAATGCACCATTCTTAATTTTTTGCAGTATTCCATTGTATAGTCATAACAATTTACTAAACCAGTTCCTCAATTTTGGATACTCAGGTTATATTTATATATTTTGATATTGTAGATATCTAACATCTTCATTTTGACCAAGAGAGAGGGGGTGGCATGAAAATTGTCAGAATTCAGCTTTCAGGAGATGCACTGTGGAAAAATATATTTGCAAAACACATTGCAAATAATTGCAAAAACCATGTGAGGTCTGTATATCTATGTAAACTCCTTGAGGGTAGAGATTAACCCTTATTCATTTTTGTATTCATAGCAGGAACTCAATAAGCGTTTGTGAATGAATGCGTATTTTACCAGAACATCAGTCCTCTATTTTTGCATTTTTATGTAGAGCTGCCATTTACTAGAGACATTTCTCTTTGGCATCGTGGAATGGACACAGAATTTAATAGAACTTTGAAGGAGCTAGTAAAAACTGTCTTTTAGATAATGAGAAACATGTGTGACTCACCATGCAAACACAGCATGAGTAAAATCAGTGAAGTTCAACATCATCCCATAACTTCCAGGCACCAGACGCTTTCCTGCTGCCTTCTTAGCAAGACTCTCCCCCTAAGAAGCAGGGACCTCCTGAGGCACAGTGGGGAAAAGCTTGGGCTTTGAAGTCCAGTAGGCTTCTGGTATCAAGCCTTGCTGCCAGTACTTATTAGTTAAATAAAAATTGTCAAGTTACAGGGCGCCTGGGTGGCTCAGTTGGTTAAGCATCCGACTCTTGATGTTGGCTCTGGTCTTGATCTCTGGGTCATGAGATTGAGCCCTGCTTCGGGATCAGCGCTCAGAGGGGAGTCTGCTTAAGACCTCTCCCTCTCCCACTGCCCCTCCCCCTGCTCACGTGTGCTCTCTCTCACTCTCTCTCTCAAATAAATAAAGTCTTAAAAAATTGTCAAGTTACTTCACCTATAAAATTAGAGGTCAAAGGCCACCTTGTTGTGAGGTTTAAATGGGCTAAAGTTTGCAAAGCAGTATAGTCCCCTGAACATAACGTGTCCCAGACTTACAGCTGCTATTAATATAATGTGTGTATCTACACACTCGTGTGTGTGTGTGTGCACATACATATGGGAGCAAGCTATCACAAGTATGGGGTGCTATTCAAGTTTTCCATGTTTAAGGCTTTTTTTGTTGAATAAAATCATAAAAGCACTTCAGATCTCATTTGCTAGCATTGCAATATATTCAATGCAAACTTTTTTAAAAATTTTATTTATTCATTTACTTGAAATAGAGTGAGAGAGAGAGAGCACAAGCAGGGCAGATGGGCAGAGGGAGAGGGAGAAGCAGGCTCCCTGCTCGGCGGGGAGCCTGACGTGGGGCTCGATCCCAGGACTGTGGGATCATGACCCTAGCTGAAGGCAGATGCTTAACTGACTGAGACACCCAGGTGCCCCCAATGCAAACTTTCTTTAAAAAAAATACAATATAAAATGCTTTTCAAGGCAGGTTTGCATGAAAGATTGTCCCTATAGCCTAATATTGTATTTGAGCTGTGAGAAATTTTCTGTACTTTCCTGAAAAATGTCATGATGAATTAAACATCAGTAGACTCACCTTCTTGAAGGTCAGTAGTTTTAAATAGCATTCATTAAGGTCACGTGTACATAACGCTATGCGCCAACTATACGCAGAAAAGTGACCTGGAGATTATTTACTTCTTAGAAGGTTATATATTTTGTTGATGAAGTTACAGTGTGTCCCTAGAAAAGATTGACTGAATTAGGTAGAATCTGAAAGATTCCTTTTGGCTACTTATCTGAAGTGAGTAATGGAGTCCTTTCGAGCTACAAATCAGGGGCAGATCATTCCTAGTTACTGTATTTAACATTTGTGGCAATGTTTACATGTAGTTTTATTAAGACCTGCTGCTCCCTGAGGGGAAATCACGACCTTAATACTGGTTGTCTTCTGGGTCTGTAAATCTTCAAGTTCTTCACAACAATGTCATCAAAACACCTGTCTCCATATTTTTTGAAGTGAGGCTCGTCAGCCTCGGAGGAGGATGTGATGGATTTATCAGTGTGTATCACAAAGTACTTCTGTCACAGGCTGTGCTAAACTGCACCAAACTTCAGCTCCCTGGGAAATAACTGGGTAAGATCTAGTGACATCTTAGGTAATTGTGACATTTTCTCTGCCACTCCCCAAGAATCACCATTTTGTCTTTTTACCTGTACCCACAGTTTTACCCCTAGTCCATGGAGCTAAGGCTGGACCTTCTCCCTCAGGGTGTCTCTCCTTCTTCCAAGCCAGGCACATAGAACAGCAAACGTGGAAGGAGACTCAAATCTCCCTTGGCCATCTGCATCAACATCTGTGCTTCGCTGAGAGACTTGTCACAGCCAGAGTTGTCATGCCCTCTTCATTTGTATTTCTCCGTCTTTGTTTATTTTCCTTTTTTCCCACTTTTCCCCTTTAACACCCAGTGCTTCACTCTTTGGTACTTGCTCTGCAAGTCGTGCGCATTCCTCTGTGTGAGGCATTCACTCTTCATTTGAGAAAATACATGACTTTGTATCAGCTGCAAGTTTGTGAAACCTTCACAACTTTAATTGGGAAAAACGTGTAATTTTGAAAGCACAACCTAACTTGGTCTCAATGGCATATTTTCTAAAAGTTTATTTTGCATTCATAATGTAAAGGGTTTGGGACATAGACCCTTTATTTTAATAGATTACTAAATTTAAATGTTAGCAGCTATCATAGGAATAAGCTTCCTAAAGGCAAGAACAGCACCATCTTTTTTTTCTTTAAGATTTTATTTATTTATTATTTATTTATTATTTGACAGAGTGAGAGAGCACAAGCAGGAGGGGGGTGAGGGAGCAGCAGAGGGAGAGGGAGAAGCTGGCTTCCTGCCGAGCAGGGAGCCCGATATGCGGCTCGATCCCAGGACCCTGGGATCATGACCTGAGCCGAAGGCAGAAGCTTAACCGACTGAGCCACCCAGGCGCCCCAAACAGCACCATCTTAATTTGTATGTCCAGAGTGCCTGGAACCAGTAGATGAGAATTTAATGTTAAAAATCGGTTTTGAAGTAAGAACACTCACAGCTCCCTTACAAAGGAAACTACATCCTCATTCTTTCTATGTGAGCAGCCTTTGCATTTGTACTGAGGCACTTACTTGTAGTCTATGTGACTTGACATGGACCCCAGATTTGTCACAGCCTGGCTCATGGCCAAGGGCTTGCAGGAACCAGATTCTCCTTCTTGGTCAGTGTTCCTGAAAGAATCCGTAACTGTGACCCAGATCACGTGTAGCTTGTGGAAAGGAATCGGGCATGGGATTCAGTCCTAAAGAAGGAAATGAGGTCTCAGTATGGTGCTGAACTCCCTGTAATCAAGGAAATTATTTTTTTGTTACTATTTTATTATATCAGTTAGTATCTTGTATCTGGTGTCTGGGTAGATGTTGATCTGGAAAACACTTCCTTGATTTTCAATCCAGATAATGTGCTTTATAGAGTATATATCCTTCTAATATGATAAGCAAATTTCAATAAATATAAGGAAAACCTGGAAAATTTAGTGCAAATTAATAACTTATTCCATGGTCATTACCCAGTTTTTTGTTTGAACACCAAGTAGTGTATATAGAATGAACTAGATTATTATTTTAAAAAATCCATTCCTACCTTATAGAAGGGCAGCCCTTTGGCAAGATCATAAACATACAGAAGCACAGGTTTTTCTCTTAAACACATTCTAAAGTATATTATCTTTTCCCTGTAAAATCCCCTCTTTCAGCTAGCATCTAAAAGATAAAATTTAGCTCAGTTTTATAACATATTACTAAGCTATTGATTATCATTAAACAAAAGAAACATTTACAAAGTTCCTAATTAAAATGTAAGTCTAAACTATTAAACAAATTACCCATAAGCTCTTACAGATTTATAAAGCAGACGCAAAGGAATAAAAACTCGATGACAAGGAAATACACGTTTCTTTTTAAAGTCCTACCTTATATTAATGCTGATTCTTAAAATTTGAAACGTCTGCTGATTTCAACTATAAAGGCGAACTAAACACAGACATCCAAACAAAGTAATTTTCTGCTAATTAGGCAGCAGTCCCTTGGGTATTTTTGCAGCTAATAATTTTATATTTTCTCAAGAGATTTTTGCTTTGTGTGCATGCATAAAACTTTAATGCATTTTAAGATAGCTCCATTTTGAGGGAAGAGAATAGTTCACTTTAAATGATTCCTACTCTCTAAAAAGAGGGATTGATTTTTGTAGGACAAAATCTACAAGTGATACTGTCCGTAATTGCTTTCAACCTTCTAAAAATGAACTCGGGATTCATTAGAAGCAAGATTGAGGCAATCCTCTTCCCCCACTGATATAGTTCACATGAGTAGCTAGCTCACTTTTGCGATGATCAATGATCTTCTGCCATCTGGTGGCCACTAAAGAAGTGTCACTAGATAGAGTAAGGACGATGTAGTCTGGACCTAAATCAGAATGCATTTTCTTATTCTGAATTCATGCTTTTTGATGAATTCATGTTTTTGGAGAATTGTTCTCTTACTCCCAAAGGAACACCTCACCCTAAATCCTTAATAAACAAACAAACAACAAAACATAGTTTTTACAGTGAATAATCCTGTCTCTAACTCATATAAAGTTGTACGTGTGTTATTTAAAGTATATATTTTATATTTTCTGGGTCATTTATGTACCATTGCTAGCATAGCATACATAGGCTAAAATTCCTATTATTAAATCCTGTAGCTACAATTTGTTTCAATTTACAAGGTCAGTTGTTAGTTTTGACTGCCCTCTTGTGTTCACAAGCAAAACTACAAGCTAGTATAGACAAAAGGCTTTTTGGTCACATTCTGCCGCTGTTGTTGCCTTATTTTTATTGAGTCTTTGTAGCAGTTGACCATTGGTTGACTTATGTCAATTGCATGGTCTCATGTAGTGACTTTGTAACTTCAGGTATCTCCTAGAAGCAAAGCTTGGATTCTCTGAGCATATCAATCTTTAGCTTTAGAGACTTTTCTCCCTCTCTTTTGCAAGTTTATCTGGCCTATGAATAGAGTATATTTATTGCTTTGCTCCATTAGCACAGTATCATAAAATTTTTTAATTTCCATCCTCGTAATTAGTTCAAATTAGCACATTATGAATGCATTTCAGAAAGTATCAGAATACACTTTTTGATGGGACTAAATTTTTGGCATGATTCCCAGCATGGGCTTGAATTCATTGTAAGAAGTCCCTGAACTATTTTCAAAGTATTTTTTCAGATCAGACAAAGCAAATCTAATTTCCTAAAATTAATCGCTTAATCTATTAATCTGTTAATGCCAAAGTGGGATTTTTGTCAGCAGGTCCAAAAAATACAGAAATAATAGTTTTAGTTGTTTTCCTATGGTTTTCTCTGATAGGGAATTTTAAGTTATTTCAAGGATTTTGAAACAACAAAATGTCTGATAATAGACCCTATTTTATCATTTTAAAGTCTCCTCATCCTGAGCTGAAGATACCTGTCAGGTACCAAACAAGAGAAATAAAAACATCATGAGCTTGAAGATATCCTTTTTTTATTTATAAAAATGAATTTATGTGCCAGATGTATTCAAGACAGTGTCCTAAACAGTATAGAAATAAAAAGCTGTGGCTCTTACGTTTATAACCTACTGCAGGACTCAGGACCTGTTCAGGAAAAAGTAATATAAGAGAACATGCAATTAATGCAAGAGTAGTGTTAAAGCAAAACAGACAGGTGAAAATGACCCAGCTCACTTCAGCAGAGATCAGGGCACGCATAACAGGAGGGAGCATTTGACCTAGACTTTTCCCGAATGGGAAGGTGGGATGCAGATGAAGGAAGGAGGGGAGGAAGAAGTGTTTCAGACATACGAAAGGTCATAAACAAAAACTCCACAGTGAAGAAGTTTAACTTTTTACCTTCTGTTGAAATAAAACACAACACATTTTCATAGAATATGTTTTACTTGTTAAAATCCTAGAAGCTGACAGCTGTATCGATAACTGTACTTTTTTTTGTCTCTGAAGTTTGTAGTTCAGAACCAGAAAATGTTCAAGCTGACCCGGAGAATTATACCAGCCTTCTTATTACGTGGGAGAGACCTCGAGTAGTTTATGATACCATGATTGAGAAATTTGCAGTTTTGTACCAGCAGTTAGAGGGAGAAGACCAAACCAAGCATGAATTTTTGACAGATGGCTATCAAGACTTGGTAACTCTAAGATCAGTTGTTTCATGGATTGATAACGTTATAGTTTAATTTTCATGGAAAGAACTTACAAGACTTTAATTGTTTCATGTATTGACAGCACTAGAGTTTAATTTTCAAGGTAAAAACTTAGAAATGATTACATATTGTTGCCCTAAATTTTGTGTGAAACTCTCCAGTGGGGAGGAGGGAAAGCAGAAACTATACCAAATTAGATTGAAACTTACAGGGTATTACCCTAGGTTCTTAATTGTCTTCGGTTACAGGAAGATCACAGCTTTGCCAACAACAACATTATAGTGTAGACGCTTAGAGAAGACTTAGGACCTAGAGTTCATCTAGTGTAGCCTCTCTTTACAAATCAAGGGACTCAAAGAACAGTTAAATACTTCGACCGTGATCTCACAGTTGTGGAAATAATTGAATCTGGAATCTCCGTGCTCTGATACTGTCATATATCATTGCCCCCACCATACTCTACCAGCACAAGAAAATAGAGTAGGGGACTCTTTGCATCAAATTTCCAAGTAACAGATGTGAAGTCAATTGAGTCAGAACTTTTGGAATCCAAGGCAGATAATCTTCAGGAAAAGATCCACTCCCTCCTCCTCCCCACCCATGCACACAAATGAAAGAAAATAAAGTACGGTATGGAACAGCTAAATCACTATATTGTACACCTGAAACTAATATAATATTGTATATTAACTAACTGGAATTAAAATGAAAACTTTTTTAAAAAGTACAGATTCCTTCTGTGACCTGAGCATCTCAATATTAAGCTTTGTCTTGCTAGGGAAGGATTGGCCATATTGGGGTCTAGTTGAGAAAACCCTACCTGGCTATGGCTCTAGGAGAGCCCACTGCAGGTCAAAAGCACTACTGAACTGTGCATTCCCACAGTTGGAGTCCCACCAGGCCCAGGAACCTGCATTTAAACAAAAACTGTCCTTGTTACCATGGCGGTGGATACCATATGGACAAAACTGATAAAATATATAATGAAATAAGTTAATCAGAGAAAGACATGTATCATATGATCTCACTGATATGAGGAACTCTTAATCTCAGGAAACAAACTGAGGTTTGCTGGAGTGGTGGGGGGTGGGAGGGATGGGGTGGCTGGGTGATAGACGCTGGGGAGGGTATGTGCTATGGTGAGCGCTATGAATTGTGTAAGACTGTTGAATCACAGACCTGTGCCTCTGAAACAAATAATACATTATATGTTAAAAAAAAGAAGAAGTTAGTAGGAAGGGTAAAATGAAGGGGGGGAAATTGGAGGGGGAGACGAACCATGAGAGACTATGAACTCTGAGAAACAAACTGGGGTTCTAGAGAGGAAGGGGGTGGGAGGATGGGTTAGCCTGGTGATGGGTATTAAAGAGGGCACGTACTGCATGGAGCACTGGGTATTATACGCAAACAATGAATCATGGAACACTACATCAAAAACTAATGATGTATGGTGATTAACATAACAATAAAAAATTTTTAAAAATACATAACAGCTTTTTAATGCAGGTGTCTAGAACAGAGACATTATGAACTATGTATGACGTGCAATTTTTGAGAATATGCCAGTTTTTCATTTCATAATGATGTTAAGAAGATAATTCTATTACTGTCTGGCTTATATATTGTTATGATAAAGAGATAAATTGGTTCTGCATTATATTTTTCACATTTTGCTCTTTGCAAATGCTACATGTTTATTTGTCTGAAATACTAATTTGTAGTTTGCGATACTCATTTAAGAATCTGATGAATTCTAGTTAAAAATGAAACTTTCTAAAACTAAAATTGATTTTTCAAAAAATCAAAAAAGCCTAATTCACAAATCTCACAAGTTCAACTTAGCAACATTGCATACAGTTTTTCTTAGATTAATAAAATATATTTTCCGTTGGCAAATGAGAAAATGTTTTCTAAAGACAGATGTCTATTATGTTAGTGCTCTGATGAGAATAATACATTAATATAATTACTGACATCTTTCTTTTAGGGTGCTATTCTCAATAATTTACTACCCAATATGAGTTATGTGCTTCAGATAGTAGCCATCTGCGCTAATGGCTTATATGGAAAATACAGTGACCAGCTTGTTGTTGACATGCCTTCTGATGACCCCGGTAAGTCCCTTGATATGCCTTTATATCCACATAAATGAAGCTAGTTTAGTTACTGGGTACAATGGTGCTTTATCTCTGACTTTATATTGTTTTGGCCAAAAGGCAAAATGATTTTTTTTTTTTTTTTGGTCTGGATCATCAGCTAATTTTGTGAAGCATGGAAACCATTTTCATTCAACAGATCTGGTGCAAGACAATAAGTAAATTTATTCTAAATGTTGAAGTTTTCTATTTGTGAAATAAGAACAGCAAAATCTGTTGTTTTGTCTGTAATAGTCATCAGATGAAAATAGCTATGTAAATATTAAGACTTTTATTTTGATAATGAAAAGTTGGTTTCATTTGTGTTTATTTCCTTTTTCAGCCCCCAAAGCATTTTGTAGTAAGTATATACGTGATTCTAGGATCATGTGAGGTACTTTGAAATATCTATACAATACATCTAACAGTTTATCTTAGGTCTTTTCTTTTTTCTTTTTTTTAATGATATGCATATCTTAGGTATTTTCATCCACTTTTTATAATTCTGTGTGAAGGGGGTAGAGTGCTTTCCTCTTAGTTGACTTGCCAGTACTGTTTCCCAAAGCAAAACAAAGATGTTGTTTCTAATTCTACTTTATTTGCATGCATCTTCTCTAAGTATTATGGGAAAATCTTTTGATCTAAAACCTTATGCAATAATTAAATGAAATGCAGACCATCATAATTTGACAATTTACAAATGTATATAATTAGTTTTCCTTTTGTTAGCATAAGCAGTTTTAAGGCAATAGAATGGAATTATATATGTATGTATTTATATGTATATGTGTATATTTATATACACATAGATATCATGCATATGCATATTCATAAATACATGCAAACATGTGCACATAAATGTAAATATTCTTTGGTCATCCCTACCATACCATGAGTCTACTCACTGGTAATTTTATAAATTTTTCATGGATGGTAATAAATTATATTACTTATACCATATTCCAGTTGGACATATTGAAGAAAAACTGGTATATTGATTAGCCTTTGTGGTCTATATGATATAGCAAGGACTTTAATTCATTATGAGCTTGTTCATTAATGACCTCAACAGAGTTGTCCTCACTAGTTAAATTTTTAAGTTAAAGTATGTATGTCAGAGCATTAGATGGTAGATTATGTATCCTTCTAAACCACAGGCTACAAAACTTCCCAAAATATTTCCCAGATTAAAATGTGGGTGGCCAACGAATATTACTACTATCATGATGGCAATATCACTATTTAATATTTCTTACAATCTGCCTCATGGCCTGGGTATAATGTACTGTTTTTATGTAGCATTGATTTTCAAAATTAGGTTATTTTTAAATGGAATGTGAGCTCTAAATCTTATTGAAAGGTGAGTATCAAAATCAACTGACCAGTTATCAGTTACGCCATATCATGCTCCTCCCCTGACTGTCATCCCTCACCAGAATTCCCCATAGGGATCCACCTAGAAAATGACATCTTTAACAGAGCAACATTGACTATCATGGCCAATATCATATGTGAATTGATGAAATATGGTATATAAAAATCTCCTCTAATGCTATTATGCATTTTAGGATAAGAATTGTGTTAAATACATTCATTTAATTTACTACCTTGGTTTAATTATACCACTCTCATTTCTGTACATAAAACAATCTCCCAGGAGTTTACAAAAAATAATTACTTCCAGCTATTTGTGGTATGTCTTTCTTACTCTATCCACTATGTCAGAATTTTAAACTTTAGGAATTTTTCTTAGATGCTTATTGCATAAAGAAAAACAGATCAAATGTTTATTTTCTACAGAAGTGATTTCTGAGTGATCCTGATAGAGTGTGTCTATATTGGCCCAAAGCACAACATTCTTGTATCATTTGTAGCACTTTCACATTTGTACAAAATAACAAGTATTGTAATTTGATTTCCATTTATTCAAAGGCTGAGGACACTGTTGAACTAATGACATGTGAATTTGGGCATACCATTTAATCTCCAAGGATATCTCAGTCCCTTAAAGCATTTTGTACAGTGATGATGTTTTAGTGAAACATGGTATTTGATTTGATGTTTCACTATGATATTCCTCTTAAAAGCTAAGGTTAAAAACTTAGATTATTCCTTAATTATTTCTACCAAAAAGTCCTCCATCAAAAGCCAACTTACCCAATGTGTGGGGTCTTCCTCTTTTTCATAAAGGAATTATTTGTTCTTTTAGAACTCATTTTTTTCTGATCTAAAAGGCAGCAATGGCATTTCAATTCATATATATTCAACTTGTTATTAAAACTACCTTATCTTAAATATTGTTTCTGTGGTGAATATATCACAGTAAAAGTCTAGACCAAAGTACTGTCTTGTGGTTTAGTGCGATGGTACCTACAAGATTTGTTGATTTTATGATTTATATGGCTAATGGAGATGTAAGTGGCCCTTGAGTTTGCTGCTTATTTCATGGTGTTTATTAGCACCATTTCATCCTGTTGATCATGTTGTTCCTTACCTTAATAACATTGTAATGTACCCTATTGAATCATTTTATTATTATTTCGGATAAGCTGTTCTCTAAGTACTGTGTTGTTTTTTGCTTTTGTTATAAAGAAATGAAGGAGGTTATTTACAGTTGCCCTCATTCCTTCAATGGTATATTTCAAATATTTTAATCAATATCCACGAAAGAAAACTGAAGCTTCCAAATTGTGCATTTAACTTTGGCTCATTTGATTGTTGTTTGTGCGTTTTAATTACACTCTTGTGTACCACGGTGTCACCATAAAACTAGTGTCCATGAAACATTACTCCAGTTTGCTATTTTCAAATACATGCATAAATTCGTATTAGGAAACAATTTGAATTTGTCCAGGAAAAGCTTACTAAAGTTAAACTAAAATGTATATTCTCTCCAAATACTTTGTAGAAAATTATATTTATGAATAAGCAATTCATAAATATATTTATTTCATTGTAAATAATTGTGTCTTTTCTATTCGGGAATGTAGAGTTAATTATTATACAATTATAGAGGATATTATTTAAGTACGTGTTGTAGGGCCTTGATAATTGTGTATGTTAAATTTAAATGCATGGTGAATTAGATCAACACATTTTTCTGTTGTTGTGTGCTTTGCAGTCGTGTAACAGTTGTTTGTTAAATCACTATACATCTGTCCTTGCTCTCCCTGTACCATCCTGTGCTGTGGGTGTTATTATATAATAATATTTGAAATCGCGGTTTGAAGAGATTGCAGTCTACATTGCTTTGCCCTCTTGCGCTGTAACACTTGGCTTCCTTCAGACAATTAAATAAGCCTTGTTTGCCAACCTTTGTTGGTGTTGCTTTTTTGTGTTATGGAATATTAATGTGCGACTAACATGCTCTTTTGGAAAATTTAGCATCACATGTGCCCCCGAACAAAACAAGAATGAACCAATAGCTTTTGTTCAGTTATCACACATATGTGAATTTTAAGTGTTCACTCAAAAAAATATCAACAGTCCTTTCAAAAAGAAAAATATATCAACAGTCTTTACTGTTGGACATTTTATAGCGTTCCTACAGTCTAGTTTGAGGAAGTGAATGAGAAGACTGTCAACCAGTATACTTTTGAACTACCCAATATATCGGTATTGCCTAAGTCAGGTCAGTGGCTACTAAAATACCAGTTATTTGTGAGGACCCAGCAGGCCAGAGGGTACCAGTTGGAGACCTTGTGCCTATCACCAGAGGTGCTGTGAACTCTCAGCCTTAGAAACATGGCCTCAGAATCTCCAGGAAGATAGAAAACATTTTCTAAAATTATTTTATTTCAAACTTGTTCTGAAGAGGCCCAGCACAAGATTTCCAGATTATATGGGGGAAGAAGTATTCCAGGGCAACCCCAGAATTTTGGTCAATTTGAATAATCGAATTGGAAACCAGAAATGAAGATCCTTCAAAGTGGGTTAATACTTACAGATATGAAGGCATCCACACTTGGGGTATTCATCCGCGAGAGGGCCATGAAGCTAGGAGGGACCAAAGGACTGCCTGGACCCATACAGTCTGCCCCGAGGGCCCACAGCAGGCGCAAAGGGGACGTCTCACTTCCTATAGCGGTGAATAGCAAAGCCAGTTTCAGTAGAACTCACTGATACTCTTTGGGGGAAATGACTGGGTAAAGTCATGTATTCTAACTTAGGAGGAACCCAAATCCATATAGTTTATTTATGCTGTGGTAAAAGGATAAAAATAAATCCCATGCAATGATACACTCAGAGAATATTGAAAGAAAAGGAAGTCAGTCCTCAATGTGATAATTATACATACCCTACCCCAGCCTTGACAGTCAATAAGAAAATGCTTTTGCCCATTAAAAGTATGAAGTTAGTAAAGTTAGATCGTGTTTTTGTTTGCTTGCTTGTTTTTAATTTTAAAACATTTCCTTAAGCATGTTGAAGAGAATGGATTATCACTGAGACTTTTTTCCCCATGGCCCCTTAACAGAGAAAAATCGACAGTATCACACATGTATCACTAACAAATATTTGTTGTGACTTGCCCTTATTAACATTAAAATATTTTAAAAGTTCATGAAAGGGTGTGACTCCATTGAAAAGCATTTTGGTAAAATTATGCATTGTCTCACATGCTGAATTTGAAGGCTTTCGGGTGCATTAACTTCTCTAATTGCAGTTTATAGAAAATCATATTGAAGGTTCTTATTTGTCTTTTGCAGTTTAGCTGCATCCATCCCATCTTTATCACCTGTATTGATTTCCTTGGAGGTTATAGAGACACAAATATTCCAAACTATTGAGATCACTTTAATTTGAAAACATGAAGAATTAAGAGCATGAGAAACAAAAAATAGAAAACGGAGAACATTAATGATCCAAATAAAGGTTTCCAAACTCTTTCATGGTGGGTTTTAACAAGAAAAAAAAAATAATTGAGTGTTAAATTTAACTCAGGGCTAAATTAACATTGTGCAGGATAAGTGACTTTGAGATAGCTCAATAGTCAAGAGTATTAATTTTATCTAAATTCTCTTGAGAGGGTGACTCACTTCTCAATTTTTCTTGAATTCTCCTCTAAATGGAATCCATGCACAGGACTACATTTTATGGCCTTACATTTCTTAATGCCTAGAAATTTTCTGATAAAAATAAACTCAAGAAACTCTGTGGGTTTGGTTGGTTTTTTTTTACTTTTCTGTATGTATATTTTATTTTATTATTTATTTATTTTTTGTTATGTTCAATTAGCCAGCATATAGTACATCATTAGTTTTTTTTAATTTTTTTATTATGTTATGTTAATCACCATACATTACATCATTAGTTTTTGATGTAGTGTTCCATGATTCATTGTTTGCCTATAACACCCAGTGCTCCATGCAGTACTTGCCCTCTTTAATACCCATCACCAGGCTAACCCATCCTCCCACCCCCCTCCCCTCTAGAACCCTCAGTTTGTTTCTCAGAGTCCATACATCATTAGTTTTTGATGTAGTGTTCAACCATTCATTAGCTGCGTATAACACCCAGTGCTCATCACGACACGTGGCCTCCTTAACGCCCATCACCCAGTTACCGCATTCTCCACCCCATCCCTTCCATAACCCTCAGTTTGGTTCCCGGAATCTAGAGTCTCTCATGGTTTGTCTCCCTCTCTGATTTCTTCCCATTCCATTTTCCCTCTACTGTGATCCTCCGCTCTATTCCTTATGTTCCACATATGAGTGGAACCATAAAATAATTGTCTTTCTCTGCTTGACTTATTTCACTTAGCATAATCCCCTCCAGTTCCACGCATGTCAATGCAAATGGTGGGTATTCATCCTTTCTGATGGCTGAGTAATATTCCATTGTATATATGAACCACATCTTCTTTATCCATTCATCTGTTGAAGAACATCTCGGCTCCTTCCACAGTTTGGCTATTGTGAAAAAAAAAAAAAGTCTGTGTTATAAAACAGGCCCGGATTTGATAAACATTTCATGTTAATTTACTTTTGCCTTTGAAAACTTTAGAGAATATGCATCTCCCTTGAAGATACCTAGAGGTATAAAGTATAGAACAAAAGCAACTTTGGGAGAGTGAAGAGCATGAATTTTCGAGAAGGAGTGAAATTCTATAGAATAATGAGACTAAGAGAAGCATTATTGTAATAATGCTCAGCTGAAGCTGAGCCCAATGCAGCTCTGATGAAGCATGAAGGACAGTGCTTCTCCGGTCAGCCCCTCAGTAATTTGGCATTGTGTCTAGATTCCTTGTTGGAGAGAGAGAACCAGCTCCTAATCTTTCCTCACATTTACTGACAGGTTTTGTTCTAGGATTGAGATACCCATGTACTGGAAATATACTGATTCTGGTTGTTGGGAACAGCAGACTTGAATGATCCCGGCCAGTGCATTCTTTGTGTAGACAGCACCACTGGGTTTCCCTGGGGTGAAGGACCTGGAATCACTCTGGTCAGTCCTTCCTGTCCATTTGATGCAATACCCTGTGTACATATAAGTGTGAGCCCAAATTCACAGTATAGAAGGAATCATTTGACCCTCAACGAGAAGAGGAACTGAAGGAAGAAACAGCTGAATAAGAAAATAAATCCTGTCAATTCTCCCCCTAATCCCTGGCATTTCCCTAACTGTCAACCCTGCTAAGGATGAAGGTCTACACTGATGAAAAATTATTTCGGTTTTTTATACTCAGTAATATCAGCCTGTCTGCCTCTCCCTTCTTAGCTTCAATCCCACATAGAGGGGAGGGGGAAGGAGAAGGGAGTTGGAGTAGAAGATAGAGATGAAGGTTTTGAATGCAGTTTTATATAGGTGTGTGTAGTGGTGTGTTATGTAGTGTTCAGTAGTGTTGAAACTTAAAATTTGAAATTTTTATTTTTGGAGATCCTGTATTTTCAAAACTAACAAGTCTTTCCCCGCACTCCCCCCGCCCTGCCCCGGCGCCCCCAACCTCTCCATCCAAAGGTAAACCCACAGGGTTAAAATAGTTGAATAAACATTTTAATAATTTTGCTTCTAATTTTGTAGAACTTGACCTCTTCCCTGAATTAATTGGAACTGAAGAAATAGTCAAGGTATTGTAACTGTCTTTATATTAAAATGTTTTAAAATTTAAAAGTATTTGTTCAAATATTGGTTAGGTTTCAGATGTTGCTTCAATCAAAGTTCGTGTTGATTATTCATTGTAGGGTTAGTTGCTGAGCTTTACAGTCACATAACTGATATGCATGATTCTTTCATGGAAGAATTGGAAGACACTTGGATAGAATAGTAAAAATAACAAAGAGGTGGTGATGATGAAAATGAACTTTAAAGATAATTATAGCTATAAACTATATCTATAATTCAGAATTTTTTCAGTGTTCAAGTTTTCTAAAAGACCGATATTTAACCAATTCTTAATATTTCTACAGCTTTTTTATAAACACCTTAACTAATGGTTGACAGATTGATAATAAATATGAGCCAAAACATAAGTTGTATATATTCGTTTGCCCGTTCAATCTAAATAATTGTGTTTGGATTATTCATATTATAAGTGTCTGTTGCTAGCCTAATGTCCTGTAAATAAATAGGTATTTAAGAATATTTATAATTTTTAACATTGTCCTAATTTTTAAGATAGAGAAAAAATGACGGATGCACCTTCTATTTCATCCTAACCCCAAACGTACTGTTCTTCGTAACTGAGTATATGTTAAATGCGGGTGCTATTCTTAATGTCGTAGGAATGTATGTATATGTACACATGTGTGCATGAGGTCACAGAGTGTGATAACTAATGCTACCATCTGGCAATAAATAGCAGTTAAGTTGTATTTTCACATGTATGGTTATCTCAGTAATTTATATATCTTATGGCACTTCTCTCTTGCAAAGGATTATTTTACCAGAGTGAGCAACCTACCTTTCAACAAGAGTTCACGAAATTCAGCGAAGGACACCTTTGTGTGTGTCTGTGTGCGTGCACATGGATAGGTGTATACGTGCCAGCTCCTCATGATATCTTCACATGGCAGAGAGCAGAGCAGAAGAAGCAAGCTCTCTCATGACTCTTCCTATAAAGGCATTAATCCCATTCATGAAGGCTCTACCCTTAAGACCTCATCTAATCTCAGTTACTTCCCAAAGACCCCATATTCCTAATATCATCACTTTGAGGGGTAGGATTTCAACATATAAATCAGGGAGAGGGCATAAATACTTAGTTCATAACACTGTTCACTACCATTGATTCATGCAGGAATGAATGATGGAGGTTGGCAAATTCCTGGAATGTATCTGTAATGGTTTTTAAAACTGAATTTGGAAACGAATAGTTTGGGGGGTGTTTCTTAGATTGTCTTCAAATAAAAATGCATTACCTTGAAGGATAAAGTATGTCCAGCATGATCAAGGCCTTACAGTAAAATTTTCTAAATGGAAGCTGTGAAGAATAACAGGTGTGACACAGTTGAAAACCATAGTGGAAGAGAGATTCACAATAACTTCATAAGAAAATATAGGAAGGAGTATACATTAAAATATTTGTGGTTTCAGGTATGTATGAAGTAATCATAGAGCATGAATGATCTGTTCTTCTTGAAATGTTGACATGAGGCCATGTGACTTCATAGAGATCAACAAGATTTGGTTAGGTAGGATTAATTAATGGTGCATTATTTGCATCACCTTTTTTTTAAGGTTTATTTATTTATTTGAGAGAGAGAGAGTGCTCAGTGGGGGAGAGGGGCAGAAGGAGAGGGAGAGAGAGTCTTAAGCAGACCCTGCGCTGAGGGCAGAGCCCGGCGTGGGGCTCGATCCCATGACCCTGAGATTACAACCTGAGCCAAAACCAAGAGTTGGACGCTTAACCAACTGTGCCACCCAGGCGCCCCCATCTTCATCAGATTCTGAGAGGTATCTGAACATGGTTTAAGATTCGGATTTTTTTTCTCCTGATATTGGTTAAGTTCTTACTAATTTGTACTCTGTCAGTTTTCTTCTTTTAAGGTACACGACTTTAAAAGATCTAATAAGGGGCACCTGGGTGGCTGAGTCATTCAGTGTCTGCCTTCAGCTCTGGTCATGATCCCAGGGTCCTGGGATCAAGCCCCGCATCGGGCTCCACATCGGGCTCCCTGCTCAGCGGGAAGCCTGCTTCTCCCTCTCCCACTCCACCTGCTTGTGTTCTCTCTCTCTCTCTGTCAAATAAATAAATAAAATCTTTTTAAAAAATAAATAAAAGATCTAATAAATGACAATGCTAGCAAACTGGCAAAATCATATCCCATGTGGACTAAAAATACCATATCTTGATAAACTTTTGGCAGTTTAGTTTTCTAAGCATATGATTAGACATAAAATGCACAGTTAAAAAAGAAAAAAAATCCCAGAAAACATGGATTTTTTTTTTAAGATTTTATTTCTTTGTGTGACAGAGAGAGACACAGCGAGAGAGGGAACACAAGCAGGGGAAGTGGGAGAGGGAGAAGCAGGCTTCCCACGGAGCAGGGAGCTCAATGCGGGGCTCGATTCCAGGACCCTGGGACCTAAGGCAGACTCGCAACAACTGAGCCACCCAGGCACCCCTTGACAATTTGTCTTTAACAAAATGTCTGCCTATGGGGGCACCTGGTTGGCGCAGTGGGTTAAGCATCTGACTCTTGGTTTTGGCTCAGGTCATGATCTCAGGGTCCTGAGGTCAAGCTCCCCATCAGGCTCTGTGCTCAGCATGGAGTCTGCTTGTCCCTCTCCCTCTGCTCCTCCCCTCCACTCTCTCTCTCAAATAAATAAATAAAATATTTTAAAAATAATATGTGTTAATTCATTGAATTTGAATAAAATAAAATTTTTAAAAATTAAAAAAATTTAAAAATATCTGCATATGTCTTGAATGGAAAATCTTTGTTTTTTTTTTTTTTTTTAAGATTTTACTTATTTATTTGACAGAGAGAGAACACACATTCAGTTGCCAGATGAACTGAACAAATAAACACAAAACAAAATAAGTACCATGTTAAGTAACACTATCAATCAACAAATTATAAGGCACCTTTGTTTCAAAGTTGTGGTATCTAGTAATTTAATTATTTCCACAGCATTAAAATAAAGGCAGCCATAAATAGGGTGTTTTCATTAAGTTTAATTAGTGTCCCTAGAAGGTGGATGATAAAGGTTATAAGGATAGAGGCATGGCTTCTAAGAGATGGTGCTTTATGAGGAAAAGTTCCCACAAGTGAAGATTAACAGTATAATGTAGTATAAGATATTATTAAGAACTCATTTTTTTCTTACCTGCTTATATCCCATTAAATCTTGTTTGCTTTTCAAAGGAGGAAGAAGAGGGAAAAGACACTGGAGAAGACACTGTTGTGAATCCCGGTAGAGAGAGTGCCACAAACCAAATAAGGAGAAAGGAACCCCAGATTCCTACTACAACAAACTACAATCACGCAGGGACTAAATACAATGAGGCCAAGACTAACCGATCCCCAACAAGAGGAAGTGGATTCTCTGGGAAGGGTGGTATTCCCAACCCATCTTTAGATTCCACTTCCCAACCAGTCACTGAATTAGCCCCCCCAAAAGATGTTGCTTTGATTTCGCGGACTGTGACTAAAATGCCACCTCACACTCTGGAAGGCATGGCCGCCTCTTGGAACGACAGCTCTAAAACTATTCTCACGTTTCCACAGATGAACTTGACCGGGACCGTGGAATCTTTAAATACAGTTTCTATAACGGAACCTCAAGAGGCGTCTACTGACATCAGTGAGGATGAGAGTTTACTGACAAGTTTCAAGCTCGATACCGGAGCTGACGATTCTTCAGGCTCCAGTCCGACAACTTCTTCTATGCCGTTCACCTCTGAGAACATATCCCGTGGGTATGTGTTTTCTTCAGAAAACCCAGAGGCAATCACATATGATGTTCTTCTACCAGAATCTACAAGAAATGCTTCCGAAGAGTCAGCCTCGTCGGGTTCTGAAGACTCTCCGAAGGGCCCTTCCACCGACGGGGACGTGCGGTTTGCTAGCGCTGCAGATGGGGCAACACGGCCCAAGGCTGGACCGGGCAGAGAGAGCTTCCTCCAGACCAGCCACACCGCGATACGGATCGATGAACCTGGGAGGGCAGCTGGGTCTTCAGCTCCAGGCCCGCCGGTGTCACTGGGTCCCCCGGTCACGGACCTGGAAATGCCACCTTACTCTACCTTCGCCTCCTTGCCGACCGAGGTGACGCCCCGTGCGTTTACTCCATCCTCCGGGCAGCAGGACTCGGTCCCCACCGTCCACGCGGGACGCTCACAGACAACTCAGCCGGTGTTCAATGGTGAGACGCCTCTTCAACCTTTCTACAGTAGTGACGTCTTTCCTCTAGTCACCCCTTTGTTGCTTGACAGTCAGATCCTCAACACTGCCCCTGCCGCTTGGAGTAGTGATTCGGCCTTGCATGCTACGCCTGTATTTCCCAGTGTCGATGTGTCATTTGAATCCATCCTGTCTTCCTATGATGGTGCACCTTTGCTTCCATTTTCCTCCGCTTCCTTCAGTAGTGAATTGTTTCACCACCTGTATACAGTTTCTCAGGTCCTTCCACAAGCTACTTCAGCTGTTGAGAGTGATAAGCTGTCCCTGCATGCTTCCCTGCCAGTGGCTGGGGGTGATTTGCTATTAGAGGCCGGCCTTGCTCAGTATTCTGATGTGACGTCACATCAGCCCACTACTCGTGCTGCTTCAGAGACACTGGAATCTGGTGGTAGTGAATCTGGTGTCCTTTATAAAACGCTTATGTTTTCTCAAGTTGAACCACCCAGCAGTGATGTCATGATGCATGCACGTTCTTCAGGGCCCGAACCTGCCTATGCCTTATCTAGTAATGAGGGCTCCCAGCACTTCTTCACTGTTCCCTACAGTTCTGCAATCCCCGTGCATGGTTCTGTGGGTGTAGCTCCTCCGGCTCCCTTGTTTAGCAGCCCTAGCCACGTTCCGGTGCCTCCGTCTTCGGTAATAACCCCGATCGCATCTCGGCTGCCGCCGCCTCCTGGCCTCTCTGGGGATGGGGAGTGGTCTGGAGCCTCCTCTGATGGTGAATTTCTTTTACCCGACACAGATGGTCTGACAGCCCTTAACATTTCTTCACCTGTTTCTGTAGCTGAATTTACATATACAACATCTGTGTTTGGTGATGAGAATAAGCCGCTTTCTAAAAGTGACATAATATATGGAAATGAGACTGAACTGCAAATTTCTTCTTTCAGTGAGCCGGTTTACCGTTCGGAAAGCACAGTCCTGCCCGACCTGTACGATACTGTAAATAAGTTGAACACGTCTTTACCAGAATCCCCCGTTTCCTTTTCTAGCACAAAGGGCACGTTGCCAGGGTCTCTCGCTCCTCCTGCCACTAAGGTTTTTGATCATGAGATTAGTCAAGCTCCAGAGAATACCTTTTCAGTTGAGCCTGCACATGCCGTATCTCAAGCGTTCGGCGACACTTCGCTTAGACCTGTGCTTAGTGCGAGCTCAGAGCCAGCCTCCTCTGACCCTGCTTCTAGTGAAATGGTAGCTCCTTCAACTCAGCTCTTCTTTTATGAGCCCTCAGCTTCTTTTAATACTGAAGTATTGCTGCAGCCCTCCTTTCAGGCTTCTGATGTTGACACGTTGCTTAAAACTGCTCTTCCACCCGTGCCTAGCGAGCCAATATCGGTTGAAACCCCCAAGGGTGATCCCCTTAGTTCTACAGGATTGCATCTCCTGGCCTCAAACTCTGCTTCGAGGGAAAACACGCTGCTCGCTGCATCTGTACCAGTTGTCGAGGTATCGCCTGCTTCTAACGCGCACGCTGCTTCACTTCAAGGTTTAACCATTTCTTATGCAAGTGAGAAATACTTTGAACCAGTTTTGCTTAAAAGCAAAAGTCCCCAGCAAGTGGTACCTTCACTGCGCAGTAATGACGAGTTGTTCCCAACTGCCAGTTTGGAGATTAACCAGGCCTTTCCCCCGAAAGGAAGGCACGCGTTTGCTACTCCTGTTTTATCTATTGATGTGCCACCAAATACACTTAGAAATCAGCTCATGTATTCCGATGAAGTTTTCACCTCAACCGAGGGGTCTCTCACTGATGAGGTATTTGCTGGTATCCCAGCAGTTGTTTCTGATACACCCGTAACTGCCGATCAGTCTGTTCCTTTAGGAAATGTGCATGTTTCCGTTACAGTGGTTTCTCCTGACAAAGATGGTTCTGTCCCCGCAACCAAGTTGCTGTTTCCCTCTAGAACAACTTCTGAGCTGATTCAGAGTGCCAGATCCGATGCTGATTTAGTGGGTGGTGGTGACGATGGTGTTATTGATGATGATGATGATGATGATGACGATGATGATGACAGAGATAGAGATGGCTTATCCATAAATAAGTGCATGTCATGCTCCTCCTATAGAGAATCGCAGGAAAAGGTAATGAATGATTCAGACACCCAAGAGAACAATCTTGTGGATCAGAATAACCCAACCTCATATTCACTATCTGAAAATTCTGAAGAAGAAAATAACGTCACAGGTGTCCTGTCAGCCGGTCAGACCGATATGGACAGAAGTCCCGATAAATCACCACCAGCAAATGTGCCGCCCCCAAAGCCCAGTGGTGGAAAACAGCACAATGACGTTCAGACTGGTGATGCCCTGCTTCCTTTCACTCCAGAATCTGGAGCATGGGCAGCTGTTGCAAGTGATGAAGAGAGCGGATCAGGGCAGGCTCTCTCAGATAACCCGAATGATAACGAGACTTCCACAGATTTCAGTTTTCCAGACGTTAATGAAAGAGATGTTGATGGGGTCCTGGAAGCAGTTGACTCAGAAATAACTCCTGGATCCCCACAGTCCTCAACACCAACTCTTACTAGCAGGCACTCAGAAGTATTCAACATTTCAGAGGCAGGTTAGTTACGGATCCAAGAGATAGACCGAGGTGTGGTGGTTTTCTTCCTCAAAAAATAGAAAAATCATGGAAGGAGAAATTTGGTGAAGTGGCACATCATTTTGTTTTTTAATCAAGACACTCAGCAAATCCATTTACAGTTTTTAAAGTATGATTTTAGCCATTATTTCAAATGAATACTCAACACGTCTTGGTTAGTGGATAGATAAAACGTTTCTTATTTATTGTCAATTTTTCATATTCTACAAGATGCCAGTTACATGTGGGAGCAATTATGTGTGCGTAATGCATTTTTAGTATACTGCTTTTTAAATGATAGATTGGAGTGTGCTGTTTTTAGGCAGTTTTAATTTTTATATTCACTTATGTTCTAAAATAAGTTGTAATCCAATTTCACTGAATTATAAAATGGATTATTAAAACTCTGATACGTAATATGTTATAAACACCTCTCTGACCCACCCCACGGAAAAGATATGATAATTTGCACATCCACATCAGCCTGGGGAGCTTTACAAAAAGTTCTATTGCTGAGTTTTGAGAGTTAATGGTAAGATTTGTTTTGTTTTGTTTTAAAGAAGCTTTTAATTTTTTTAAGTTGTCTTTGTTTGATTACCTTAGTGTTGCCTAAAGAGGGCAGTGTGAACTAACAAGACACGTTCTACTTTGTACTTGTGGTTATACACCTTTTTAAGAAGTTAGATAATGGTCATTAATATGCAGAGTATGTATAGGTATTGTATGACAAGATGTAAAACACTAGAACATTTTCCGTAGACATGCATTTCATTTGTTAATGTATTTTATGCAAATTAGTTTATTGGCCAGCTGTTTCTTCAAGTAGATTACTTGCAACATATATAATACAGATGTTTGCTTTAAATGCCCATGGGGAGAAAAGGGAAATTCAGTACCATTAGGCATATGAAATACTAGATAACTTCATTGCCTTGATCATAATAATTTTATAATTTGCTTTTATTAAATTTTAAGGCATTTTTTTTAAATTAACAATGATAATATTTAAATGTTAACGTAGTAAGTCAAAAGGTAGGTTAAGGTAACAGCTTGCAATCTTATTGCATAAAAGCAGATATTTATAAGCCAGATCATAGATACCAATCTCATCAGGGTATTTTTTCTCTTTGTTATTTCCATCCTTTCAATTAGTTGTATATTTTTCCTCCAGTCAGTGCAGCAGCAATGAAAAGTTTGTACATTTTGATAGAGAAGTTTTTCTACATTCTGACTTGATACCTATTTAACATTTGCATTCCAGTTTAAACAAACTCTGATATGTGAGAATGAATAATGAATCCACAGGTCACTATATTCATTAGTGTTGCCATGTATATGAATTGTTATCTGGCTTCAATTAAATTTCAGGGTTTTTTAAAATTTTTATTAGATTTATTTTAAAGACATATCAGGAATTCATCCCTTTTTTTTCTGTCTTACTAGGTAGTGACATCATCAGCATGTTCTTGCCAGATTATGCTCTTATGGGGAAACTATATATATATTGCAAAATGCCAAATCTAGAATTATGAATTAAAACTTAGCAATTTCTTATCATTGCACTAATTTGATTAATTATTAAGAGTATGTTCTCCCACTCAGAGGAGAAAACAGTAGGAATATAACTTCCAATATCATCAGGTAACATAATTAATGGAGTAACTAAGATCAAACAAGATTAGGGAAGAATTCTTGCCCGCTTTTAAAACTGTATCTACAAAAAATCATATGTACTCTGTCTTACAAAGTAATTGAATATGGCTCTTTATCAAATGCATACAGACTAATTCTGAAACTTATTATTTTATTATGTACTTCTAGAATGTAGAATAATTTATAAGACATGTTCCCTAAAACAAAATAGATAAGGCAAAATTAGTATCTGCAATTTATGAATGCATAAACTGAGGCCCAGAGATACTAAATTACTTGATTCAGGTCAGGTAGGGAGTCAACACAAAACTGAGGCTGGAATCATGTGTTACTGGTGTCTGTCTCTTGGAGACTATGCTTTCATTATTGAGGACAATAAAATATACATAATGCTTAATTTGTAATACCAAAAGTATACTGTCTTATTCTAAAAATGTATTTTCAAGTATTAATCTTAACTTTGTCTACTGATCATCTATAGGTAGATTCTTGTCTTATTTAAGTAGCTCATATACACTACTGGACCATATTGAAATAGATATTTTAGTCTCAACTAATGAATATAAAGATCAATACAACTAGTTGTTCCCCATTACAGTATGTAAAGCAACAACCAGTTGATTGTACTTCCTTTTTTTATAAATATATTTTTTTGAATTTGGGGGGGATATTTTATTCATTTATTTATTTATTTACTTTTTAAGGTAATCTCTGCACCCAACCCGGGGCTTCACCTCATGACCCCGACATCAAGAGTTGCATACTCTACTGACTGAGCCAGACAGGGGCCCCTGATTATCTATACTTTCATGTGGTATCTCATCTTGAATAAAATACCTGGGTTTCACAATATGTGATTATCATGGATTTATCATTCTAACTCCTCAACGAAAATGTTTATTTTAAAATCAGACCCCCCAGAGAACTTATGAGTAAAATCTGCATTACAAGATTATATATGTGTGCATGTGTGTATAGTGTGTGTGATATGTATGGTAATTTGTTACATGCTTTATGTGTTATATATCTTATATATATGATCAGACATATCTCATATATGTGTATGCAATACATATATATAAATGAGATATGTATGTATCTACATACATACATATAGATACATATACACCTATATACATAGTATTATTATATAAGCTCACTTTGTATATAAATTAATGTACATTATTGGTTTTCAGACATGAATGTGGATCAAAATCACCTGGAAGACTTGTTAAAACACAGATTGCTAGGCCTTACCTACAGAGTTTCTGTTCAGCAGCTTTGTGATGGTTGGCGTGGGGCCCAAAACTGGCATTTCTAACAAGTTCCAGGCTATGCCAATGCCAATATTCTGGGAACGACATTTCAAGAGTGACTGATACAGATAATGATATTAACCACCATTTGTAATTTCTAGGTACTCGGGACTTTTCTAAGTGGATTACTTCATTGTTTAGCCACAAAACTTCCATTTAGGTAACAATCGTTTTAATAGACAAAATGTGAACTTAAGTTCTCTGCCGTTAGATATACTTACTTTAGGGCTGCATTTATGAATTTGTTACTCTCAAATGTATTCTTCAATCTTGAAATTAAACCGATTTCCCTTTGTGTCCTATCACTAAAGTAAGATGCTTGGTATATAAAGCACCTAATGTGCCGGGAGTCTAGAACACAGTGTGGACTCTCATGGGAGAACTTGGATGTAGTTCTTCCAGAATTTCTGCAGGCACACACTAAGAGCTCTTACTTTGGCAGAGCAGTTCTGATGTCCAGTTGGGTTGGTTCCCCAATGCACACACTTCAAAGGAGAAGGGAAGCATTATGACTGGCCCCAGATACCCTGAAGTTCTGAAACTCTTTTGAGCGACTTGGAAGAATGGCGCCAGTTGCAATGATTTTGAAAGTGCTAAGGTGATAATGCACCTAATTGGTGACAAAAATAGTCACTTGCCATCTTTCAAAATTAACCCAAAGACAGAAGTTAAACGTTTCCGTAATTTACACTTGCATATTTGAAAAGAATTCCTTCGATCTATGTATTCCTTCAGTTCGCATGCAATAGTATTTTTATTTTTGGTAGAGAAAAGTAGTTGATAAGAAGGGCATTCAAAGTAACACTTTAAAAGCAACCTACATTTAAATTTTTAATAGTCTTCTGGGTTGAATGGTTATCCTAATGTAAGAAGGGTTATCCTAACCTTCCCTCTTTATGGAATTTTTAATTGCTCCTAGCTACTTATTTAATTGCAGAATTAGAAACATCTTATTAAAATGAAGTTTTATATATGGTACAGTAAGTAGCATTGTTTTTCCTGGTCATTTTATTTAAAAACTGGGTAGTTTTTTTATTTTAATGCTCCTGTTTTCCTTTTAGCAAGCTTTTCAAGGCAGTGTTATGCTCATTTCTTGCCACAACACCTGTACGGATCTCTGCTCGGATAGCCTGCCTTACTTTTTAAACTGTGCTTTATTTAAATTGGCTTGTAATCGTAGACACTCTTTGTATCATAGATTTGAAATTGTAAAGGTAAGCACCGGCAATGAAGGTTGCACTTACTCGGTTGAAAAATGTTGTGACTTATTCTTAAGCTTAAATATCAACTCTCTCAATTTTCTCCGACTACAGAGGCCAGTAATAGTAGCCATGAGTCTCGTATTGGTCTAGCTGAGGGGTTGGAATCCGAGAAGAAGGCAGTTATACCCCTCGTGATCGTGTCAGCCCTGACTTTTATCTGTCTAGTGGTTCTTGTGGGTATTCTCATCTACTGGAGGTAAGTTGAGTGCTTGTTTTAGACGTGTGTTTCATAAAGCTTAGATTCTGCCTGTTGTTTACCTGAAAGCTCTTCAAGGCGTATTCAAAATTCGTTTTACTTGAGAGCTACCATTGATTTAACCATAAATAAGGTGATTTTGTAAGTCCAAAGACATGACAACACAAGATTTGATGGTTCTTCATACTTCAGTGAAACAATTAAAGTTAAAATGGAGGAATTCCGGCTTCCGTTAATATTTAATACAGTATTTTGACAGCGTACTTTGATATTAATCTCATTAACATTCAAACATTATCATAGCATTTAACGTAAATCTAAGCTTTTCAGCTTAAACGCTCCAGCTGTTACAATTTCAAAAGTTACTGTTTCGGAAAACATAATTTTTGATATAGTAAAAACAGAGTTTATTTGTAATAGTGGATTTTATACAAGCTGCACATCGACGGCATACTGATAACAAAAAAAAGATAACCCATACGTAAATGTAAAAATCAAGCAATTAAAATGTGGGTATGATGAGGAAATAAAGTTGATGACTGTATTAAGACGCATAGGACTTTAAAATTAATTATAATTTGCCTTGAGGATGAAATATAGCTTTGCTGTCATCAATAGCCTATTAAGACTTTTAAAGGACAAAGAAAATTGCATCCATCCTAAGCTTCCTGTCCCATAGCAAGCAGAACACACTGCAAATTAGGGAGTTTACTGGGGAAACAATGTAAGTCAGTATAACTATTATAACTGTATCTAGGAAAACAAAAACTTTATGACGATATAAGGAATCATAGCTTAGTAATTTCTTCCTTTGTTTTAAAAGAGAATTTTGTTCAGAAGCTTTATAATTAATTCCTTTTTTTAAGCAACATCTTCCTATAAGTTCATATGACCACTCTTTATGTGTTATCTTAAAGTATATTCTCTCAGTTTACTCAAAAATATTTATCATGTTTATGGACTATTTCCCATGTGTGTAGTACTATGTTGACTACTATGGAAAATATCAAAAATGAATGAATGAATGAATGAATGAATGAATGAGTGAGTGAACAAATGAATGAAGTCACGATGGCTGAGAAATTTATGCTTATTGAGAATTTCCCATGAAAAATTTATAACATACTATATAAAAGTTTACCTATGACAACAGAAATCGCTAATGGTAACAGGGTCAGAGAACAAGGTATCTTATAGGCCAAGATGACAGAGTAAGTGTAAGATGTAGGGCTTGAGCTGGATAAGATTCAGAAAGTGGAGATAAAGGAGACCAGAGACCAGCCTTCCAGGCAGGGACACAGCAGGCAGGAAGAATGGGAAGCAGGGGGCAGCTGGGTGTGTCTGAGACAGTGAGGTCTGGAGCCCACAGTTGCATGTCTGGACATTGGTTGACTAAAGTAGAATGTTTTCATGACAAGCTGTGTTTCATATCAGACTGCTTTTACAGAAAAGAGTAAACCGCAGAGGACAGAGAACAGATCATACTTTTGTTATACATGAGCTGGGAGTCTGTTTTGTCCATAACATGATGCAAACAAAGCTGCTTTCTTCACTGATTCCTTTAATTGCCAATGACTCTTTTTTACAGAAGATTCCATGCTCAGCAGAGTAGCATGAACCCAGTACACAACCCATAAATGTTTGCTCAACAAGAATTCATATTGCGGGGCGCCTGGGTAGCTCAGTTTGTTGAGCGACTGCCTTCGGCTCAGGTCATGATCCTGGAGTCCCAGGTTCGAGTCCCGCATTGGGCTCCCTGCTCAGTAGGGAGTCTGCTTCTCCCTCTGACCCTCCCCCCTCTCATGTGCTCTCTTTCTCTTTCTCATTCTCTCTCTCAAATAAATAAATAAAATCTTAAAAAAAAAAAAAAAAGAATTCGTATTGCTTTTCTCCCTACTCCCCCTGGGTTTGTTGGCCAAACTTTTTACCAACATTGATTTTGTGTTTGTTCAGGTTCCTGGTTTCTAATCTGATTTTCCTTGCCAAACCGATTTTTGAAATTAATTGGAATTAGAGTTAATTTTTTAAAAATAAGATGGAAAATAAACCCAAATTATACTTCATAAAAAATGGTGTTAGAATAAATTTCCAATAACAATGTCAGATGGTTTACAGTTATAATATTGAAATAATTAGAATGAGAATTTTAATCTTTTTTACTTAATATTTCAAGTTTATTTTTTGCAAATTTGGAAGTGTCTTATTTAATATGATTTGCTATTTCATGGAAAATTAAAATCTGTAATGGTTTTTATTTTTTAAAAGATTTTATTTATTTATTGGAGAGAGAGAGAGAGCATGAGAGGGGGGAGGGTGAGAGGGAGAAGCAGACTCCCTGCCAAGCAGGGAGCCCGATGCAGGACTCCATCCTGGGACTCCAGGATCATGACCTGAGCTGAAGGCAGTCGCTTAGCCAACTGAGCCACCCAGGCGCCCCTGTAATGGTTTTTATATTCTGTTAATAATGGGTCATCTCATCTGTATAATGTGCAGAAAAAAGAGAAATGGTTTACCAGTTGAAAAATATTAAGTTGACCTTCACCAACAAGATGTTTCTCTTTTCCTCACAAATAACACTTTATGTACCTTGAATTCAGAGTGCATTAGCTTAAAATATGAGCACTCTGATGATTTTATGTAGGTATTTTATATCTATCTATCGAACAGTCTGATAAAATCTGTCACTCTTTTACTTATCCATTTAAAATTTAACATATCTGTCCTTCTCACAGCCTTTTGAAATTAATTCACTTCAAAATGTAACTTTTTAGATCAGTAATACCCCAGGGGTATTAGTTGGTGACAGAAAATGACAATGTTAGTGCATTCTTCAAGGTTTTTGTGAGATATTCAAATTCTGGTGGAGACCCATATGATTTCACTGGCCAGTATGAAAACCTTTTAGACCTCTGTGGAAAGAACAGCCTGTGGAAAGATTCAAAAACAGAATGGCATACCCACAAAAGTCCTAATAGTAACGCAGTCCGTATGAGTTTTTCCAAGCTGATATATTTAAATGTTTTTCTAACCTAATTTCTTAGGAGAAAAAAATAATTGTAAAGTGATATAATGAGTCATTTCTTTTGTCTCTTACCTAACTCAAGGTGGTCCCCTAGGTTTTGGGTAAACCTTGAGAGAAAGCATGTTGTAGCAGGAAATCAGAACAAATTAGGGGTGATAAAATCTGGGTCCCTTTCCCAGCTCTGCCTGGCATTTGTTCTATGGTCTTGGGCATGTCACTTAGCCATCTTTTCCTCTCTCTACCATTTCGGGGGAGGGTTCACTAGATCATCTCTAAGATTGCAGTCAGACCTTCTTTAGCGTCTCTGTGATGAATGCGGCATAATTTTTGAATATGGTTATATTTGTGTAAGGATCCAAAAAATGGAATAATAATTACACATTTCTGGCTTTTAATTCTAAATACTTAGTGTGATGAAAAGGTGTAAATCAAATAATCAGATTAACATTGATTGATAGGACCTATGTCTACAAGTTTAAAACAGTCATCACTTTTTTCATCATGGCTGAGTGATAATTAGCAAGAGACATAGTTATCAACACTTAGCACATAGACGTGAAGACATTCACTGCTTATACAGAACAGATGGACTATAGATATTGAATCTTGTCATACATTAAATAATATGCCTTGAAATTATCTTCCAGATGTTTTAAGGCAGAATTTACATGAGCCAAATCGTAAGTTTCTAAGTTGCAAAATGACTTCAATATGGAAGATTTTCAGAAAAATTCTTTTTAAAGAAGACAAAAGGCAAACTTTTGAGAGCCTTTTTAAGCATTGAAACCTGAAAAATACCAAAGGTATAATCAACAAAATAGCACTCCATCAAAAGCAGTATAGAAAAGAATATTTGTCTATGTTTACATAGTTGTTTTGGCTTTGGGGAGTGGGAAGAAAAGCAATATGAGTTTTCTCTTGATCTTACGTTCAAATTTATGAGTCACTAAGGATAAGCCACCAACCCAGAATGGAGGCCTCCCAGTACCATTCTGCCTCTAGTAGAATGTCACTTCCTAGGTAAAACTGCCCTATAAAATATACTGAGCAATATATTATTACTTTCATCAAGAATTGATCCCACGCTATTTTAACTTTTCCCACTTGCAAGTTTTTTGGTATGATTTTATAACGTTCTTTTGTTGCTTGTTAATACAAGTAATGCTATTGGACCACTTATTTGCTAGACCAACAAATATTTGCTTATAACTAAAAAGAGTAGAGTTGGTATTTACCCAGATCCTACAGTGAATATTAAACATATTAAACCCTAATACCAGTAAGTTTTAATTTACCTTTTTCTGTTCTGTGAGGTGCTGCCTTCTTCCCATTTTCTTAGACCCATCCTCTCTCTACCCATCCATCCATCCATCCACCCATCTTTTACTCTAGATATATATATTTCACCTCTCCCTCCCAAATGTTTTGAGATTTTAAGTTATCCCATTTGGGGCTCAGGTAGGCAAGAAGTCTAGGATGCAGCTGAATAACCTATGGTTAGTGGAATTTAGTTACTCCTGGAAATCCATCTAATCATTCAACATTTAACACCTATTGTATTCTCGGCACTACATTCAGAGTTGGGTTTATATAAATCAAAAGACATTTAAAAATGTAATGAGGATATAGGCACAAAACAAATATATTGCAAAATAATAACCCTAACTAACAATTAATTAAAAAAATATTTAAAATTATGTAGAATAGAGTTCAGGAAGTGAAGGTCATCCTTGGATTAATTACCCATATTTTTCAAAACAGTCTTTGTAAAGGCATGGAAGTTTGTGTTGGGTGGGGGTGCAGTGAAAAGAGAGAAACTAGAATGCTAGAGGCTACTTAGGAATGAGAGGCTTTATCACAGAGAAGATACCTCCAACCTGTCTTTAAGGAGGATAGTGTTTGCCCGGCATATTCATAAGTGAGGCATTTTGGTCAGGAGAACCATGATTAAAGCAGGGAGGAGAAATAGTGAGTGAGGACGGGACAAGGCATGTTCAGTGATCTTCAACTTGTTTGTAGTATTGGAGTATAAACTTCAAGGAGAAAGTCAAAACAGGTGAGGGCCGTAGCTAGGTAGCATTTAAGTACTGGAAGATCTTGGGTACCAGTATCTAAAAACCTGTCAAGTACAGAAATTGAGCCGATATATCAATGTAACAGGGAGATCACATTTTTGGCTTGATAGCAAAAAAAATATCAACAGTAAGAAGCATAACAGTGTAACGAAAAGGCCTCCTCTTTGGGTACCACTTAGAGGTACTTAGAATGAGTTTTCAGTTGGTATGAGAAAGAAATATCTAGCAACTAAGGATGATTCATAAAGGAATGAGGTCCTTGTCACCGGAGACAATCTTTATATGTCAGAGAGATTCTTTATCTGTTGCAATCTTGCACTAGGTCCCTTAAGACATTTTACAACTTTAAGATTCATTGAAAAATAAACAGAAACACTTTTACCAGTTTGTGTAACCACATTTTAGAGGAATCAAAGAGATTTAACTGTGATTTTAGAGGAAGTAGCAAGCCCGGTGTTTTCCTATCCACGTGGCAGGACCTGCTACATCTGCAGTTGCACAAATAAACCAAACTCTCCCGATAGTTTCTGCTCCAGTCCAGTTTCAGTTGTGCTCAATGCAGATTCTCAGTTGGGTAGTTTCTTTATCATGAGACCTGTGGCCCTCAGCCCTCCCCTCATTCGTAGTCTGCTGTACTCTTTCCGCTTTCCAGGATGTGGACCTAGCTCAGGTCGCTCTGACACTTGATTCCATATCCATTCATCTTCCTCCTACACCACCTGTTCTCTCTTGAAGACATTCTTGTGTTCTCTTGATTATCTGTGTCCTCTTATCAAAGGCTTATATGATCACAGCAGAGGGTTGATCTTCACTATGCACATCATTGCTTTAGGATTTTTTTTTTTTTTGCTTGTGACATTAAGGTTACAAATAAACTATATAATTTTATACTACTCATACTTACAACAGTGAATTCCTTGAACAAATATTTTGGGGCCCCTACCACTGCTCTTTGCACTGAGGACTAGCACTGTGTTTAGACAAAGCCCCTTGCCTTCGTGGGGCTTAGATTCTGATGAGGGCAACTAAAACCATGTAAGACAAATATATAAGTAAAGAATTTCGGAAAATGGTAAGTGACACAAAGCTGACAAAAGGGACTATAATAGTGACTTGGTGGGATGAGCTAGTACTTTCAGCAACGTGATCAGGGAAGGACTGTCACAGGAAGTGGCACTTGAGCCAGTGCAAAAATGATGGGAAGGAAGCAGGTGGCCAGAAGGAATGTCAAGAGCCCAAGCCCCAAGTTGAACTGATGGGGCCTCTTGGAAGGAGGAACAGAAGACCAGCGTGGGCCTGAGCTTAGTAATAGCGGATCCTAGGAGAGGACACCCCTGATGTGGGTGGGGGACCAGGTCATGGAGGGTCTCATAGCCCTTGCTGAAATAATTGAATATCATTCTAATTCCACGGGGAGGCCACTGAAGAATTTTATGCAGCAAACTGTTTACTGAAGGAATTTTACAATTGAGGTGTGTCCTATAGGAACAAATGTTATGTTAAATCTCATTAGAATAAGTACCTTGTAGCTTGAATCTTAAATTGAAAATGAGATTGGCATTTTTACCCAAACAGATATTTTTATTTAAGCCTAACCGCTCATGAATAATATTTCAAATAAATTAAATGACCCACATCAAAGAGTGTCATTAGCAGTTTTAATTATCTAAATTTTTTTAATTAAGTATGGTTTGCATTAGTTTAAAGCAGCAGTTGGTTCTTTCTCTTCTCAATAGTTTGTGGTGTGCTCTTACCAGATGTTACTCTTATTATCTGAATGAAAATAGATTCAGGTGACATTGTAGGTCATAGCTGTCGTTGATTCCAAATATATTCATTCTCAAAACCCTCATCAACAAGACTAGCATCTGTTGGAAAGAAAATCACGCCTGGTCTTGGTTATATGCTCATTATTTCCTCACTTCGTTCTGTCATTACTGCATTATCAGGATAAAGCTGTCTTCCTTTTTCATCAAAATATTACCACTGTGGAATTACATTTCTACATAGCCGTAGCTACCTTTTGCTAGCATATGCTGAATATGCTCAGAAAGGTATGGTCACTTAAATATTGAGTGAAAAGAGCTTTGGACATGATTTTTTCCACTCCGGTCCAGGCCAAGGTGGCAGGACACGCTGGTATATGGCAACAGTGAAAGAGTAACTAGGGCACTGAAGTGTCCTTATCGCGGCAAAATCCTGTCGGGTACCAATCAGCTACAACTTCAAATGCCATCTCTGTTTTCAGCGTGTCCGATATCTCCTCACTCGGACGCATCTGGCGTATGTAGAACTGAGATCCATTTGGAGGCCATAAAATTCTTTAATACTTCATGTTTTATAAAATAGATACAGCTTTCCATTTATGTTTTAATTCTGGAGATTTCTGTCATAATTTGCAAGCAGCTCAGAAGTAGTTTATGGCAGCTAGTAAATAAATTGCTTTCTTTTCTTTCCAGGAAATGCTTCCAGACTGCACACTTTTATTTAGAGGACAGTACCTCCCCTCGAGTAATATCCACACCTCCAACACCTGTCTTTCCAATTTCAGGTAATAGCTTAAGGTGTGACCAGGAGTAGCGGAAGGTTTGTCCTTACTGGAGTACTTTGCAAAGGGCTCTAATGGATATGAGTAAATACTTCAGTTGCCCAAAATATTTATTACTGCCATGTATCAGGCACCAAGGTTTCTATCTTATTCTCATTAATTTTGAACATTTTTAACCACATAGATGATATGGCAGAATAATTCATAATATTCAGGTATAGACTGTTAACATAACATAGCAATAAAATATTAGTTAAGAATAAGGCTGACCTTCAGCCATTTCCAGTACTTTAATAGAAACCTGAACCACAGAAGTCAGACTAAACCAAGGCAGTAAGGCTGGATAGGACAAAATAACAAAGAGAAGCACAATGCTTAGTTGCTTTCTGATCATCTGAATTTATGTGAGAAAAGCTTCCTTAGCTACAGTAGGGGGGGAAGAAAACTATAAAATGGTAGGAGTAGAAGAAAAACACGAGCACACAAAGAATGTGTAATTGCCTGAAATACTTAAAGTCACGATGTCAAACAGTTTGAAGACTGTCTATTTTCAGCAGAACTTACCTGGTTCTGAATATTCCATATTCCAGGATTAGCCGGGGTCATTTTGACTGAGACATCCATTGACCCTTGAGTGCACATTGTAAGGTCACAGACATTGACTTGGTTAACATTTTATAACATTTCAGAATGAAAAGTGGTAACAAAAAAGGAGTTGCCCAGAATATGCGAACCATGGAAGCAGCTCTGGAGGATAGAGGATAAAACAGACACAGAGAACCACCGAACCAGGGAAAACAGAAGGAAAAATTCGTCAACGTGGTTCTTTTAAAGAGGCCTCTTTTTAAATTGACTGATACTCTATATGTTATTGTTAGAGGCCCAAATTCCACAAGATGTTATCTCATGATTTAAAAAACATTAAAAAAAAGAGAGAGAGAGAGAGAAGCATTTTCTGTGTAATTTTCAGGGGGCATAGGAATTAAAAGTGTTTGGCTTTTTCCTCTTTTATCCACTCTGAGGCTTTAGCCACCACTTACTTCTGTTTTTCTAGATAATTTTAAAATTCTGTACCTTTATTTTAGTACAGCACACTTTCTCATTAACATATTCAGAATTCTGAGATTGGCAGCTCTCAGGTGTTTGTTACATTTTGGTTCCCTTCCCTTTCATACCTCGTGTGCAGACGCCCTCAGCATGCGTAAGCAAATTAACATAATATCGCCCCAAGTCCCGTATCATTTATTATTATTATTTTTTATTGTTAGAAAATTTTAATAGCCTATCCTTATAATAAAAACATACAAAACCTTAAAGGCAGAACAAGATCAGTTAAATAATCCCAAATCAGGACGTTGTCCAGGAACTCCAGAATCCCCTGTTCTACTTCTCAGAAGAGTTGTGATCAAGGGCATTTCCTCACTTCACCTGCGCTCCAGATCACCCAGATACCTGCCTTTCCATGTAGAATCAGAAATTAAAAAGATATGTTAGTCTCACTTACTTGCAGACCAGTTCGTGAAAGAAATGACCAAAACACATGACTGTAAATAAAAAGTAGTCAGTTTGGTTGTGAAAAGAGGTTAACTGTGCAGGATAACATCTATGGGTTGGAAGGACCCTCATGAGAAGAGCTAATGGTTTAGATGTGACAAGCTATTTCTGTTTTCTTGTCTAATTATAAAAGCTACTTCCAGGCAAGATCCTTCTGCAGATGTGAAGGCAGAATTACACCTTTGTCTAGTGTTTCTCAAGCTTAACTGGCTAATTCAATTTTAGTATTCAGGTACACTCATCTAAGAGAGAGAACAGATGGATTCTACTTTTTAAAAAAATCAACAAATTCTTGGTAACTGAAGCTTAAAAATATTAAATGGCCTAGATGCTGAACATCTGTTGATGTAAATAAGTGTTTCTAGTGAAATGTGTTTGATGTTTCCTTGTCAGAGAAATCACTTGTGAAATTGCATACTGTGAACTAGTAATATGTTTAATCTAAGAAAGTCTTTCCAGATGGGGGGGGGAAACAGCCAGTTAAAATAATTTGGCCCCTTCACAATTAATTAACAGATCCAATGACTCTGTTTACATAGCATATTTTCAAGTTAGAGTTCTTGAAATTTTACATATTAAAAGTCCCAAAGGTTTTTGACATTATCCTTAATGAATAGTCTGCATATCAATGTTTTCTGTTATTTATGGAGAGAAGGAAAAAATGTGTTCAAATGTAAACATCTGACTAACCGTAAAACATTAAGCTATGTAATTTTATAAAACTGAAATTATACTATATATTATGTTTAGTTCATGGTAAAATTGAAAATATTTCTGCATTTTTTTAAAATATTTATTTATTTGAGAGAGAGAGAGCACAAGACGGGGGAGGGTCAGAGGGAGAAGCAGACTCCCCACTGAGCGGGGAGTCGGATGCGGGACTCGATCCTGGGACTCAATCCTGGGACTCGATCCTGGGACTCAATCCTGGGACTCCAGGATCATGACCTGAGCCAAAGGCAGCCGCCCAACCAACTGAGCCACCCAGGCACCCTCCCTCTGCATTTTTTTTTTTTTACCCAGAAATCACATTCATGTGAAATGTGTTAACGGAAATGCAACTCCTACTCGTGTTAAAGAAAGTTACCCATAAAAAGATGCAGTCCATTGATAAGACGTGAGGCTTTGGTGGTATTCATTATTTAACTTTAAAAATTAATTCTTGTTTCTCTAGAGTATGAATGGAAAAGAGATTCATGATCAAATCAGAATTATAAAATGCAAGTTATGATTGATAGTAAATTTGGAGAAAATTGATCATTGCTGCTTAGTGTTTCATTGGAAGCTGCAATTCCCTTGGGGTTGTAGGAATAATTGAACTTTGAAGTTGTTTGAGAAGAAGGCACTTTATAAATCTTTATAAGTGAGAGGCATATTCCTTTCTGTTGAATTATCCTTTCCAAACTAATTTTTTTTTTATTTACTTAGATGATGTTGGAGCAATTCCAATAAAGCACTTTCCAAAGCATGTTGCAGACTTACATGCAAGTAATGGGTTTACTGAAGAATTTGAGGTATGATTTTAATATGCCTATTTGAAATAATATGGAAAATAGTAAATTTAAAAGATTCAGCAGTAGGCTATTTCTTGACCTAAAGACATTGAAACCATTTTCACTTCTAGGAAGAATATTAGTTCTGTAATCACTTATGTGTTTAGATGTGTTATGGTTACCATATAATTTAGAAAATTGGTTTTCCATTTTAAAAGCCAAGTTGTCCTCATAGGAAAAAAACATTGTGAATTTTCTCCCATAAAGTACAGAATTCCAGTATTCTTCTTTTAATCTGAATTAGTAACACTGATTCCTTTTAATTTTCTAAATTATATAAATTATACTAAACTACTAAATTTTGTGATTTTCAACCGAAGTACATATAAACTCTTACTTGTTAAGTATTACATCAGTGTAAATGCAGAAGCATTTATTATACAAGGTCTAATAAATATTATACGAGGTAAAGTCCTATCTTCTCCTCAAGAAAATATGCGTTTCTAAAAAACATTTGAACTGCACAATCAGTAAAAATTTTTCTAGTAATATTCCATAAAATAATCTTGGTTAGAAGAGTCAGAGAAATTTGCTGCAAATTTACCATGGCCCACTAAACTCTCAGTTAAGCAGACTTAAGTCCAGAGTTAACAATGACAACCACAAAAAAATGAAGTTACCATTATTGAGCACTCGCTAATATGCTGTTTGTCGCACTAAATGCTTCTACATTCAATCTTCACCCAACTCTGGAAGTTATTTGATTTTTAAGTGGATAAAGTCCACTTCCCTAGAAGTCAGTTAACAACTTATAAATGGTAGCGCTGGGACACTTATCTCGATGAGCATTGAGTGATGTGTAGAATTATTGAATCATTATACTGTACACTACAACTAATGTAACACTGCATGTTAATTATACTTCAATTTAAATAAACAACTAATTAATTTTTTAAAAAAATAGCAGGGCTGGGATTCAAACCTAGGTTTGTGATTTTCAAACGTAATACTTTCCATTCCAGCAAGCAAGAGATCTTTAGCCTCCTCTCTAGCCCCTCCCCTCTAGGAAACCTCACTTTGCTTTTCTGTCTCCACCCTCAACCCAGAACTGCTCTATGGATCTCCCTCTTTGAAGCACCTTGAGCACTGATCCTGACCAGAGGGTGTCCCACTCTCCCCCTTGTACCCAGCACTCGCTTCCCAGGAGTCACATCAGCCAAGATATGTTTAGGGAAGGAAAATGCCATAAATTAGAAAGCTTTAAGAAATCAAAAGAACTAGAAGTGAAATGTGATACATTTTCACTAAATTAAAAATAACAGAAGCCAATTCATTTAATCTTAAAAGAAATCTGAGTCGTTGAAAGAGAAAGCAACAAGAGGTAATGACTAAGTAAAGTGGAATAATATAAAGAATTACATAGTTAAAACATCAAATTATTTTTTCTTACCGTAATGGAGATTAGAGGGTAGGTGGTGCCGTGTTAACTCACAGAAACTATTAGGCTCACATCAAACAAAATCGTGATTGAAAGAGGGAGAGTGTGTCAAGGATGGGTCTCATTTTCCAAATGTTCAAAGCCACAAGGAAAAATAGACGATTTTTAATAAAAGTTGCTGATAGCACATGCACAAAGGCAGAATCGTAGTTTTAACAACTATAAAATCATCTTCAATATTATTAAGCAGCTCATAATAATTAAATTAATAAAATGACCTCACATTTTTACTTAAAAGTGTATTCTTAATTCCATTGCTTTTAACTCACACAGTCTGGTTCAAGAAAACGTTTCATTAACTTAATAATTAGCTTAATAACTAATAATGCTATGCCTTTTAAGTGGTTCATAATACTAAATTGTATTTAAATCTAGAGTCAGAATGGCTTACTGCCAAAGAGGCCTTAAAAGCTTCTCTATAGGGAGGCTGGGCCATTTGCTGATGAGTCAGATTCATATTTGGGTTATATACTTTCTCAAAAATTATAAAGCTTTCATGTTATTATCTTAATACTAAATAATTGTGAGTTCCTACCTAATGTATTTAGATGGAAAAAACATCTCTAAGAAGGATTTTAATTCATTTTAAAAGATAATTGGCAGAAATAATTTCTCTGTACCCATCAAGGTTTAAATTAAAAAGAGGTCTACTAATTAAATATGTTGAAAGTAATTCTATCTAAATTTTGTTTCAAAATGATATAGTATATGTGATAAATAAATTTAGAAGAATTTTTAATGTTCTGACAGCCCTAAATCTGTTACAAACCACCTAATAGGAAGCTGTTTACTCTTTAAAATTACTCTAAATAAATAAAAAATGTGTCACTAATTCAGAGTTTCAAATAGTGCTATAGTGATCAAATAAAATTATATTTGGATATTAGCAAATCTGACTAATGCAACAAAATGTGTCATCAAATACAGGGTTTTTCTCATCTGCATTTTTTATATTCATATTATTATACCACTGTCCCCTTTTAAAAGTGTTATTTTTTTTCCTTTTACATAATTTTAAGGTTCCAAATCGTTAGAAGTTTTGATTTGCATGCAACTGTTTGAAACATTCTGTTTTGTTACTATTTGACGAATGTATTTATTGCATGATCATAGTTTTCCATTGTAAACCTAATATGAACGCTTTTTTTTCTCATTTGTCGTGTGCTGTGGAATTTGATTTCTTTACTTTTTTGGCATTCATTCCCTCATTAGACACTGAAAGAGTTTTACCAGGTAAGGCATTATTTCACTGCATTTTCTCTTAGCCAAGAAATAGTTATAACCTGTAAAAACAATTTTTGGGGGATAGACTAATTTGTTTGTGTTGTCATCTATGTTATGTTTTTAAGGCACCTTGTTTGCAAGGCTAGGTGTTCAAATGTTGTACATACGTTTCTTTACAGGAAGTGCAGAGCTGTACTGTTGATTTAGGTATTACAGCAGACAGCTCCAATCACCCGGACAATAAGCACAAGAACCGGTACATAAATATCGTTGCCTGTGAGTATATCCTTAACTCAGCCCTGGCTCCGTTAGCGCTGTTGTTCCTGGACTCTTCTGTGTTGTCCTCACATCTGACAGCAGACCTCAGTGTCGTTGTTTCAGGACCTTGGTATCAGGGAATAAGGCTTGTGTTGGCTAGTACATGGCATTATATTCCTCTAACTGAAATACAACCTGCAATTAACCATAGGTCTCCTTTAAACAAAACAAACTCAAATTGTCATCGAGGCCCTTCTTCAAGCCCCATGGCTATAAATCTGTTCTTATGGTTTCCCTCATTATTTATATCCCCGGGCCCTATTTTCATTTGCGATCTATTTGCTTCTATGTGAATTTATGAACCAAATAGATTTTCTTGAGACTTTATTTTTCCTTCTAGCCTTTTCTTCTCTTTCTTGCCATTCTTCCTGGGGTCTTATAAAGGGCTAGTTGGATTCTTTTTATTCCTTCTTTCCCTTTATTTTCTTAGCTGTTTTTTTTTTTCTCAATGAGCAGCTGTCTCTTTTGTCTAATGCAAATTTATCTGTTTTTTTCCTATGAAATTACCATCTTTCTTCCATTTTCTTCCAGCATCTCATGTTTACACGTTTCCTCTTATTTTCCTTTACGTTCTCCTCCATCTCTAGAAATCCATCTACAACCCCTCCCCCAAAACTTACACTCCTCTCCTTCCTTACATATTCAGTGGGCCTCCCTGGATCCTATGAACACAGTATTACCAGCTTGGTTATTTAGGTTCTGGTTCCATCCTGGAAGCCAATGAAAATGAAACTGCACTCCTTTTTTTTTTTTCCTAAGTTTTTATGTAAATTCCAGTTAGTTAACATACAGTGTGGTATTGGTTTCAGGTGTATAATACAATATAGTGATTCAACACTTCCACACAACACCCGGTGCTCATCACAAGTGCCCTCCTTAATCCCCATCACCCATTTAACCCATCTCCCCCTCACCTTCCCTCTGGTACCATCAGTGTGTTTCCTATAGTTAAGAGTCTGTTCCTTGGTTTGTCTCTCTCTCTCTTTTCTTCCCTTTGCTCATTTGTTTTCTTTCTTATATTACACATACGAGTGAAGTCATATGTATTTGTCTTTCTCTGACTGACTTATTTCACTTAGTATAATACTTTAGCTTCATCTGTGTCGTTGCAAATGACAAGACCTCATTCGTTTCCATAGCTGAGTAATATTCCATTGTGTGTTATGTATGTATGTATATATATACCATTTTTTTTCTTTATCCATTCATCAGTCCATGAACGCTTGGGTACAATTTGGCTATTGTAGATAATGCTGCTGTAAACATCAGGGTGCATGTATCCCTTTGAATTGGTATTTTTGTATTCCTTGGGTAAATAAATACCTAGTAGTACAATTGCTGGATCATAAGGTAGTTCTATTTTTAACTTTATGAGGAAACTCCATTCTATTTTCCACAGTGGTTGCACCAGTTTGCATTCCCACCAACAGTGCAAGAGGGTTCCCCTTTCTCCACATCCTCACCAACACCTGTTGTTTCTTGTGTTGTTGATTTTAACCATTCTGACAATGTGAGGTGAAATCTTGTTGTAGTTTTGATTTGCCTTTCCCTGATGATCAGTGACATTGAGCATCTTTTCATGTGTCTGTTGGCCATCTGTATGTCTTCTTTGGAAAAACGTCTGTTCACGTCTTCTGCCCATTTTTAATTGGATTATTTGGGGGTTTTTTGGTGTTGGTTGTAGTTCTTTATATGTTTTGGATGCTAACCATTTTATTATCACTTTTTCTTAAATAGTTTGGATAGATGCCGCTTTCTTTCCACAGGGATGACACAAATTTTTATTAGAAGGGTTTAGTAGGACATTCTGCTTCATGTTTGTTTTCCTCACCTGAAGCAACTATCCTGGCTGCACATCAAAATTCAGCTGCTGCTTGGACAGGGTGAAGTTGTTAAACTATTCCCACTATAAGCCAAACAGAAAACACCTACCAAGTAATTAAGAGAGGATGGAGATTAACATTTGTTGTACACCTTCTCTGTGCCTGGCTCTGTAAATACATGATTTCATTTAATCCGTGAAATGATCTGGCACATAGATAATAATAGTCCTATTGTAGAAATGAAGAAAACACCCCAGCAAATTTACCCAGTAATACCTCTCTAAAAATATTAGAACCAAAATACACAAAACAATAGGTCAGCCTGGCATCAGACCCATCTTTTCGTTGCCATATACCTATTTCTGCATCCATTCCCTGCTCTTTGAGCTGCTGTTGTCCCAGAAGCAGTAATAGCTCAGGATGTCTCTCCAATTGTCCTGGTTTGGACTGTATTCACTTCTTCTTCTTCTTCTTCTTCTTTTTTTTTTTTTTTTGTATTCACTTTTTCATCCTTGAAAAGAATAAATAAATCCTGCCCCATGATACTACCAATTTTCCTTCCAGTAACATTTCCCTTTCTTAATGTGTCGTTCTTCCAAATACATATAATTTCTCTGTAGAACTGAAATTGATCTCAAAGTCCCCATTTCAGAGTGTTTTCATTGCCGCAGTACACCATGTCTGAGTTAGCATCGTTTTCACCCCCTTTAAATAGACAGTGCCAGACCCCCGCCCTGTTCTCAGGCAGCCGTCCTCCTGCCTCGCTGTGCTCCTTGAGGTTGTCCCCTTGAACAAGCTGTTGGCTGGAACCATTCACAGAAACTTCCTAGGTCCCTTCTACTTCCCTCTCTACTTTCTCTTCCTCCACCAACCCCTTATTCAAGAGTGCATACTCTGCCATCCTTCTTTAGCTTTCTGAGACACCCCCCTCCAATCCCCTCCTCTCCCTTTCAGTGGCTCTCCACAGTTCACAGTCCCAAGATCCATCCTTAGAAACCCATCTAAGACACCAATGTCACCTTCCAATCTTTATGAAGATTCTTATTATCATCCCAAACCAACACAATCTCTGCCTTCAAGTCCCCCCTCATACTCTGCACCTCCCTTGACACCTGAGCATTCCTTTCTGTATATAAGTCCGTGCTCATCATCTGCATCAGACAACTTGCTGAAGGCAGGAGCTCTTGTTATATTTATCTTTGTCATCTCTGTATCCCCATAAAGCTTACTAAAAGTAAATTATATTTGCACTTATTTTAATTGTATTTGATGTATCATTATGTAAATATAAATGACCTTTATGTTGAAAAGTAGTCCATGCTATAGTGAAATATTTTCTTTTTTTTATTACAGATGATCATAGTAGGGTTAAGCTTGCACAACTTGCTGAGAAAGATGGCAAACTGACTGATTACATCAATGCCAATTATGTTGATGTAAGCATGCTTCAACTGAAACATTTATGAAATTATATTAGACTATGAATTTATTATACCACTGTGCTGTACTTATCTAGTGCTTAATACATGTTATATGATAGATAATAAAAAGTACAAATCAGCAGTAGGACATCCCATGGCTAAAGGATTTCATATTGAAAAACACTCAAGTCCTTGTACTTGGTTTCTCTCCTGGGTGAGAGAGGTGATTCAGGTTGAAAATGATTGTTCAAGGTAGAATGTTTATATACATTTGGATAGGTTTATAACTCTTTAAATGTGAAGGACAGGACTCCTGCTTATTTTGAATGTCCCACAGTTCCCAGCCCAATATTGTATGGATAGCACATGATCAATAAATCCTGACGGAGAGATTCCCAAGGCAGTCCTGTGGCTAAAAGGCAAACACATGATTACTAAACCAGTTATTGGCCTTATAATCTTGGCACTTCTCAGGATACCCAGCCATGTGGGACTATTAGAGATCTCCAGGGACCACAGACCACTGACTAATTGACTGGTTTTTCACTGTGGACAGTTGAATGTCAGTGGAGCTCAGTTCTTTTCCTGACACTGACCTTGCAGTCTAGCTGCCTTCAGGTTTAGGCCGTGTGGAACAGTTAATTCTGAGAAGTGAGCACCACATATAAAGATACAGTGAATTTGGTATAGGCAGCCACTTCATGCTTCCAGAGGAAGCAAAGTGTATGTCACATCCAACATAGGCTTTTTTCACGGGCTTTGGAGTTAGAACTGGTTTTGAATCCCAGCTCTGTCCCTGGGTGGCCAGGAAAGCTTGGAAGGCCACTTAACTCCCCTGAGCTTCTCCCCATCTCCAGATCAAGGATGATGCTTCCATTTTGCCAGGATTCGGGCAAATGTTCACAAAGCATCCTGGGTAAGAGTGGGTGCTCAGGGAAGGAGAGCTAGTAGTGATTAACACTGCTCCGTATCACCAAGGAGAGGGGATTTCCCAACTGTTGTAGACAGCTGAGCCCCAATGCCTCAAAGACATTTCAGAGCAGCACAATTAAAGACCAGCAGAGTAAATAGACTTAGATTAAATGTACTTGGACTAAGGGTGCAGGAAATAGTGTCTGTACCAAAGCAAAGAGAACTTTTTTTTTTTTTTTACAAAGATCATAGCTAAAGAATTGCTGTCTTTGCTAGTACTATCAAGTTTCTCCACCATTGCAGGATTATTTTTTATGGTTTTTCTTTTACAGAAAAAAATGCACTGACCTTAAAAACTTACATATTGAACAGTAAAAATGGCATAGAATCAGTAATGTAGGAAAAAATATTTGTCATTTGTTTCTTTAGGGCTACAATAGACCAAAAGCTTACATTGCTGCCCAAGGCCCACTGAAATCCACAGCCGAAGATTTCTGGAGAATGATATGGGAGCATAACGTAGAAGTTATCGTCATGATAACAAACCTCGTGGAGAAAGGAAGGGTATGTAGGTAATCCATTATCTCATCCCCCAACTAGTAATCAGAAGTGCTTTAAGTTGCTTTTAATAGAGTCAACATTAGGAAGCAGCAGAAGTTAAGATTAATCAGGATTCCTTTCTAGTAAGTATGACAGCTAAAAGGAAACCTAACATTGTAGGTCAGAGTTTCACTATAAATCAAGCTATCAGGCGCCTGGGTGGCTCAGTTGTTAAGCGTCTGCCTTCGGCTCAGGTCATGATCCCAGGGTCCTGGGTTCGAGCCCCGCATCGGGCTCCCTGCTCGGCGGGAAGCCTGCTTCTCCCTCTCCCACTGCCCCTGCTTGTGTTCCTGCTCTCGCTATGTCTCTTTCTGTCAAATAAATAAATAAATAATCTTAAAAAAATAAATAAATAAATAAAGCTATCTGCTATTTATTTTTTTTAATATTTATTTATTCTTAGAGAGAAAAAGAGACAGAGTGTGCAGGGGGAGGGTCAAAGGGAGAGAGGGAGAGAGAGAGAATCCTCAAGCAGACTCCCCACTGACCGTGGACCCAGATGCAGGGCCTGATCTCAGGACCCTGCCATCATCACCTGAGCCAAAATCCAGAGTTGAACAATTAACTGACTGAGCCACCCAGGCCTCCCCAAGCTGTCTGCTATTTAAATGCATTCTTCATACAGTGAGAAAAAGTAATGAGCCCCTTTGCAATGGGGCTCATTGCAAAGCAGTCCAGAGTGAAATAGATTTTAATTCACTGGAGCTGGATTCTAGTCCTGCTTTGTAGTGACTCAGTACATCTGGCCTCCCTTTCCTCATCTGAAAGGGGAAGTTTGGACCAGATCCTTTCAAGTCTTTCAGCTCTGTAATTCTATCCCTGGTCTCCTCTAAAAACTACTCACAATCACATAGAAAGAAAGAAAATGTTTGGAAGAATGAGGGAGTTCATTCCTGCCCCGGTGTTAGACCTCTGCTGATTTCAGGGAGAACTCTTATATCGAGCCTTTGAAATATGGAAATAGCATCTTTACTTTCTCTTTTGCAGAGAAAATGTGACCAGTACTGGCCTGCTGATGGTAGTGAAGAGTACGGGAACTTCCTGGTCACTCAGAAGAGTGTTCAAATGCTTGCCTATTATACTGTGAGGAGTTTTACTTTAAGAAACACAAAGATGAAAAAGGTGAGTCCACAAATGAAGGACATCATCAATTGAGTAATACATCTGGTCTTTTTTTAAGTGAGTGGGTGATAGAACCAAAGCAGGCTGAAAAGATACAGAATTAAAGGCATTGAGAGTTCTTACGACAACCATGCCTCATTCCCAAATGCTTCTGCTAAGTCTCTGACTGTCAGCGCTGGCTTAGGAGCCAGATTGGTCTTGGTGTCATCCACATGGTGGATGTGATGCTCAAATGAAAGTTCCTGCCCCATGTGATAACTGAGTGTCCAACTAAAAATAGTGGAGATTGAAATAAGGAAGGAAAAAAAACCAATGATGTATAAATCAGGGTTCTCCAGAGAAACATTGTGTGTGTGATTGAGATTGAGAGCGAGAGGGAGATTTTTTTTTTAAATTTTATTTATTTATTTTATTTGAGAGGGAGAGAGAGTGTGTGTGTGAGTGGCAGGAGCGGAAGAGGGAGAAAATCCCAAGCAGACTCTGCTGAGTGTGGAGCTGGGCTCGACTTGGGGCTCGATCCCATGACCCTCAGATCATGACCTGAGCCAAAACCAAGAGTTGGACACTCAACTGACTGAGCCACCCAGTACCCCGAGAGAGAGAGATTTTTAAGGAATTGACTTCATGCCAGAAATACAGGCAAGGTTTTTATGTTTTAATCACAAGGAGAATTCCTTCTTCTTCAAGAAACCTCAGTCTTTATTCTTAAGGGCTTCAGTTAATTGGATAAGGTTTACCCACATCACAGAGTATGATCTGCTTTACTTGAAATCTATTAATTTAAGTGTTAATCACACTAAAAAATACCTTGACAAGGACGGGCACATGGCTGGCTCAGTCAGTAGAGTACGCGACTCTTGATCTCAAGGGTTGTGAGTTTGAACCCCACGTTGGGTGTAGACATGTTTGTGTAAAGGCTTTCACATTAATTGGAAAAAATAAAAAATAAAAATAAAATCCTAATTGGGTATTAAAGAGGGCACGTATTGAATGGGGCACTGGGTGTTATACACAAACAATGAATCATGGAACACTACATCAAAAGGTAAGTAAACAATAAATAAATAAATAACAAAAAAACAAAAAACAAAAATTAAATCTTAAAAAAAAAAATCTTGACAGGAACATCTGGTATGACTGGTATTTGACCCAACTGCTAACCACCATAGCTTAGTCAAATTAACACATAAAATTCGCCACCATCATTATGTACCACCAAAGTCCAGTTAATGTTTAAGGACCTGTGTGTGTGTATGAGTGTGTTTGCATGCACGCACGTCTGTGGGTATTCCCGTGACGACTCTCCGAACTGTTGCAGGGCTCCCAGAAGGGAAGACCCAGTGGGCGTGTGGTCATACACTACCACTACACTCAATGGCCCGACATGGGAACGCCAGAGTACCCGCTGCCACTGCTCACCTTTGTGCAAAAGGCGTCCCACGCCAAGCGCCACGCCGTGGGGCCTGTTGTCGTCCATTGCAGGTGAGTCTCAGAGGCAGGTTTCTCAGCCCACAGAATGCCTGCTGATAGCAAAAAGGGAATCCAAGGAGCAAAGGTTTTGCCAAGATCAGGATGATTTCGTGAAGTGAGGGGGGCTGAGATTACATGCCCATTTTCAAAAACACTGACCACTGGAAAATGAGTATGCCGGCCTCAGAATTTGATTGCTAAACATTTCAAAGCACCAGAGATTTTTTTATGATGTTTATTATTCTATTGAACTGTTGAATTGGATTTTAACTTATTAAATGGGTGAGGCAGGAGGAACCATGTTTTGTCATTAAACAGACATTTATTACGACATAATATCATGGGATAAAAGTGCTTGGGACATAACCCCTGTCCCTAGGAGTTAGTGGTCTCTTGTAGAGTTATTATATCAGGGTCATATGAGAGAAACCAAAGTGCACAGAGGGTGAAGAATTTGGCAAAGTACTTTTAGGTTGTTTTTAAACAGTTTGGGATCAAAATTCTTTTCTCATTTTCGGAGTTCTATCTAATATATTAAGGTGTTATCAACTCATCGTTACCCAATTACTTTATTTCCAAGACTAATTTGATGAAGAGAAGTAAGGATATTTCAAAGAAAGAGAAAAAAAATGTGTAAGAGGTTTTAATCTAGTATTTTTCAGTTGAAATAAAAATAACAGTTAACATTTACCGAGCGCTGATTGTGTGCCAAGCTTTATGACCACACAAATCAAGTTGATTTCTGTGTACGGTATTTTTGTCAAAGCGGTGTCTGTGTTTCTACAGAAGTAAATGCTTTCCTTTCATATACAGCTTATCTGACACATTCTAATTATCTATCTCAGGAGTTATCCTCAGACAAAATTTGAGAGCTCGATCTTGAGTTTTTTCATCTGTTAGCCGGATGATAAGCTGAGAGAAGCAGGAAAATGCAAGAAACAGATCTCTGAAGGTCAGGGATTGTTTCTTAGCAAATGGAGGAGGACCAGGGTATTGTGAGGAGCAGGTGCTAATTTTCCACTCTAGCACTTCCTACTTGTCGAAGCATTTGAAAAGACTCCCTGCTTATGAATTCTGTCCCTCCAGTAGAGGCTTTGAGGAAGTCAATAGATAATGGCCCTTTAGAAATGACTGAAGTTATGCTTTATTCCTCACGATCTCACTGAAACGATATTTTCAGCTGAAAGCCTCATCAAATTCTTTTTCCAATTAATGTGAAAACCTTTACACAAACATGTCTACCTGGCAATACAGACCCAGGACCTTTTCTTTTCAGAGTTGGGTGAAGCTGATGCTTTCACTTTTCTCAGATTAAATGTCTAGTTGCTACGCTCTGATGTGGAATGTTTTCATTCTGTACCATATATGATGAATAATAAATACAATTATTGAAAATTTAAGAATCTCGAATGAATGAATGAATTCAAAATCTCCAACAGAAATAGGCTGTTTTACAGTTTGACCTACTGCCAAAAATTAGAAAGTAAACAATTTATTTGAAGTATTATGCTTAACAACTAAACTGTTTGGTTTGGGATTGCTAAGTTATTTATTATGTGGCTCAGTTGCTTGGGGAAGAAAATTATTTTAATTTCCAAGATAGCCAGGAGTGACCTATCTTCAAATTTATCTTATGCTTGACATTGAAATGGCTCTTTCTTTGTGTTCTCTTCAGCGCCGGGGTGGGAAGAACAGGCACGTACATTGTGCTAGACAGTATGTTGCAGCAAATTCAACAGGAAGGAACTGTCAACGTATTTGGCTTCTTAAAACACATTCGGTCACAAAGAAATTATTTGGTGCAAACTGAGGTATGAGAAAAAGGATACTTTTTGTTGTTGTTGTTTTCTCCCCTACCCCCACCACCGAGGTCACTACCTAAGGGCTGGAGATGTCACTAGAATGTTAACGTTGCATGGACCAGACTTTGTTTTACCAGGTTGATTCGTCTCATAGGGCTTCCGTATTAAAGTACTACCAACTGGGTGGCTTACAACAACAGAAACTTCCTGCCTTATGGTTCTGGAGGATAAGAGTCCAAAATCAAGGTGTTGGCAGAGCCGTGCTGCATCTGGAACCTCTACAGGAGGATCCTCCCTTGTCTGAGTTTCTAGTAGCCCTGCATAATTCTTGGCTGTAGCAGCCTTACTTCATTCAGTCTCTGCCTCCATCTTCACAGGGTCTTCTCTGTGTGTCCAAATTCCTTTTTCTTAGAAGAACAACAGTCACCACCTCATCTTAACTAATTACATCTGCAACGACCTTATTTACAAACACCGTCACATTCTGAGGTACTGGTCAGGGGTGGTTAGGGTTTCAACATATTTTGGGGGGACACGATTCGACCCATAACACCAGGTAATTGCATTATATATTCTAGGTGAATATATATATATATATATATATATATATATATATATATTAGAATTATATATTCTAGGTGAATATAATATAGAATATATATCATATATTCTAGGTGAACCAGCTATATTATGTCTATTTTGTGACCAAATGGGGAATATCTTTGAAATGACACTGATGACAGAGAAGATTCAAAAAAAGAGTCAGTAGATTAGGCAGCACCCCTCCCTGCTAGCAAAACTTAAGGTTTTTCCTGCATATAGTGAATAAATGCATTCATTTTCATATTTTAAAAGTGAATTATGCTCAGATTATATCCCTTTTTAAGCCCATATGGTTTTACATGACACAGGACAAAGTCTGTATATCTGTATTTTTTCTCCTATTTCTAAACAAAAATGAATTTAAGTGGAAATTATGGATGGCAGCTTGAGAGCAATCAGAGACATATGGCCCATGTGGGTGAAAAGGTATCTAACCAAATAAACTTCATTCCATGGAGGAAATGACACTCTAGTCAGATTAAAACAGGGAAGAGTCACATACAGGAACTAGAAGACAACTATTAAAAACTGTACATAAAAATGCACTAAGTTATATAGGACTGACTAAAAGAAGAATTGGAATGGACAGAAGAAGAAGACCCATGAGAAATACAGAGTTAGGAAAGTCCTCATGCAAAATATGAGAGCAGGTAGCAGGTTTGGAGGCTGGGCAGAGAGCATTGCCTTGCCTCTTCCCCACCAATGTCAACACAGAAGTAGAGAGGTGAGGGACAAGAAGAGTTGCATTGTCTCCTGACTGCCTCCTTTTCTACATCTGATTTCCTGCCAGGTCTAGTAAGCAATCTTCTGTGGGTCCACCCCCGCCATTATGTAAGACTCACTTTGTCTGTCAGTGAAAAATAGATTAAGAACTTTTGTACTTAGATATATATAAAGAAAACATAAAATAATGTTCCCTATTGTCATTGTTTCGCCAGGAACAGTATGTTTTCATTCACGATGCTCTGGTTGAGGCCATACTTAGTAAGGAGACTGAGGTGCCAGACGGCCATATTCATGCCTATGTCAACACGCTCCTCATTCCTGGACCAACAGGCAAAACGAAGCTAGAGAAACAATTCAAGGTGAGTTCTCTTAGAAGCCTCTTGGATGTTACCACACAATTCAGTGTTCCTGCAGCTTCTCATTTGAGTCGACAAGGCCATGTGCACGGGTTCAGAGCACAGTTGGTACAGTGGCTTTGTATTGCTCTTTACAGTGGGCAACAAAACCACGTGGTCAACTTCAAGGAGAATCTTGATTTTGACTAGCAAGAGGAAGAGGTCTCAAGAACTCTAGGTTAATGTTTACAAATGCAAACTTGGTCCAAGAATGGAGGGCACAGAACATAACAGAAGGGATGGGCAGACCTCCTAATACAGACTGCATAAGTGCTCTTTTTTCCTTTGAAAAAACCAGACCACTTCACAATGAATGATCCGGCTCAGGCTGTTCATGCCACTCGTTGGAAAAATCTGTCTCACTTGAAGGCCCTAGACTAGAGAAGAGGCCACCCCAGAACAATAGCTCTTCAACCCCAATTTCTCCCACCCACCTTGTCACAAGGCAGTGAGCTAGAGAAGAGAGTATGTTTTGTTCAATATCATACTTTCTACAATCCTAGTTCTCTGGCTTCCAGAAATCAATCAGCAAAGAATTCAGAAAGTAGAACTTACGGGACCTTCTAGCTGTGCTAGGGGGATTTGCACAGTTGTGGTTTTCCCAAGGAATGGAGGCTGTGTTATTTGCTCTACCTTATTCCTATACTAACCTCTTACTTCCCAGGATTCCTAGAGAAACAGGGCCAATTTCTGAAGAAGGAATATCTACAAAAAATTTGAAAGACCCTGGAAAAACCCAGGAGAGTTAACAAACCTTGAGATCGCAGGGTGTTTTTTTTCATCTTCTCTCCAGGCTACAACATAAAAGATGTTAGTCACCACAGATTCCTTCTGTTTTTTTGCCTTCTCAGTCAGCGCCTTTTGTGCCTTTGGAGGAGTAAGAGAAGGATTAGGGGTGAATGCTGCGTTTTGAACCTGCCAGGAGGACATAAATGTTCTTGTTCAACAAAGTTTGAATGATAACAGAACACTAAAGAAAGAGAGAGTATGAAGTTTGACTTCCAGAAATAGATAATAAACGAGTATAGAACATCAACATTAGGTTGTTAGGATAGCTTTCTTCTAAATTAAAAAATATATAGGTATTACTCATTTTCAACAGAATTCTCATTTTAGCATGACTTACCCCTACAAAACTGCAAGAAAGAATTGATATGGCTTATATTAGATAACCCAGGATCAAAATGGAAATATCAACTGTGAGGCCAGAATCTTAATTAAGGGAGGGACATTTGACTCGGTTTCCTGTTAACACCTAACTAGGGAGATACAGAAGTGTGTGTGTGTGTGTGTGTGTGCGTGCGTGCACACTATAAGACATTAGTCATTCAAGTTTTTCTATAGATACAAGCCCTTAAAGTAAGTTACCTGTCTGTTTATTTCTGGGTATTTATCTGCAGAAAACAAAAACACTAACTCAAAAAGATATCTGCACTCTTATGTTCATTGCGGAATTATTTACAACAGCTAAGATAGGGGAGCAATCTAAGTGCCCATTGATGGATGAATAGGTAAAGAAAATGTAGTATATTATTCAGCCATAAAATAGAATGAAATCTTGCCATTTGCAACAAGATGGAAAGACCCTGAGGGCATTATGGCAAGTGAAGTAAGTCAGAAATAACTCAGTGAAATAAGTCAGACAGAGAAAGATAAACACCATATGATACCACTTACATGTGGAATTTAAAAAAAAAAAAAAAAAAAAACACAAGTTCATAGATGCAGAGAACAGATTGATGGTTGCCAGAGGCAGATGGTAGGGGTTCGGCCAAATGGGTGAAGAGGGTCAAAATGTACAAACTTCCAATTATAAAATAAAGAAGGTATAGGGATATAATGTACAGCATAGTGACTATAGTTAATAATACTGTATTGCATATTTGAAAGTTGCTAAGAGTGTAGCTCTTAAAAGTTCTCATCATTAAAAAAAAGATTTTGTAGGGGCACCTGGGTGGCTCAGCCATTAAGTGTCTGCCTTCGGCTCAGGTCGTGATCCCAGGGTCCTGGGCTCGAGTCTCACATCGGGCTCCCTGCTCCGCAGGAAAACTGCTTCTCCCTCTCCCTCTCCCACTCCCCCTGCTTATGTTCCCTCTCTCGCTGTGTCTCTCTCTCTGTCAAATAAATAAATAAAATATTTTAAAAAATATTTTGTAACTATATATCGTAAGGGATGTAATTAGACTTATTGTGATTATTTTGCAATGCATTATGATATACACCTGAAATTAATGTAATGTCATATATCAGTTATACCTCATTTTATTTTTCAATTTTTTAAAATTTTCTTAAATTTAAATTCAATTAATTAACATATAGTGTATTTTTAGTCTCAAATGTAGAGTACAATGATTGATCAGTTGTATATAACACCCAGTGCTCATTACACCACGTTCCTCCTTAATGCCCATCTCCCAGTTACCCCCCTGCCCTCCAGCATCCCTCAGTTTGTTTCCTGGAGTTCAGCATCTCTTATGGTTTGCCTCCCTCTCTGTTTTTGTCTTATTCTATTGTTCTGACGAAATCAGAGAGGAAGACAAACCATAAGAGATTCTTAATCATAGGAAACAAACTGAGGGTTGCTGAAGGATGGTACCTGGCTGGCTCAGTCGGTAGAGCGTGTGATTCTTGATCTTAGGGTCATGACTTTGAGCCCCACGTTGGGAACAGAGTTGACTTTAAAAAAATAAAATAAAGAGAGACTACTTAAAAAAAAAAAACTAATGGAAAGAGATCCATGGCAGTGGGCACATGGGGGAGAAGAGATTATTAGAGGGAGAGGAAATCCTGAGAAGGGGCAAAGGGGAAGGATTCAAGACTAGGAGGGATTGGGGCAAAATGCTGGGACACGTAAATGGGTGTGGTAGCAGGAAGTGTATGGGCTCCAATGCTGGAGACTGAGGGAATATTCTGTGGCTTCTATTCCCTGTGTGACACAGGAGGTGAATGTGTATGTGTGTGTGCACAGGCATGGGGTATACATGTATGTTTGTACACATATTCTAAAATAAAGATGTTAAATAGCTGCTGGAGGGGAAGAGTTGATTTCAAGGAATCTATACCGTACTGACCATATTCTCAGAACCTAATCCAGTAAAATTAGAAATTGACCATGAAAACTTGCCCTGAAAAAAATCCAGACATTGGACAATAAAAATGTTCTTTTAAATAATTGACCTATTAAAGAGGAAATTATAAAATCTTTAGAATTAAAGGTCAACAGAAGCATTACATAGCATAACTTGTCTGATACAATTGAAGTTGTATCTAGAAAGAAAGTTATAGCCTTAAATATATTCATTTGAGAATAAAAAAAATAAAAGCAAACGAAATAGGCACATCATGTAAAAATTAGAAGAGAAGCATGGTACACCCAAAGAGGGAGACAGAAAATTTTTAAGCAAGTTAAAGCTTTCTTAAATTAAATAGAAAGTTAAAGTAATTAAATAGAAAAGGAGATGAAACAAAACCAAATGCAGGTTCTGTCAAAGACTATAAAACAAACAAACCTGTGCCCAGATTGTGAGAAAAGGGAAGAGAGAGAGTATACAGAAATAAATATTAAGATAAAAAACAGGGATATAATTATAAATATTTTAGAAATTTTTTTTCTAACTTAAAAAGCATAGTATGAACATATTTGTGACAATACATTTGAAAACCTACATGAATGAAATTTTTTTAAGAAAAAGTAAGCAAGATACACTTATAAAGAAATGAAAAATCCAGCTAGACCAATAACCATTAAATAAATTTTATCAGTTACCAAAAATCTCACCTCCAAAATAAAATTAGAACTGAAAGAATTACCAAACTTTTAAGGGACAGAAAATTCCAAACTCTAGGATAAAATATCTAGGTAGGAAACAAACCCAACTATTTTACTGGACAAGTGTAACTTTGATACCAAAACTGTACAAAGATAGTATAAATAAAGAAATGTATAGGTTAGTTTCATTTATGAACTTAAATGCTAAAATCCTATTTAAAAATATTGGGGTGCCTGGGTGGCTCAATTGGTTAGGCGTCTGCCTTTGGCTCAGGTCATGATCCCAGGGTCCTGAGATTGGGCTCCCTGCTCAGAGGGGAGTCAGCTTCTCCCTGGTCCCTCCCCCTCCCCTGCTCATGCTCTCTCTCATGCTCTCTCTCTCTCAAAAAATAAATAAAATCTTTAAAAAATATATCAGCAACTCAAATCCAGCAGTGTGTTTTTCTTTTTAAATATTATGACCAATTAGGGTTTGTAGAGTTTGTTTCAAGAATGAAGTGATGATTTAACATTAGAAAATATGAACAAATTTAGTTATGAGAATTGTATGGCCCTCTCAAAAGATGTAGAAAAATCCGTAAACAAAATTAAGTATTATTCAGAACAAAAACTCTTAGTAAGTTAGAAATAGAAGGAAGCTTTCTTCATCTTACAGAGGATATAATATAAATGTAACACACAAAATTTAAAGTTGGAAATTTTCATAGGTTTAAGAAAAAACAAGAAATGTCAACTGCTGACACTATTAGTCAACATTCTACTGGAAATCAGGTTAAACCAAAAAAATGTATAAAAGTAGAAAAGAATTTGCAGATGATACACTTGTCTATATAGAACATCAAGAGAAACAAAAGTTCTAATATTTATTATTAGAACTCAACTCTTATTACAGTTCAACAAGTATATATGAAAATCAATAGCATTGTAACTCATTAGCTATCAATTGTTAGAAAAGATATTAAAGCAAAAACAGCCAATTCAACAACCACAGCAAACAGAAACAAAAACTCTATGGTCTCAAAAATAAACTTAACAAATGGTGCAATGAATGTGTAGGAAAAAAATTATAAAACTGAATTGAAGAGCATAGAATTAGACAAATAAATATAGATACAATTTTCCTGAATGGAAATTTGTGAAGATGTTGGTTCTCCTAAATTAAGTATCAGTGTGGTACCAATCACATTCTGCCAGGATTTGTTATAGGAAATCAAGAACTGATTTTAAAATTAACATTTAGAAAAGTAAAGAGCGAAGTCATCCAAAGCAATACTAAAAATAAAAAATAAAATAGAAATGTGTTGTACAGTATATGGAAGATTTATTATGCAGATATTATCATTAACACTAAAAAACAGACAAATCAGCCAGAGGAACCATGCATATGTGGAAAGCGTTATTAGGCAGATAGGACACCACAAATCAATGAGGAAAGGACCGACTAACCAATAAAGGAAATTGGGACAATTTCCATGTGGAAACAAGTAAAATTGGATTCTTACCACACCTCAAACACTAAAATTATTCAAGATGAATTAGGTACCTAAAGGTGACAAAAAGATTTTATAACTATTATAAGAATATTAGCAATATATATTTTGAAGACATCAGGATAGAAAAGGACATAATTTGCAGAAATCTTAAAAAATTAGTTGGCCGTGAGCGTCTGTGTGATTAAAGAGAACAAAGACCTTAGCAACTTTTTAAACAGATTATAGATTTACATTCAAGATGTCAAAACCCTCTACAAATTAATAAATGGTAGTGAAGTAGAAATATAAAAAGGCAATCATCAAAGAAGAAATCTAAATGGCTAATGAATGCTACAATTCACAATCTCACAGTAACTAAGGAAATGCAAGTCAAAACCATGGTCTACCACTTATCATCTATCAGACTGTCAAAAATTAAATGCTGATGACTCCTAATTCCATGTGTGGGTATTAAGAAACATACAAGAGATATTCATTGCTACAAAGTTTAGAAAAGGAAAATACTGGAAATAATCCTAACATTCGCTAGCTAGGGAATAAATAGCAAGTAGATTATTCGTGAAATGGAGTACTAAAATAATGAATGAAATCCAACCATATACATATATATGTATACACACGCATTCCATGCAATTTACCCCCAGCTGCAAAGTGAGATGTAAGTGGAAGACATAGAGAGCGCACACCTACACAGGAAGCCATGGGGAAGATCCTCCCAGGGCTGAACATCAAACTACAGACATTCTGTGCTTCTTCCAGCTCCCCTGGTGTAGAGAACATAGATGTGCCAGGGAGTTAGTTCAAGTAATTCTTGGAAAACCAGATATATGTATATTCAGTATCTTATCTTGGTTTCTTGGTCGGGTCGTGTGTGTGTGTGTGTGTGTGTGTGTGTTTGGGTGACTTACATAATCTATATTTTTCCTTGACTCTCTTTCTCAGCTCCTGAGTCAATCAAATATACAACAGAGTGACTATTCTACAGCCCTAAAACAATGCAACAGGGAAAAGAACAGAACTTCTTCCATCATCCCTGGTAGGTTACACTGAATCATGAAAAAAAAAACAAAAACCCTCTTTTATAATAGAAACCTTGAAGGCAATATGACGATATTTTTACATCTTGGAATGAATTGATTCCCTCAGTATTTTTCTAATTATGCCTGATAATGTACCTGTTAAAAAGGACTCTTAAATCCTGAAGTCCATCTAAAAAATGCAAAACACATAGAAAAGCTAGCTTACAGATCAAAGACACTCAACTTGAGACATGCAGCTATGCTTTGCAATGTGGGGGTGGGCAGGAAGGGGTATAGAGCTATGAACGTGGTGGTTCATGATGAATGTTCTATGTTGCAGTGGAAAGATCAAGGGTTGGCATTTCATCTCTGAGTGGGGAAGGCCCAGACTACATCAATGCCTCCTATATCATGGTAAGTCAGAGAAATCACTGGAAAGTTGCCTACCAGCTTGTGCTACCAGAACCAAAACCAGCATGGGCTTCCTGAAGCAGTGGCTGCAGACATAGGTTAGCACCACTGGTGGGTAGAAGCCAAATCTAATGACCACAGACTGCGGCCCATTGGGGCAAAGAGAATAGCAGCATTCCTTGATGTCTTTATGTGTGCTGGGACTGGAGAACCCTCAAGCAAGACAAATCAGTAAATGCAGGAACTGAACTCACCGTTGAGGACTGATGAGAGGATAGAAAGCGTACACTCAGCCATCTAAGAGGCTCCATTTCATTTGCCCTGAACAGGCCGAGGACACAGTGGCTTCAGGAAAGCCCGTCTCCCTGAGTTTACCAGTCCAGGTCTGCAGCAGTGTTGACCCAGTGAACTGGGCTCATTTGGAGACCTGGATTTCTAAAGACATAATCCTTTCCTTCTGTGTTTAGATTTTCTATGAGAAACAGTTGGCTGTTCTATGCCCCTCGTTTCCATTTCAGGTCTATCAATCATAGAGAGCTTGGCTTCAGATGAAAAGGTTGTAATTCCCATGCCAAAACCACTTTTCGTTTATCCAGCAAAGAAAATATTTAGGACTATTCATGCAGGAAACAGGGAGATATGTGGTGGTGGCATCTTATTACATGCCGAATCAAATGAGCCCATGGGGAATAGGAACAGGACCTGAGAGACCCAGAGCAGAAGAGGATAAATAAGCCATGATTTTAGTGAGCAGCAACATGGAAATCGTGACCAATCCAATGGCTGCAGGTTCCAGGTTTCTGCCTCAAAATCTGCAAAGTGCCTCCTGATTCCTCTCCAAAGGAGGAAGCCAGGGTGTCTGGACACCAAGGGTGTTCTGTTGTCAGTAGGTGTAAAATGTGGCACTTTGCATTGGGACTTGTGGAAAGTGAGAAATATAAATTCCCCTCTGGATTTCCATTCTATCTAGTGTAGGAGACGTGGTCCATGTGCCATTTTGGTAAGTCTGCTCCTAGACGTGATAGCTAGGTAGACTTGGGCACAACACTTAACTTCTTAAGCCTCAGTTTAATCATCTGAAAAAGGGGGATCACAGTTCCTGTTGCAGAGTGCTTCTGTGAGACATAAGGGACTTAGGGGGAAGAAAACGCTAGTCCTATGTCTGGTGTATGGAGAGTGCCTTGTAAACATCAGCTATAATGATCACATTATTATTTACAGACACAATCTAAAAATAAAAAGACTGCCTTGACTTAAGGTCCATTAGCTTAGACATGTATTTGGAATATTTAAAGTCATATGTTGGGGCTCTTTCTATCTTCTCTTTGGTTTCATAGGGTTACTATCAGAGTAATGAATTCATCATTACCCAGCATCCTCTTCTCCATACCATCAAGGATTTCTGGAGGATGATATGGGACCATAATGCCCAGCTGGTAGTTATGCTTCCTGATGGTCAAAACATGGTAAGCCCCTCCATCCCCGGTCACTTTTGGTACTTGGGTTATAGGAGATAACAAGTCACAACAGCCAGAAGTCCAAGCATACCAACAAATAAAGTAATTTATTTTTCAACTAATAAACTAATGTCACGGGAGTTGCACCTTGTCTACTATTGGGCCTCAGTTGGTTATGTCATCTCCCAGGTCTGACATTGTTGAATGACAGTTTTAAATAAAAGTAAGTTAAAATGAACTTAAATTTAAGTATTCTGTGATACTGCTTAAGAAAAACAGAATTTCAACCATGAAGTCAGTCCATATGCTTCTATTTACATTTAAAAAAAAAAAAACTTGTTAGGATATTTGGAGAGTCCCTCAGTTTAAAGAGATCTATAGAAGTACAAAAAAAAAAAAAGGCCTATTTTGTTTAGGCTTTGCACATATACTTACTTGGAGATTTATTTCTTAGCTATAAAGTTAGACTGACCATTCCAGATGACACTGGAAATTGCTGAGCTCTTAAAATCACTTGAATCTTCTCTACTCAGTTATCATTTACAGAAGTAACAACTTACCATTGTTACTGATGAGCTAAGAGCAAAACAACAAAGCAGTAGTTTGGCTTCTTAAATGTAATACTTTATTCTACACATCAAACTTGTGTAAGGCTCAATATTTTAAGAGTAAGTTTTGAGATCCAAAGAAAAATTTGAGTTGAATTTTCTGTGTCAACCAGTTAACTTCATTTCACGGTCTGACTTATTAAGCATTTGATGAAAATCATTCTTCTTTGGTATTTAATCCTCCAGGCAGAAGATGAGTTTGTTTACTGGCCAAATAAAGATGAGCCTATAAACTGTGAGAGTTTTAAGGTCACTCTTATGGCTGAAGAACACAAATGTCTGTCTAATGAAGAAAAACTTATAATTCAAGATTTTATCTTAGAAGCTACACAGGTATGGACATAATTGAAATAACAAACTTTTCATCTTAAGCACAAGTTATGTTAAATATATGCTGATTTAAGGATCTTCCCTAGAAATAAAAAGAAGGAACCTAATTTCTTACAAATTAAGACTGATTACCCAAATAATCAGTTTTACCTTACTAGTCACTTTCATTTTCAAAATCCTATAGAATCATTAAACCTTAATCGCCACTAAACTACACCATTCACACACAGGAAATCAACGATTTCTCTTTTACTCCAGAGTAGTTCTGACAGAACTTAAATTGAGAATAAACTCAGTAAAATAATAATAATAATAATAATAATAATAATAATTTCATTAATCCTAATTCTCATGTTTTAAGGGAAATTTTTACCTTGAATTCTTCTAGGTAAAATAGGAAAAATATTATCTACCAAAATGAGCTTACCACACTACCAAGAGACAATGTGTTATAAGTGAAGAAGTGCTTTGAAAATGTGCAGTACAATGAACTAGGATTGTTTTGCTAATTCTTGGTTATCTATAAGGCAGCAATCCGAATTCCTTGTCAAGAATTATTTATAGAATTACAGTACAGTACATAATTTGTTATACAGCTACAGTAAGATGCTAAGAGATACTAATAATAGGGAGTAAGGCTTGTGAGATGCAGAGTACGTCCCCAATCGGAGAAAGGTTAAATCATGTTTTAGATGATTTAAATGTTGCACTTTACTATACTCTAATTCTGAGAGTGGATAAACCATATAAAATTTAGGTTCTGCTGCTTATTTTTCAATGTAGCATTTGATTGAGGACACTTTAGGAAGCTGAGGGTCAGAGGTTTAAGGGATATAAAGTCACACAGCCTGGCTGGTCACTTACACAAGAATCAGAAGTAGACTGAATGTCCATTCCCTTTGCCAGCATTTCCCCGCCCTGTCATGTAATTCCACTCCCCCCTCAATTAATGCTCGTATTTGAAGAAGTCTGTTATTTTTAAAAACAAATGTTAACACTGAAGATGTCTTTTTGTACTAAATAGTGGCACAGAGACATCTTTGGTACATGGTTTCAGAGTTTGATTGCCATAATGAACCCACAAATAAGACTTATTTTTAGAGTGAAAAGGAGATTACATCTACACATGGGAAATGAGGCATCACAGCAGTTTCTTCCCTCCGAGAGGAGGATGGACTGCATCCGCCGCTGTTCCCTCGTGCATGTGATTGGTTTTTATTACCTTCCTGTAATTCCTGATTTCCAGTTACTCCACTCGTAATAAGCTGTCACTCACCAATATGACTCTTCTAAAAATACTAATTTTTCTCTCTTCTTACAGGATGATTATGTACTTGAAGTGAGGCATTTTCAGTGCCCCAAATGGCCAAATCCAGATAGCCCCATTAGTAAAACTTTTGAACTTATAAGTATTATCAAAGAGGAAGCTGCCAACAGGGATGGGCCTGTGATTGTCCATGATGAGTAAGTTCCTCTCTTTAAATTCTTTCATGCCTGAGCACTCTCCAGGTGGTCAGATATTTCTGTTTTCTTTGTACTAACCTCATGATTTGGACCAGTTGTGGTGACTCAGCCAGGAGAGATCATCAGCTTTTTATAAACAAGGTTAATACAGAATTCATTTTTGTTGTTGTTGTTGTTGTTGTTTTCATTTCTCTTGGAGTTCCTGTTGAAGGCAGAAGATGGGTACCTGATCACAAGAATGTGCTCTTGCATTGTATGCTGAGAACACTTCGTGTGATGAGTCAGTGTTTTGGCACTTGAATTTTTACAGGTGCTAACCAGAGAGACATTTCTAAGTTATTGATGTACTGGATAGGATTAAAATTGATATAGTTTTTATTTTACCAGGAACAGGAATCTATCCAATAGATCTTTCCAGGCTCCTGTATGAACAAATAAAAAAGCATATGCTGGAATTGTGTGTTATGTATACATTATATATGAGATATAACTTGTCAGATCTTTGTGATTTATTACCAGCCCCTTCCAGAGTATAAAAATAACAAATGTATGAACAAACATTAAACTTCTATAAAGTATCCCATTACTAATATCATGAACACTTGCTAATATTTCAAATTAAACCATAGTTCTCTACACCATAAAGAGAGACATTTCATTAAAAATTTCTGTGTTCCCACTACAAAGTTGTCAAGGCTTTGTGAGTTCCAAATGTGAATGTTTGATGCATCTGAATGGAGTCTTTGTCCCTTCCCTTTGCTTCAAGGCATGGAGGAGTGACGGCAGGAACTTTCTGTGCTCTGACAACCCTTATGCACCAACTAGAAAAAGAAAATTCCATGGATGTTTACCAGGTAGCCAAGATGATCAATTTGATGAGGCCAGGAGTCTTTGCTGACATTGTAAGTATAAGAACAGCAAACCAAACTTTCACTGTTAGAGTGCTGCTTACTTCCTAAAGGCTGCCAAAATCATTTTATCATGTATCAAAAAAAAATCACATTGACTCATAACAGATTACTACCATGTAGTATTCGAGCTGAATTACAAGTTAATCAGTCCACAATCTATGGAACTGGAATAATAAACAATACATATTTAAAGTTTATCTTCCAGAAAATTGATGGATAAAATTTTTTAAATTTCACATGTCTCTTTTTGCAATTCTGAAAAATACCCTCAGTAGAAGCACCAACTAATTCGACTTACCCCACAAAATAGTTATCTTGGGGTAGGGTTCAAGTTCTGCATAGCCTGAGAACAGTCAGAAGACAGATTTTGAAGACTTCAACGTTGGAACTGTTCACTTTTTTCTGAAGCCGAATTCAATTTTGGTACTTAACAAATGGGTAATTCCTGGGTACTTTTTTTTTTTTATTTTTACTGAATCTTTTTTTTTCTATGTTCAATTAGCCAACTGGGTACTTTTAAAAAGAGAAACTTGTACAATCAAGAAAGAGGCACAGCATTTTGGAGAGATAAGTCTCAACTCTAAAAATAATTTGGAAGTTTTTAATATCATAGAAACAAGGGCTGGAAAGACAGTAGGGATATTCATGCAAATGCCCCAGTGGGAGACCTGTAGGTGGATATAGTAGTTATAGACTCACCTCCAGCTCCCTGGTCTGTGGATGTGTAAGGGCCCATCTTTAAGGCTTCATTCAGTCCAGACCAGTTGTCCAGAAAGTAAGGTAACCCTTGCAAATGTGCACTTCAGAGAAGCACTTATTAAAAGTCATTCAGGCCAGTTGAGTTACATTAAGCTGCTCCTATGTGAAATTGTTTTCCAGAAATTGAACTTTCACCTGATTCATGGATGCATTGAATGATGCACCGATTCACGTGTGGGCCTAATGATTTTCCACTGTGATGTCAGTCACTGGCTCACATTCTCTGAAACTGCCTTTGTCCCCCACCCCCACCCCCCCACTACCACCCAAATTGGCACCTGTAAGAGAACTCTTTATTCTTCTGTGTCTCTACTCTGAGACCATAGCAGGGCCCATGCTCACCTTTGCTCAAAGCAGGGCATAGGACCAGTCAGGCTGGTAGGGTGTGAAGAACACTTGGTAAAAAGTGGATCTGGTAAAAAAAGATTCTGCATGAGCCCCTGAGCTGACAGTGCTGTCCTTTCTGGGACCTCTCCATAAACAGAGAAACCCAATGGATTTCATCACAGCTGGAGAGAGGAGAATGAGTAATTTTTCATGAGTGGCTTATAGGTTGCCTCCTACGAAAGGATTACATGCAAGTTGATAAATCAGTAACAGTAATCTGTCACATCACCTTCTGATTCCATGACATAAACGAGTAAGAATGGAGCACTTACCATTGGCAAAAGTATGTTGGTCAATTTTCTAGGTCAATGAATGTTGGCTACTAGAAAAGCTACTTTAAATTTCATCAGAAAGAGATAGTAATATAGATTGTGTACCTCTGCAGCCTATAACAGACCCCTTAACACAATGCCCTTCTCTGACCAGTGCCAAAGCATGACTGAAAATATTACTTCTTTTTACAAGTGTCCATCTTCACTGAGCTTCTTGTTTATGACCTCACATTCTCTGTCCTCCAGGAGCAGTATCAGTTTCTCTACAAAGCGGTCCTCAGTCTTGTGAGCACGAGGCAGGAAGAGAATCCATCCACCTCTCTGGACAGTAATGGTGCAGCATTGCCCGATGGAAATATAGCCGAGAGCTTAGAGTCTTTAGTTTAGCACAGAGAGGGGTGAGGGGAATCCATACCTGAGCATTGTTTTCCTCTTTCTGAAACTAGACAGGAAAATCACTTCAGTTCTTCTGTTACCTTTTTGCTTACATTCCATCACTTGACAGTAATTTTCATGACATAGGATTCTGCTGCCAAATTTACATCATTAACAACGTGTGCCTTTCTGCAAAACTTCTTGTAATTCACTTATTGTGTTTAAACTAAAATGGTTGAATTTTACGGTATTTCTAAGAATGGAATTGTGGGGTTTTTTTGGTATTGATTTTAACAGAAAATTTCAATTTATAGCTATTAGGAATTCCCAACTACATAAAACATGTTTGTTTTTAGTGTCAAATTTTAGCTGTATTTGTAGCAATCATCGGATTTGCTAGAAATAAAACTTTTAATACAGTAGCTTGTAAATAAAACACTCTGTTCCCTCTGATATTCAGTATTTTACAACTGCAGTATTCACCTAAAGTAGAAATAATCTGATACTTACTGTAAATACTGCTCTAGTGTCTCCATGGACCAAATTTATATTTATAATTGTAGATTTTTTATATTTTACTACTGAGTCAGTTTTCTAGTTCTGTGTAATTGTTTAGTATAATGATGTAATTCATTATCTGGTCTTACTCTACAAGTCTCCTGATATCCTTTCATGTTATCTCAGTAATTAAATCTGTTTTAGCATGTAACTCTAACTTTTATGGAAAATAGAGATACATTTGTTTTGAAAGAAGATGTTTTTATGAGAATAACACCTTACCCAACATTGTTTAAATGGTTTTTATCCAAGGCATTGCAAAAATAAATATAAATATTGCTATCGATTTGCATTTGTTTGGGGAGTCTTGTGCTGGGGCATGCGTAGCAGAAAATTGTAGAAACGGGTCCCCTGGGATGGTGGAAATGAAAAAAGGTGGATGGGATGGAGCAGCAGAGAGAGCTGTGAATCCCAATCTGTGCACTGAGGTACACAGGGAACTCACTGACACTACACAACTACTATGATTAACTTATTTGGACCTAACTACTTACCACGTACCAAAAAATGTTGGGAAACTTTGGTTTAGAACCAAGCTGGGACTTAGAATTAGGCAGATTTGCTCGTCAGGGACAAGCTAAGCTGGTTTGGAAGCCAGATGAATTGACAAAGACCAGGAGCTCTTAAATCCCAGAGTGGAAAGAAGGTAAGACACCCTAAATTAAGGGAAATTGTCAGGATCCAAGAGCTGTGTGGAGCTGAAGTGCAGGAAAACGGAATCAGCCTTGGTGACAGGCTGACTCGGAGACTGGAGGCAGTCCCCTGGTTCAGCTGGGAGTGTTTTATAGCACTGCCTGATGAGGAGGGCACTCATCCCCAAGAACGCCCAGAGCAAGAGGCCAGGAAAAGTTTCCTTTAAACTCATGGCTCTCAGAGTATGGTTCCCAGACCAGCAGTAGCGGCAAAACCTGGGAACTTGTGCGAAATACAAATCCTAGATTCCCATCCCAGACCTACCATATCAGCAACTCTGAGGTTGAAGGTCAGCAATCTAAAGCATGCTGAAGTTTGAGAACCAATGCTCTATACAACAATTCAGGGAGTCTCCAGGTTCCTTAAGCACTGTCAGGAAATGTTCACCAAATCCTTCAAATAGAACCGAAATTAATTCGCTTTCCTTTTAAAGCAGTAGTCATGAAGAGAGGTGAAATAGGAAAAAGTTCAACAAATAGTAGAGTGTCACAAATCACACAATGTTGGTAAGCACCGCTTTACCAGGCACAAGAAAAACAAATATGCAGCTTTCCCACCTTCCCTGGGAGGAAAGCCACAAAGTTAATTTTGATTTCTTGGTTACTTTTCTAATCTTATCTCCTAGTCCTCTTGTTTCATATTCTTTCCCTCATAACCCACAATATTTAATCACAAGCTGATCTGAACCAGGAGTACATGTCACCTTAATTATTTTGTCTGTTTTTCCCTTGGCCTTTGTCCCAAGAACAAACACCCTTTGGGGGGATATGGAATTTCTCTTGCCTTCATGATTATTTATCAGTGAGGTGCCTTACAGAATCTCTTCCAAAGGAAAGTAATTATGCAAGTAACATGTATGGTAAGTCAACATTTTATAGACAAATTCTAATAAATATACCAGAACTGTAAGGTCCATCATAGTTGCAGTGTGATACTCCCTGAGAATTTACAGCAGCTCCTTCTTCACATATAATTAATACAAACATTTCATACATACATATTCTACTCATTTTTCCAGCATAGTAATCTTAATTTTCTTATTTCTGATCTAAAACTCCCTAATTTGTTAGCATATAAAATGCCTTAGACCATTTCTCTAATACTCAGAACTTGGAAAATAAGATCTCTTTATAAGCAGATCTATTTTTAAATATTTTATTAGCATTGGATTCCACTTGCAAATAGCACATAGAATCAGAAGTACTAATCATTTGTTGGATTAAAGTGAACTTTTTAGGGAAAATTGGAAAATCTACATATTTGTCAAAATAAAACACATTTATTATTATTATTATTATAAACCGTGATTGAGTATCACCCACTAACTTGCTAATACAAAATATTCTGGTGCATTAGAGGTCTCCTTTTCATTAGTACAATTTTAGTGTGTTAGAGTAGGTGGTATTAAATCGTAAGGCATATAAATGACGCATATTACGCCAATTTGAAGAAATTAGACATCCTTGGCATTAAATTATAGTAAGGTTTTCTTTACAGTAATCATTTTTTAAATGAAAAACAAGATATGAAAGTGGGAGTAAGAAAGGCTGTGGGTGTGAATTGGAAACTTCTCATTGCATACACAACAATAAGTTCTGCTCAGTCCATCCGTGGTGGCACATTCTAAGCAGGCCACAAGAAACGACACAGACTGACCTTTGAAAAACTTTTCAAATACACTAATTTGCAATACTTTCCTCTGCAACTCTGGATGTGCCATTCAGCATATCTCTGATTCTTATGATCTTGCTTCAGCCCTAGAGGAGTCACCTCAGTTCCAAATTAAACAGAGAGAAAGGAACAGATGCAAGACATTTCTTCCTTGCTGCTCACTTGTTTAATGAAGCCATGTACCAAAAACTACAGCATTAGGGTTCCTAATGAAGAATATTAGAAAAGTCTTTCATGGCACATTTACTTCAAGTAAGAGTTTTAATGGGCTCAAGAAGTTAAACCTGCCTTCCTTGTACTTTTTAGAGTAAATGAGAACACTTCCACCTTTTGTCATTAGAGTATGTCCAGTTCTAAGCTCATGGGGATACATAAAAAGATTCAAAGAACCGGGGTGCCTGGGTGGCTCAGTCATTAAGCGTCTGCCTTCGGCTCAGGTCATGATCCCAGGGTCCTGGGATTGAGCCCCACATCGGGCTCCCTGCTCAGTGGGAAACCTGCCTCTCCCTCTCCCACTCCCTCTGCTTGTGTTCCCTCTCTCGCTGTGTCTCTCTCTGTCAAATAAATAAAATCTTAAAAAAAAAAAAAAAGATTCAAAGAACCAGTTAGAGGAAACATGAAATGGTTAGAAAATAATTAAGGCCAATGAGGAAAGATTGATAATTGGGGTCATCACTGTGTATTCGCAGAATCCACCCACATGCCACTCTCCTTCTAAGGGTGCTTTCCTGTGACAGATGGCCTTTTCCAAAAATAGCTCAACAGTATCTTCCATCCCACATGACTTTTTGAAACTCATCCCATTCGGCAGTGGGGTCTGTGGTTCCTCCCCTTGAATCTGGATGGACTTGCGATTCTGGGGAAGGTGATGCTATGTGACTTCAGAGGCTAAGTCATAAAAGGCATAAAAGGCAATGCAGCTCTGCCTAGAGGCCCCAGCTGAGCTTCCAGCTGACAGCAGAACCACCTGGGCAGCTATGGGAACAAGCTGTCTCGCAATGGATCCCCCAGCTCCCAGTCAACACACCACAAGTGGGACTCTGTTGAGCAGAGAGAACTGTTGCCCCTGAGTCATGCCCAAGTTGCAAATTGATGAACAAAATGAATGACTGCTATTTTAAGCCACTACATTTTGGGGTAGTTTGTTACATGGTGATAGTAGTTAGAACACTTCTTACACTTCAAAGACAAAAAGGCTATAAACTATAGTCCCCTGACTCCTTTGCAGCTAGGGTTGTGGGTATGAATTACATTCCACCAAATACAGGGAACCGTAAAGTCTGGAAACATAGACAATATCGTTTTACCATACATTGTAATATAATTTTAACCCATTTATTATATATTTGCCTATACTTCTTGACTTTCTTTCTGGCCACTCTGAAAATACTATCACACAAGACTAGAAGACAGAAATAAGGCAAAGGCCATCCTCCTGTCCTCTTTGACCCTGCTGGTAAAAGGAAGCAAGGTTGTAGAGACAGATGTGGCTCTTTGCAGCCGAGTTCCAGTGTATTGGGTTGGGAACCAGTAGCAGCCATGGCAGGAAGACCAAGTACTTTTTTTTTAAGAGACAGAGACAGAGAGAGTATGAACGAGGGGAGTGGGAGTGGGTAGGGCCAGAGGGAGAGGGAGAGAATCCCAAGCAGACACCATGATGAGCGTGAGCCTGATGTGGGGCTCCATCTCACAACCCTGAGATCATGACCTGAGCCAAAATCAAGAGTCACATGCTCATCTGAGTCACTCAGGTGCCCCTCAACCCAGTACTTCTGATTCAAGCTTCCCAATACATGGGCCCCAGCTATGAGTGTAAGGCTCCTACTGTCTTGTATGCCTTTCTCTTTAAAATGCCTAGGGTGGTTTCTGTTTCCTCTTCTAAAGCACTGATTCAGTAGCCTGGAGAAGTGTCTACATGATGTTCTCACTTTTGGTTGGGGGATGGGGTGTAACTTCTTTCTTCAACTACTGCAATGGCCTCTGGACATCTCCCCCTCTCACCCTGTCCTGAATGCCTCTTAACAGTGGAGCCAAAGCAATCTTTTAGAAGCACAAATCTGATCTTACCAGCCCCCTGGATTATGATTAACATAATCTCAATCTATTGTGACACACACAGTAATTGTGATAGTTGGGGCTGATTCAAATATCACAAAAGAATGCCCTTTACCCATCCTTATGCTTTGGGGGAATTTCAACAAGCACTCTAAGAGGCAACAAATGGAAGAGAAAAATATGCTTCTTCAGCATTATTGGCTAATGCTAAAAAATAACCTAAAACTGCTTTATATACAAGCAGAGCCTATAACAACCTTCCCTTATCTACACTTCCACCTCTACCACACCTTACCACCAGGCTTGTGTAAGTATGTCAGTACTATATATATGTGTATATATATATATACACATTACTATATGTCAGGCCTCATGATGGGTGCTAAAAATACACTGGAATCTTAGTTTGAGTTCCCACAGAAGCAGACCCTGAGACAATGCTTTAAGTACAAGTAGTTTAAATGGTGAGGAATCCCAGAAAATACTTGTAATTAGGAAAATGAGTCAGAGAAAGATCATATTGAAAGACTAATGTGTCTGCTGTGAGGAGAATGGACATCGAGAAAGTAATTCTGTATGAGGCTAGCTATGCATGGGTAGAAAGACAAGGATGGAGTCCGAGGATGGACAAGGATGGATTCGGTGGAGAAGAGGAAGAAGTCCTGATTTGCTGGCATCAAGGATTACATCCAGAGCAGGGAGAAGATAGTGGTTGCCATTTCCTGAGATGGGCAATCAGGTGGAAGAGCTACTTTTGGGGGAAATTCCTAGAGTGGCCCCACTGAAAAACACAGGTTTATACTACAAACTCAAGTCAACATTGAGTTTAAGAAGTTGGGGAGATATCCCAACAGAGATATTAGTAGGTAGTTATATACATACTCAGAAGCTCAAATGAGAAAGTTAGGGATTCCTTAGAGATATAGGTGATATTTGAAGCCAAAGGGTGGGATGCACACACCCAGAGAGAACATATAGAAAGAAAATAGAGGCTGGGAAAGAACTCTGAAGAATGTCTTCCTTTAACATAAGGGCAGATGAGTAGGACCCTGAAAAGGACCACTGTCTTCATTGAGCATCTTACATATTGAACTGTTTGAATAATGGTTGCATAATTCAGCCAATATTAAATTTCAAATCTCATAGACCAGAAACTAAATAGAACCACCTTGTGCCAGCCAAAGTTTTTAAGTTTTTTTTTTTTAAACATTATTACAGTATTTTAATAATCCACGCCCCTCATCTTTTCTCCTGGTCTTCTGTTTTACAGTCTATTCCAGTTTCTTTCCTCTATCAGTTCCCTTTTAATTTCTACCTCCTTTTAAGTATCTCCTTCAACTTAAGAAAGAAAAAACTCCTTTTATCAACAGTTGGCTAGTAAGACAAGCATGGTTTTTCTTTATTGGAGTTAACTGCGTTCTGACCAAGTATGGGGGCCCGCTTCACCCTGTGCCAGCTTCACCAAGAACCTGGCTTGGAAGAAATGAACTTCAGAATGAACTGAAGCCAAGTGCTGGGCTGCTGCTTTAGTTGTGCCTGGCAACAGCCCAGAGTCATCTTTAATCGAACAAAAAGGGGAGAAATCGCAATGAAGTTTCACCAGGCTCTGAGGCTGGCAGTGGGATTCTCAGGGTTTATGCAGTGATGTAGTATACGTATCAATCAGCAGAACACTGGAAGACACCAGAAACCTTCTATTCTACTAAACCAGTAACTTAGAGGGTCAGGACGTGTTAACCTTGAAAGTTAGGACTCAACACTGTTTCGTAATTCTTGCTAATCAATAAAAATTAAAAATGAGTGTTAGGACTATAACAAAATTGGAAAAAGGAAGCTAATAGATTAGCTGTCAGTGACTAAAGCATTGCCCTAAAACAGGAAGCTTTTCTCACTGGATCCTTTCCAGTGGAATTCAAGTCTGGTAAATGTAGTTTCACTGCAGACAATCAACAAATGTAAAGCCTTGGGGCACCTGGGTGGCTCAGTTGGTTAGGCGTCTGCCTTCGGCTCAGGTCATGATCCCGGGGTCCTGGGATCGAGCCCCGCATCGGGCTCCCTGCTTGGCAGAGAGCCTGCTTCTCCCTCTCCCTCTCTCCCTCTCCCCACACTTGTGATCTCTCTCTCTCTGTCAAATAAAATCTTAAAAAACAAAACAAATGTAAAGCCTTGTAAAGGTGATCTAGACAGCACGTAAGGATAATAGTGGTTACCTGCATGGCTGTGAGAGTTGTGCACTGCATCTACAGGGGAGCTAATGACATCATAGGCATCCAATATTATGACATGTACTTAAATGATTAATACCCACGAGGGTAGTAAAGTGTTGTGATAAATTACATGTTTGACAGTAAGTTTTTGACAGAAGTGTCTTGAAGAAGCAGTATCTTTCTCTAATTCTCAAGAAGGCACCATATGGGCCAGTGGTGGTCCTAATAACCCACCATAAAAGAGGTTTTATAAATCAAAGTGCTTCCCAAATTTCATCAAGTATTTTGAATGACCTCAAATGATCAAATTTCAATATTAAGTCTTGTCACCTTAGGCAAATCATTTAACTTTGTGAGACACATTTTCTCTTCTGTAAAATCAATGGCCCAACCAGGTGATTATTCTGTTCCTTTCCATTCTATTGTTTTAAGATTCTCATTATGGAGCAGAAATATCTATAGCTTGTTTGAGCAGCATGGATCTTTGAGGATTCTTCCAAAGATATCTAAATGACTGAAAAAACATCTCTAAGCTCTCATTAACTTAAACATAAATGTCAGGCAAAATGTTATTGCAAAAGAGAGAAGAATACTAGCTTTGAACATCTACGAGGTGCCAGGCTTTCCCTTACATTTGCTCATTCATCTTTATAACCATCCTGCAAGTTATTATTATACTTATTTTATGGAGAAGGAAAGAGCTCGTGTATTGTTGAACCAACCAAACTGCTCTTTAGGAGCTTCTAGTATCTATTTTGTCTAGGTAAAGGAAAACTGGACAACATAAATATGGATTTTATATGAAAGAGGCCAAGAGAGATCTGGAAGATGTGAGCATTCAGTCTACTCTAATGGTAGGACCAGAGGTTAACAAACTATGGCTCAAGGGCCAAGTCTGCCCATCACTTGTTTTTTGTAAATGAAGTTTTATTGGAACACAGTCATGTCCATTCATTTATGTACTGTCTATGGTTGATTTCACACTACAAAGGCAGAAATGAACAATTATGGCCCCTTTTGGCCTACAAAGTCTAAAATATGTAGTATCTAGCCCTTTGTAGTAAAAAGGCTGCTGACCCCTGAGCAAGCCATATGCTTGTAATTATAAGCTCCCATTCTATCTTACCATCACCTTCATTTCTACTGGAAAACTTGAGAGACAATGCAGTGTGTGATTACATCCACCTTTACTCAAGCTTACTGACAATTCTTTTCTAGCACTGACAATAGACTAGCTCTTCAATCATATCCCCTTTATCATTCATTGGTATTATGAAGCCCAAACCAGTTAAACTCGTTTGGGCTTCCCTCTTTTGCAATAACATTTGCCTGACATTTATGTTAAAGCTAATGAGATCTTAGCTTAGAGATATTTAAACTTTTCCCTCACCCACCTAAGATGTTACTTCCCTAGTTCCCACTGTCTCTAGGCATTATTCCAGATTGGAGGTAGAATCAATGTGACACTCATAATTCCTGATTGACTTTGTTGAACTCAATGTTGTGGTAAAAAAAAAAAAAAGTGCCATTAACACAAATGTCTTTACTTATTAATATTGATCTCCACATATTATTTTTGACAGGTAGGACCAGGCCTTAATCAACTTTGACCCTTTTCAAATAGCATAGATGTTTTCTCAACTTCCATATACCCCACACACAATAGTTGCTTATTTCATGGGCAGAATCCGTTCCATACCAGAGTATGTGTATAGTCCTAGAATGTCAAACAAGGGTTTACTCTGTATTTTAAAAAGAGTAGTTTATATTTTCCCCCAAGGAAAAAAATTATAATCATTTTATAGCAACTTGAGATGTAATTCATATCCTATATAATTCAAAATATACAGTTTAGTGATTTTTAGTCTATTCACAAAGTTGTGACACCATTACCTCAATCAACTCTACAACATTTTTATCACCCTAAGAAGAAACCCAAACTCATTAGGAGTCACTCCCAACTCTCCCCCAAACCCCCAGCCTTAGGCAGCCACTAATCTATTTTCTCTCTATATAGATTTGACTACTCTGGACAATTTCATACAAATGAGATCATACCATAATGTGGACTTCTGTGTCTGGCTTCTTTCACTTAGCATAATCTTTTCAAGGTTCATCCATGTGGTAGCATGTATCAGAACTTCATTTCTCTTTTATTGCCAAATGATATTCCATTGTATGGATATGCCACATTTTGTTTATTCATTTATTTGTTTATGAACATTTGGCTTATTTTGATATTTGCTATTGTGAATAATGCTGCCATAAACATTTGCTTACAAGTTTTTGTGTGGACATATGTTTTAGTTTCTCTTGGGTATGTACCTAAGAGTGGAGTTGCTGGCTCATATGGTAACTCTATGCTTAACCTTCTGAGGAACTTCCAAACTGTTTTCTCAAGTGGCTTCATAATTTTACACTTCCACCAGCAGTTTACAAGGATTCCAGTTTCTCCACATCCCCACAAACACTTATTATCTTTTTCATTTTAACTATCCTGTATGAAGTGGTATCTCATTATAGGTTTGATTTGCATTTCCCTGGTAGCTAATGGTGTTGAACATCTTTTCATGTGCTTATTGGTTTTGTTTATCTTCTTTGGAGAACCGTCAATTCACAACCTTATTTTTTAAATTGGGCTCTTTGTCTACTTACTGAGCTATAGTAGTCCTTTATATATTCTAAATATAGTTTCCTCCCTTACCCGATATATGACTTGCAAAAATTTTGTCATTCTATGGGTCATCTTTTTGCTTTCTTGAGGGTATCCTTGGAAGCACAGAAGTTTTTAATTCTGATGATGATGCCAATTTATCTATTTTTTTTCCTTTTGTTGCTTGTGCTTTTTGGTTTCAATTATTTAAGAAACCGCTGCCTAATCCAAGGGCATGAAGATTTACATCTATGATTTCTTCTACAAGTTCTATAGTGTTTGCTCTTATATTTAGATCTTTGGTCCATTTTGAGTTCATTGCTGTGAGGATGGGGTCCAGCTTCATTCTTTTGCATGTGGATATCCAGTTGTTTCAGCACCATTTGATGAAATATTATTTTCCTCTACTGAATTGTCTTAGCACCCTTTTCAAAAATCAATTGACCATAAATATGAGGATTATTTCCAGACTCACACTCTATTCCTATTTTATTCTTTTTCATGCTACTGTAAATTGAATTGGTTTTTTTCAGTATCATTTTTGTTTCATTTATTGATATTGTATAGACATACAATCAATTTTGTATTATTACCTGTGTCCTGCAACTTTGCTGAACTCATGTATTAGGTCTAATGTTTTTTAAAGTATTCTTTTGAATTTTCTATGTATAAGATCGATACCACCTGCAAATAGAGGTAGTTTTACTTCTTCCTTCCAAATCTGGATGTGTTGTATTTCATTTTCTTGCCTAACTGCCCTGGATAGACCCTCCAGTACAAGTTGAGTATAAGTGCCCAAAGCATCATTTTCTTGTTTCTGATTTCAAGGGGAAATCTTTCAGTCTTTCATCATTAAGTATGATGCTACCTATAGGTTTTTCACAGATGTTCTTTATCAGGTTTCAACTCCTAGTTTGTTGAATCTTTTTATTACGCCAGGGTGTTAAATTTTGTTAAATGCTTTTTCTGTCCCTAATGAGGTGATCATGTGGATTTTGATTTGCTCTTACCTATTTCCTTTTCCAAACACTCAAGAGAAAACTGTAAAAAATGAGATTTACTCGGTAAATCATAATTTTACCAAAAAAGCCATAAAATATAATTATTGCAAAGGTTTATAGATAGGTAATATAAGAGTATCTAAGTGAATCAATTTGAAAAATACAAAAATATAGCTGTGTGAAAAATTTTTTTCTTACTAAAAAGTTTATCTGCTGATCATAGGAAAATATACTCTTATAAGAAAAAAGTTGCACAATAAATTAACATATAGCACAATCATCACTTTCGCATACACATGAAAAAAATGAATGTAGAATTATTGAAATTCTCTGGTAATTACTGGCATCTCCTGTTCCAAATGTTTTCATATTAAAATAGAGATTTGTATTTTAAAAACATCATTGTATTGACTGACTCAAAAAATATCATGCTTTATATTTCAAAGCAGCACATTAGCAAGCAGGTTTGTTGCACAAATGTTCAGAGCTACGGTGCCTGGGAAGATAAAACCAAGATATAATTCTCAATTATGGTTTGATTATGCTCTGTGTTGTATATATAATGCCTTCTGCTTTAATTCGCTCCAATATTGGTCCATAGATGTCCTTTGAAAAGGGCCCCATCAGGCCTTTACCTTTAATTTCACCTAGAAGAAAATAAATTTGTAGTTACCATTTTAAAGTTATTATTATGGTTAATTTCCACAGCAAGAGCCTCCATACCATAAACAGGGAAAGGCGTTAACTACAGATCGAAAGCAGAGCTGGACTTAGGGACAGTATCAGAATTTACACATTTAACTGCATTAACTATCGCCAAAATGATCAGAGAATAAAGTGTAGTAAGAAAGTAAAATAAACCTAACTTGTCTGCTTTATTTGCTGATGCTTTTTTTAAAAAAGCATAACACCAACAGAATGAATTAAAACCAATCTGATTATTTGGGCACAATAATAATTGTGTTAGGATGATTGAAACAGCAAGTCTGAGTTCTTTCCTTAAAGTCCATGATGACCTCACCCCTCATCACCTCTTCACTCTGGTTCCTTGGTAACTCCGTAGGTCGCTTAATTTGATATTAGCTAATATGCTACTGTGGATACATTGTTTCAGTATTTCACATTTAGACACTTGATGTTTGTTACTCCCCTTGCACACTCACAAGGGCCAAATGATGATTATACTCAGAGGTAATGCTTACTGAATGTATAGCTGATCTTAAGGGGAGAGAGAAGAGTTGAAATTTGAACTTAGTTTAAAATATTTATTGAGTGCTAACAATATACTGAGAAATGAAGATTAATAAAACATGGTCTGTATTTTTGGGGATCTGGAAGTGAATACCCTCTGCTCTTTCAGTGTTAACACCCCTAAAATATGAAAAATGAAGGAAAGAAAGGAAGAGTTAACATTGCCTGGGCGGTGATGTATGTGGTAGGAACTTAGGAACTTTATGTATTATTTCACTTCAGCATCACAAAAAAAATTTAAAAACCCCACGAAACTATGAATGAGGATAACAATCCCCACTTTAAGATGAGGGAGTTCTAGCTCAGATATGCTGAGTAACTTGCACCCCATCACTCTGCCTTCTTGTCATTGAACTGGGCCAAAAATGTGTAAGTCTAAAACTCATGGCTTTTACTCACCATAAGGTGATCTCCCAGTCAGTCAGTATTTAGAACTTCTGAGACAGCTCACTTTTAGTGAACACCAGTATCATATTCAAGAGTAATTATTTGGCATCCAGGCACTCAATGACTTGGAGATGACATGGTGACAGGTTCAGATCTCCAACGAAAGAACTTACCATCAAGCAACATCTTGGCTGCCATAGCAGTGGGTAACCCCACAGTTTTAGCCATGGCTGAAAAGCCATTGATGTCCCCATAAACCACAAGATCAATAGTTTTATTTTCCAAATGTCCAGAAGGATGTCTGATTCCAAAACTGTCTCTCATCACAATCATATCTTTCTCTCCAGGGCCTTAAGATAAATAAACAGACATTCTTCAATGTCATTATCATCACAACTCCAATATTGCAATTCATCTGCTCCTACCCTTTTGCTCTCATAAGTTTCTCCTCCCATCATATGTGGTCCGTAGACAATTACCTATACTACTCTTTATCCCAAAGGCCAAGAGAAAAACTCAAGAAGTGATCACTCTGGCCACGTTCCTTTGTCCAGGTTGGTATCACTGTCGCCTGGCTACAGACCTGAAGGCACCCACTCTGCCCCCAAAAGCTCCTTCAGCATTTCCCTAATGCATTAAAAGTAAAACTAATAATTTGTAGGGCGCCTGGGTGGCTCAGTCGTTAAGCGTCTGCCTTCGGCTCAGGTCATGATCCCAGGGTCCTGGGATCGAGTCCCACATCAGGCTCCCTGCTCAGCGGGAAGCCTGCTTCTCCCTCTCCCACTCCCCCTGCTTGTGTTCCTGCTCTCACTGTCTCTCTCTCTTCAAATAAATAAATAAAATCTTTAAAAAAAAAAAAACTAATAATTTGTTCCTTTCTTATATTCCCCAAGTTCATTCCTATTTGATAGTTCTCTTATTCTTCCCTCTGGAAAAATAGCCCAAGTGCTCTTTCCCTCCTAGCATACTTCCCCATCCCTACTGCTTGGTTCCAGCCCTCCCAACTATTCACTAGTTGTGCTGACTGCATCTTAGGGTGCTGTTTCTGGGACGTGTAGCTAATACCCCATGGCCTACCATAGGAGAGTTTCCTGGCCAAATGCTTGGAGAGTGCATCCACCACAGACTCTGCTTGAGGGACTTGTTCATCCCCAAGTAAGCCCAACCTGAGAAGCACAAGAAGTGGCTGTGTTACGTCAAGTCCTACACAGAATCTCACTTGGGAAGAAGGGAGCTCTTTGGGTTTTATCTTGAAAGGGAAGAATCGCAAGATGACAGTCCAAGTTACAGGACTCTCCTACATTGTAAATAACAATAAAATAGTAATGTTTTAATCTTTAGAATCATCAGACTCCCCAAGGCAGTGCTCCCTGGAGCTGAACTGACACACTGTAATTCCACACTGTTGCAAAGCTTCACATGAGATTAATTTACAGGTTAGTTCTCCCACATTAGGGAGACCGGCATAATGTACCACAGGCTGTGTGAATGAACATTTTAAAGTAGTTGCAAAAGACTAGGAGAATCTCTTCCAGGAAAGAAAAAAATATCCCACCTTGCTTGGAAACTGAGTAGTTGAAGTGTCTCAAGTTAAGTATTTCCCAAGTTATAATTGCCATTAAATTTCTCTCTTTATCTACTTTCTTATCCACACGTGAACACAGTACTTGGCAATCTCTCTACAATAGGCCAACATTAGAACAGTAAATTAATCAAAGACAATGTAAAATGCCTGGTTCTATCTTGACTCCTTTTTGACTAGAAAGGACTAAAAAAATCATTGATATTTTTATTGATATTGAAGGAATCCAGTATTTTGCTGAGTTGACTGGTGGGTGCCTACCGTTCAGCAGCCTCCAGCTGGGTATTGTCTCTTCCTAGTTTCTGAAAGACCGCTTCCTTGAGCACATCATGCTTGGAGGAGGGTGAAATCCCAACCAGATCACAAAGGAGCTCTTTCTGGTCATAAAAATAAAGATAAAATTCTAAGTTCCTAATAAATAATCAGTTGAGAAATTATCCTATTAAGACATTTGATCACAGGGCGCCTGGGTGGCTCAGTTGGTTAAGCGACTGCCTTCGGCTCAAGTCATGATCCTGGAGTCCCGGGATCGAGTCCCACATCGGGCTCCCTACTCAGCAGGGGGTCTGCTTCTCCCTCTGCCCTCTTCCCTCTCGTGCTCTCTGTCTCTCATTCTCTCTCTCTCAAATAAATAAAAATCTTTAAAAAAAAAAAAGACATTTGATCACAAATGCACCTCAAATTTTAAATTAGAAATGACTAGAAATAGTAAATGGTAATGCTTACATACATCCACACATGTCTACACACTCACCCATCAATAAATTATATTCCAAAACAATATTTCAGCAATAAAAATGGGTCATAACACAAAATCAATACTAAACAGATGGCATCATATTTACCATCACATCCTCTCCATTACTTTTTCACCCATTCTCCCTCACCCTCCAGTAGCCCATTTTGGCCAGGATCAAGTGGAAGGGGCTCATTGCTATGGTTGCCAGTAGCAACCAGAGTTCTTTCATAGGTTCAAGAGATGACAAAGACCTTGCAGATAATAAAATCTCAAAGCAGTAACACTTAAGCAATGGTCATAGCTTTTTGTACTTTCTTAAATAAGGCTTTTTTCCAGGATTTCAAGGGAAAAAGTTAAGCTCTCAATTAAGGAAAAACAAACTGGTTCACAGGCCAAATTTGGCTCAATGCCTGGTTTTGTAAAGAAAATTTTTATTAGAAGATATCCATGCTTATTTGTTTATGTATTTGTCTATGGCAGAATTGAGTACGTATGGCCCATAAGGCCTAATATATTTACAATCTGGTCCTTTATCAAAAAAAATTTTGCCAGCCCCTATTCTAAACTGTAGCTACCAAAATACCGAGACTACCCCTAAGAATACCTGTACCAGCCCTCCCAATCCAGCTGCGTCAACCTCAGAATTCACTCTATAAATGTACATTCACTCCTGTCTAACATGTACATTTATCAAAGGTAAAACAGATTTGGAAGACTCTCAGATACATGGAAAATGGAATCCAAAGCAATAGCTAGCAAGAATATCAAAGTTAGCAATACTGATCTTTTTCTCCTTGTGATAAATTGCTGGCATTTCTACTGGAATATGGGCACACTGGTTCATGTCGGATGAACAAGTTAACAGCTGATAGTTAGGGGAAGCTCTGCTTTACATTCAATTCTAAGCCTTCAAAGTCCCTTCCAACCTGGAGACTCTAAGATTTTAATGCAACACAAATATGGGCATAAATTCAGTAACTGAAAACTCAAATTACTCATGGTTAAAAATGATCAAATGAGAGAACTGATGGGATTTGGGGGTAGGAAGTCCAGTTCTGTGATATCACCAATAGCTCTCCTGGGTTATCAACTGCAGGAGGCCCAAGTTTATCTACTGTCACTGGGTCACCACTTAGACAAGTGGTAGAGCTCAGAGCCCAAATCCATCTCTTCTCAGGGCTGAGGGAGCAAATAAATAGTACAAGCTGCTACAGGAAATAAGCCCAGTGGGTCAGGCCCATGATCTCTCCAACCTTCCACAAACAAGGAAAAATAAGGGGTCTGGAGGGTTAGGTTTACCTAAGCCACAGGATAGGTACCTTGCTGGTCCAAACCAAAGTTCAAACCTGACCATTTCTGAAGAACAGCAAACAACACGTAATTCTGGAGTCACTCACCCAGGTGAGAGGGTTGGCCTCAGGTCGAAGGGCAGGGAATGCATCTCTGTTTATAAGACCCAGTTTTACAAATCCATTCAAAGCTTTGGCATACCCCTATAAAAGAATTATTAAGTAGTGTATGACATTTTTCCCTTCAAAGAAAAAATTTAAAATGCTTTTTTGAAAAGAGGGATCTGTCTTTGTAATTCATGTAGAAGACAGGCTGAAAGTAGTCATCTGACTTGCCTGTATGGATGCAAACACCTTCAGGTTCAGACTGGAATCAAGAGTGTCACAGCAATTCTGCTGGCTTACCTAAAAGACCTTCAAAGACTTGGGTCTTTACTTCTGTTTCTGAGTAACATGGGAGGGGTATTTCTGGCAGGAGAAGGGCAAATGTCCTCATGTGTTATGCCCTTCCAGCTCAGCAGAATAGTATTTAGCAGAACAGTTCCCTCTCTTATACCCCACAAAAGAGATAATCCATTCTGCTGATTAGGAGCCACTATCCTAATGCACATAGGGAGCAGGAAGAGAGGTAGGAATCAGAGAGCTTCTTCTGAAATCACACGAACGTGGGGGAGGGGAGTCAAGGAGAAGGAGTTGGGAAGGATCCCATGGGAAGGTGACAGCAAGCTGGGTCTGCAAGGACACGCAGGTGATAGGCAGGCGCAGGAGAGTAACCAAGGCCTCTCTGTCATACTCAGATGATAGTGTCTCATCTTTAATGTTGGAAAGAATATTTGGGTTACTGAGGGGTAACTGAAGGCATTGCCCAGAATGGTGGCCCCCATGGATATGAACACTGCAACATCTTCCACCTTCTGGGGTTCTGTGGGAATGGCTGTCATCCATACACATCCTTGAGAGCTTTATTTAATTCTTAAAGCTCTTTTTTTAAAAAAAAGATTTTATTTATTTATTTGAAAGAGAAAGACACAGCGAGAGAGGGAACACAAGCAAGGGGAGTGGGAGAGGGAGAAGCAGGCTTCCCACTGGGCAGGGAGCCCAATGCGGGGCTCAATCCCAGGACCCTGGGATCATGACCTGAGCCGAAGGCAGACGCTTAACGACTGAGCCACCCAGGTGCCCCAATTCTTAAAGCTCTTAAAATGTTCTATTCCTGGGTCTACATGTTTGGCAAGAGACTGTATCTAAAGCTATCAGAAAATCTTAACTCCTGGGGTGCCTGGGTGGCTCAGTTGGTTGAGCATCTGACCCTTGATCTCAGCTCAGCTCTTGGATCTCAGGGTTTTGAGTTCAAGCTCCATGTTGGGCTCCACACTGGGCATAGGGCCTATTTAAAAAAAAAAAAAAAAAGACTAAAGAAAATCCTAATTCCTAAACCCTTCCAAAAATGCAACTACTATATTCTTAGAACAAAATGAAGAAAACAGAATCAAGAAATCTGCCAGCACTGAGGATGTTACGGCTTCAGTTCAGACTAGAGTTTCTGCTGTGCTTAGAGGCTTGTGGAACATCCATGGTTCCTAGATTGCCTTTGGTTATCTTCACTGACATCTTGTTTGATTCCTGGATCATGAGGACATCACATTCACAGGAGTACAGGTACCTGCCCTCTAGGAGCTTACAATCATTTTCAGGAGACAACAAAAATATACATAAAAACCTAACTAAAAGTGCTGCTCAGTGCCAATAAATGTAATAAAAGCTTTAAAGAGTAAGAACTATAGTGGCTTTCTCTCTTTAAGAATAAACAGGAGTAATGTATGGTAATTAACATAACATAATAAAAAAAAGAATAAACAGAAGTTGGGGTGCTTGGGTGGCTCAGTCCATTGAGCAGTTGACTCTTGATTTTGGCTCAGGTCATGATCTCAGGGTGGGGCTCCATGTTTGGCAGGGAGTCTGCTTGAGGATTCTCTCTCTCCCTCTCCTTTGGCCTCTCTGCTCTCGCTCTCTCTCTCTAAAATAAATACAAATCAATCTAACAAATAAATAAATAAACAGGAGTTGATGTGGAGAAGCAAAGCAAACCAGAAGTTAGACTTCATGTGCCAACACTGTGGAAATAACCTCTGCTTTTACGTGACTTTTGTGCACACAGGAAAAACACCACCAGTGTTCACTGACTCCTGAGGCCCACCCCATGTAAGGAAGGGGGACAGGAAAAGATCTGGATGAGGGACCTGTGATCTTAAATAACATGGTATGGAAAGCTTCATGACAGCCAAGTCCTGAAGGAGCCAAACGAGAGTGTGAAGATATCTGAGAGAAAAAGTTCCGGGCAAAAGCAGCAGCTAGTGAAGAGAAAAGAGCAAGGGGAAAGTATGCACAAGAATGGAAGGGTTATCACCGATGGGCCTATGTGTCTTCCATCTTCCAGAGAAAAAGATCATTAGTGAATGGTGGATAACACCACATGACAAACCCCCTTTCTGCCCTCACCAGGAAATCTCATGGGGCATCGAGATCTAAAACCAGATCTTTGATTTTCAGAGAGGTGGTATGTTAGAGATGCTGCTTGGGGTGGGTTGAGAAGTGTCTCCCTCATAATTCACATCTACCCAGAACCTCAGACTATGACCTCATTGGGATATTTGCAGATATAATTAGTTAAGGATCTCAATATGAAACCAATCTATATTTAAGGTAGACCCTAAATCCAATGACTGGTGTCCTTACAAGAAGAGAAGAGGACAGAGGGACACACACAGAAGGTGGTGATATGAAGATAGAGGCAGAGATTGGACCAGTGTGCCAAGTTAAAGACCACCAAGAATTGCAAGCAGTCATCAGAAGTAGAGGAGAGAGACATGGAACAGTTTCTCCCTCCAAACTTCCAGAAAAAAAAAAACTCTGCCCACACTTTGATTTCAGACTTCTGACCTCAAGAATAGTGAGAGACTAAATTTCTGTTGTTGTAAGCTACATGGTTTGCAGCAATTTGTTAGAACAGCCCTAGGAAACTACACTGATTGTCTTAATCTGGTCATTCTTGTCACTACTCTTTTGTGATTAATACTTAAATATGTGGTGGACATTTGCATTTATACCCCTAGAATCTACACCCCACTTTGTGGTAAAAACATTTTAGATTTGCTTTGGGGAAAATGATGCTGACTATATCTTCAGCTTTCAGGACATGAAACAAAAGGCAAAAGCTGATTGGCATATTTTATCCCACTGACCCCACTGATATTTTTAGCTATACTTTTTCATTCTCACTGGATTTGAACCAAAGAGGCTGGGGATGCTGTCACCACCGTGCCACCATGTACAGCCTGGGACCTGCAGCCAGCACTCCAAGGAAGAGACGAGAGGCAAAGAGAAACCAAGCGCCCCTGAGGTCACTTGACCCCAAAACTCACTATATCTGAAAGTGACCCTTCCCCTCCCCCCGCAAGTCCTCATGAGTCAGAAGTTCCCTTTTTGCTCAGGCCATCTTGAGTTGTCTCTTAAAACATTCACTCAAAGAGTGCTGAGAAAACAGACTCCAACCTGGTTTATTATCCTAATTATTTTGATTACTAAGAAAAATTAAGCGTACACATCGCTTACATCAAAACAGGAAATATGTTTCATCTCAAATACAGCTGCTTACCTTATATCTCAGTGTCCCCCGCAGCAAAGTGTGCGCAGATGGAATGCCATAAATCTCAGCATATTTTGTACTGTCTCTGTTAGGATAGCCTTCCAAATTTAAGCCAGGGAAATAATCCATGGGAGTAACTGCATCAAGAAAGGAGATGCCCCCTGCAACATTCACAACCTGAAGAACATTGAAAACGCACAATGGGGTTACAACATTGTACTCCCCTGTGGACTTATCTGCATTATTTGCATAAAAAAGAAATCAACAGGGTGCCTGGGTGGCTCAGTCATTAAGCGTTCGGCTCAGGTCATGATCCCAGGGTCCTGGGATTGAGCCCCGCATCAGGCTCCCTGCTCGGCGGGAAGCCTGCTTCTCCCTCTCCCACTCCCTCTGCTTGTGTTCCTGCTCTCGCTATCTCTCTCTGTCAAATAAATAAATAAAATATTTAGGAAAAAAAAAGAAATCAACATTTTAAAAGAAAGCAATAGAGGAATTGAGAAAAAACATTTTAATGAAACTACCATAACTGACATCCCATACTCAAGCGATTCCACTAACAATTCAGAAGGCCATGATTCTCCCAAGCTTTAAAATCTGACTTAAATCTAGATAAGATGGCACTGAATTATGTCCCATTAGGGGTTTGTTTTTAAATAAATAATAAGCAAAAAGCAACAGACCCTCATTTCAATGGCTATGCTCAGATAACAGTGGCAAGATCCTCACTTCACTCTTCACTTACACATGCCTTTGAATGTTGGTTATCAGGCACCAGTCTTGTACATTTCTGTCACAGCTAGCATTAACGGGGCACCTACCATGTACGTGCCAGGACCACACTCATTGTGGAGGGAAGGAGAGTGATGAAGATGAAGAAGTTGCAATCTCTGTCTTCATTCCCTCCTTCATTCACTGAACAAACATTTACTGAATGTCCGCCAAGTACGAGGAGCTGTGCTGGAGCAAGTACAAGGAGCTCACAGCCTGGACTAGTCACCCTACGGGTGTACGCTGGGGACAGGGAATGGGAGAGATGTCCCCTTACAAGAAAGACAACGTGTGAACATACAGCGAAACGCAAAGAAGTGCTACCCCTTAGTGCTAGTGCTAGTCTTACTGCTGGTGAGAATTAAAGTCAATTCCCAAGCTCTTCTGATTTCTCTGTAATCCTCCTACCTGCTCCCTCCCTGATCACAGTCAAAAGGCACCAAAGCGTATTTTTCCCTTTGATTTTGATGAAAGGACTAAATTGTTCTTTTGGTGTGTGAAGTTTATGAGATGATGAAAAACATTCTGGCGTGATCAAATCAGGGCTGAGAGTCTGGGGGCTGCTGGTAGAACTGGGTTTGTCCCTCCTGCACCACTGGAAACAGCTTCTGACCACACGTCTGCAGCTGCAAAAACCACCCAAAGGAGTCTTCTGCTAAACTTAATGAGCCCTAGAGTTTATTTGTAGATAGGTTCTGCCTGTGCCTTGGTCTGAGAGAGAAAAAGGAAATGTCTGTGTAGGTCGCTGAAGGCCCAGAAGGAAATGGGCATTGCTGACTGGAGTCAGGCCTGGTGACATCTCTGCAGTTAAAGGCTTAGGTGTGCAGAGCACCAAGCACCACTAAAATTCCAGGAGTGAGAGCTGAAGGACTCAAGGAGGACTTCTCATTTAACTTCCTTAGGAAACTCCCCTGGACTACACAGTGAGCATTTCCAGAGGGACCATTTCTGCCCTATGGCTTTCACACTAATCTCTTCTATCAGAATAGTAAAATTAGAAAAAAAATCTAATAAGCAAGCAAATGTTAACCTTTAGGGTCCCCACACACACATCTCACTTCTAGAACTCATGGCAATTCTAAAGTTTGTTTGTTTTTTACTTATTTGAAGGTGAGGAAATTGTTTTAAAGAAAAATTCTGTAGAGACTACTTATATTCCAGCACTTTACCAATCAGAAAGAAATCAGCTGGTTCATAAAAGTTTATCATCAGATCCTTGGAAGAAACTAGGGAAATAGCAACTGAATAGTCATGATTCACTTAGAGACTGACAGCTGCCAAAACAACTTGTCCCCCAAATTCCTGGGTAATCACTGTCACTTGACCTCAATGCAGAGTTGTATTTCTAGGGCTATATCGTGGGGTTCATGAATAAGCCCTATCCTGTTTAATATTTTATTAATGGCTTAGATGAAGAAAGACATATTTATTTATTTGGCAGAGAATATGCATTTTTTCTGACTCGACAGTGCTCACTCCCAACACCCACTGGGAGCAGAAATAGTGGCTCATGATCCACTATGGCCACAGGCTGCTCTAAATCCAGCTCTTCCCACACCCACACGTCTTTCCCCAACCACTGACTGACAATAAGCTTGATCGCCAAAGTGACAAAACATTTAAATACAGGAAATATAGGACTTGTTCTGAGCTAGGTGCCTTATACACACAAAACTGAGAGTCACCCAGAGGCAGATTTGAACCCGGATCTGTCTGACTCCAATGTCCACGTTCTTTCTACTACACCATACTGTCCCCCTAATTGTGCTTATTTGTGGATCAGTATTTTGAGAAGGCTACTGATTGACAAGGTGCAGCATTCCAATCATGGCACTTGCTAACTGCATTCAAAATGGTTGCGGGCAATGGAGAGTAGTAGCTCTTCCTACAAAGGAGGGCTGGGTGCTGCAGTCCAGCTAGGGGCAGGCAATGGGAAGAAAGCTACAAAACCTATCTCAGAGCTGTGTTTTCAGAGCAAGCATGATCCCAAGAGTATTTGTTTCACCGGGAGTCGCTTAGGAGAGGGGGCCAAAGGGGATGATGGTGCTCTACCACGTCACTCCCCAGAGCCACCAATGTCCCACCACCCTCGAACTAAAAGAAGACACAGCCACTGTCTTCCAAATATGTGGAAGGGAATCATATTTGCTAGGAATACTATTAGAAGTTAGAAGTTAAAAATGGTGCCAGTGGTTGGAAATTCCTGCAAGGATGTAGGACAGTAAGATACATCCTAGTTCATAGGCCACTGCCTGAGATGCTGGAAAAGTTTAAGGTTTCAACCTTAAGCAGAAGCCAGAGAGGTCACCTGACTCTCCATCGTGATTCCCTGAATTATATGCTTCGTGGTGGGGGTGATAGCGGCAGAGGGGATGGAGGGACAAGAATATAAGAGAAGCTTTAAGAAGTTTAACGATCTGGGCTGGGAGACACACAGATGCACTTGAATTACTGAGCAAATAATACAGCATCCGGAAGCTTCTTACAGACAAAGTGTGGGAGTCTGGACAAAAGAATAGTGAATGGGGGCTGAAGTCGTCAGGAAAAGCTGCATCCACAAGAGGGAACTTGAGTGGGACCTTGAAAAAAGTATCATTTTAGCAAAGAAAAGAAAGGCATCGTGTTTTCTCTCAGCCTCCCCCACAGTGTCAGAAAGATGCAAAAAGCATTCCTTTTTTACAAAAGGAGTTTAGGATGAAAGGGGAAAACTTCAAATTCAATATATACAACTTCTGCTGCCTGAAAATAACCTCTTGCTTTTCCTGAGCACTCACCACCCTCAATTTCTTTACATAGCTAATTTTTGCGGGGGACTTACGCCCTGCCTGAGAACCTGCTGTTAAGCAGATTACCAGCTATTAGACCCCAGGGAGCCCCACTGCAAGTACTTATCTTCAGACCAGGAGCCCAAAGCTCAGAGAGATTCACCAAGTTCTAGTACCACCCAGCTGGCCATGGCAAAGCCAGGCCCACTAACATCAAAGCCTGCTCTTTCTCACACACAGGCTGCACTCTGCTGACCCTTCCATGGTTATCACCTTTTCACTTATATGGCCTCCCGAAAATAAGCATTTGCCCAATGGAAGCAAGAAATTTTCCCTGCATTCACATATTAGTGTACACCAAACATGGGCCAGTCTCTTTATCAGGACGGCAGGAGGTGGAAGGAGATTCTACACGTGACAGGAGGCAGGCAGTGGCACATAAGGATGTGCTTTGCAGAACGTCAGACTGTTTCGGGCCCAAGCCTTCATGATTCTCAGAACTGGAGAACTGGGTGGGACATCAGTAGCCACATTACCATCAGGAGGCTGATGCCCAGTGGGTCTTTACCATTGCCTGGACTTTGGTGGTGCGGTGAAGGATGTTAGCACTTGGACCAGAACTCAGGGGTCCTGGTTCATATCCGGAAACACATGCATGTGTAGCATCAAAGTGTCCTGCTTGTTTGCTAGTGTTTTAAGTGTAGCCACATATGGTCCTCTGGTCACTAAGTCAGCTCTTCTCAAGTTCAGCTGCACATTAGAATCACTTGGGGAGTTTTTGAAGATCCCCAAACCCAGGCAAATCAGCATCTCTGGGGATGGGCCCAGTCATCATTATGTTCTATTTTCTAAACTGCCTGATGATTCCAATGTGCACCTAAGGCCACGATGTACACTCTACGCATCGTAAGCACAGAAGACAATGCCTGATAAGAACGTTCACTTTGTGTCTTTCAACTTACTCCTCTGTACACAAAATACGTTTAAATTCAGATACACTGGGAATTTAATACTGCTGCTTGAATGATCTTTGTAAGACACGCAGCTGATCACATCATTCACCACTCCCTATAGGGCTAGGGAGAGGTGAGGTGTCCAGAGCACAAAATTTCAAGAGAAGCCCTTAGTCCCGTCACATATGTTCCTCACAAGAATCTTTCCTTATGGCCACAGGCATGAACTAGGAAGGCAAACGAGCGTGCTGTGGGCCCCGGCTGTGCCACGTGTGGTCTCTTGGACTGTGGCTGAGTTAGCTACACTTCCTACGCTTCCTACTGAGGTCACTAAGCCACCTACTAGGGTGGTCGCAAGAATCAAATGAGGTTGGTGCTCAGCAGTTAAGGTGGCAGCATCCCTGCCCAGCTGGCACCTGCTTATCCTCCCAGGCTAAGCACATCTCTTTTCTGCTTTCTTCTCCCCCATCCTCGCCAAGGTCAAATCAACTGCCCTCTCATCTGCGTTCTGTGGCACTGTAGCACACTCTAGAACTTCTCCTGCTGGATCTTAGCCACTTATCCCAGTGTCTGTCTTACCTCCCATGAGGCAATCTGGTAAAAGAGAAGAGAAAACGCTTTGGGATTAGTTAGACGTGGGTTTGAATCCCAGCTGAAAAATCGTGAACATTCTCTTTGAGCCACAGTTTCCTTACCACAAGATGATGAAAATAACACTGAATTAATTCTGACACACAGCAGCTGGGAAAGAAAGTTAGCTTCTTTCACTGACCCACTAAACCCTCCATTCCAAGAGCCACCCCCATTCCAGCTATGAGTTCTCCGAGGTCAGGAACTTCATTCAGTGTGACAACCTTGAGCAGGGACTCAGCACATATTTAGGACACAGTAAACGTTTGTCCTGCTGAAATAAATCACAAGATGAACTGTATTTATATATATACAAGTTGAAAAATAAATTTTCAAACTGCAGAAACAACTTGCAAGAAGGTGAAGAAGAAAGAATGAGCACAGGCATTGCTGGAAACAGCATGTAGACCACACTAAGTGGAATAGAAAATACCCACTGGGAAACACTGGTGGAGGAGAGAATGGAGGACACACAGAACAGCCAATATCAAAGGTCTTGGTATCAGGGAGGAAGAGTGTGGACCTTCTGAGACAGTTACTTCAGGTTTGTATCTCTAAAGCTTTGCTGATAATCCTTCACCTTTCCATTGAGCAGGTAGGTAGCTGGCTGCATTATGTTCATCAAAACTCCCACTGGATTCCAGCTAAATTTGTATCTCAAAGGATTGTCTGAATGTTCAGGGGCTGGAAGCCCACCACAGTAGGAAATATAAGATTCAATCTGTAAAATAAGGGATGAAGGACAATGACAGAAATGGAGTAAATGATGTAAACTCGCTATGTTTTTTTTTCCTTAAACTTATAAAGGCTTTCAAAAGCCTTCCTTAAAGCCTTTAAGCCTTCCTTAAAGCCAAATGCTATTTGATTAAGTCAGTTATATTATATATATATATACATTTTTAAAATCCACTGGAGATTGTGACTAGTATTTTGCTAGCTAAAAATCCAACTATTAGTTCAATTCTGCTTGGTCAGTTCCTCCTGACTTTTGTGCTCAAATGATACATTTGATTATATATTTTGTAATACAGAAGTATAAATAATTACTATTAAAATAGAATTAATATATAATTAATATTTATATAAAATATAATTCTAATTAATTTGATTCCATATTTGATTACATAACTGTTACATATATATAACCCAAAGCACTTAATCTGATTCTATCACATTTTCATATCCAATAGTTCCTTCTCATGTGCAAAAGATAATTTATATACCAAAAGATTGACTATTCTAAAGAATTTTCCCCACTTTTATTTTATTTTAAAGATTTTATTTATTTATTTGAGAGAGAGAGAATGAGAGAGAGAGCACATGAGAGGGGGGAGGGTCAGAGGGAGAAGCAGACTCCCCGCCGAGCAGGGAGCCCGATGCGGGACTCGATCCAGGGACTCCAGGATCATGACCTGAGCCGAAGACAGTCGCTCAACCAACTGAGCCACCCAGGTGCCCCGAATTTTCCCCACTTTTAAAAGTCAAGCTTTGGGGCACCTGGGTGGCTCAATTGTTAAGTGTCCGCCTTCGGCTCAGGTCATGATCCCAGAGTCCTGGGATCGAGCCCCGCATCGGGCTCTCTGCTCAGCGGTAAGCCTGCTTCTCCCTCTCCCACTCCCCCCTGCTTGTGTTCCCTCTCTCGCTGTCTCTGTCTGTCAAATAAATAAATAAAATCTTAAAAAAAAAAAGTCAAGCCTTTATCCATTTACAGATAAAGAAAATATAGTATATGTATATATACAATGGATTACCACTCAGCCATCAAAAAAAAAAAAAAAAAAGAAAAGAAATCTTGCCATTTGCAATGATGTGGATGAAACTAGAGGGTATTATGCTAAGCAAAATAAGTCAACCAGAGAAAGACAATTACCATATGATCTCAATCATATGGGGAATTTAAGAAACAAAACAGGGGATTATAGGGAAAGGGAGGAAAAAATAAAAAAAGCCAAAATCAGAGAGGGAGATAAACCATAAGAGACTCTTAACTATAGGAAACAAATTGAGGGTTGCTGGAGGGGAGGGGTGTGGGGAGATGGGGTAACTGGGTGATAGACATTAAGGAGGGCACGTGCTGTAATGAACACTGGGTATTATGTAAGACTGATGAATCACTGAACTCTACCTCTGAAACAAATAATACACTATATGTTAATTGAATTTAAATTTAAAAAATAATTAAAAATAATAAAAAACAAATCAAGTGGGGAAAAAATAAAAATGACTGTTCTTAAGGCTATTTTAAAAAAATTAAAAAATAAAAGTCAAACCTTACCATCTCCAAAGGCAGTCTAAAATCTTTCATTAAAACAAAATATTACAGTAGCATCTATTTCTCTAAAAATCTATTATTAAGCCTTGGACATTGTTTTACTATACAGATGTATCTGCAGTTGAAGGATTTTACTAGAAATTTCTAGTCAACGTATGAGTTAGAATATAGCAGCTTCCTTAATCAAAATTATAAAAAGATTATTTCTGTACACCAAAATCTGGACGTTTTAATATTTTCCTAAATGGACCTTTGGGTGTAAATTAGACTCACCGTGGCTCCCACTTCCTTGGCCTTATCTATGGTTTCCATTGCCAACATATGATCAAGACCAGGGTCCAACCCAAGTTCACCAATGACTGTGATGCCGGCATCTTCCACACTACAACAGGTGGGAAGGGGAGGAAGAAAAAGTTGGATATAAAATAAAAATAATGCCATGGAGCTACTTAGTTGAAAATGACTGAAACTTACCTTTTTTCTAATTCTTTTAGCGCCGGTGTGATGTAGCTTGCAGTGATCATGTTAACTTTGCTTGTGATGCATGCCTTCACCACAAGAGGATGCAATGCATAAGGCAATAAGCTTAAAAAGAGAGTGAAACTAATCAAAAACTTTCCCAACCCTACCTTTGAATATACCTTAAACTGCACTAAAGCTAAGACATCACTCTGATTATTCTCTCCAAGGTGACCAATGACTCTTGGAGAACTACAGAATAAATTCATCCTGTTATCACATTTAAAACCCTCCACAATTTGACTTTTACCTAATCTTTCCATTATTCTCCCTCTATCTTCTTCATAAACCAAAATGGGAACCAAAGAAGTTATTATAATTCTCCACTCACAGCCTGTACTTTTCCAGCTCTGGAACTTTACTCTGACTGTACCTTCTACTTGGAATATTATGTCCACCCACTCACCCCCATCCAGGCCATACCCCCTACTTGAAGAAATGTCTGGAGAGTCACCTCCTCTAAGAAGCTCTCCCAGATTCCCCCAAAGCCAGATCTTCTTCTGCATTCATTCAGCTATTTCTTTGCAACATTTAATGGGATTTATTCCATTCATCCTTATATTTCTATGATTTTCTATCTTGGCTCCTCTACTAAAAGATAAGGTTCTTTTTCTTTTTCTGCCATATTTCCCAAATGGCTATCAGTTGGGTTAAACTAAGTCAAAGTGACCCAGATGTTACATTACAGAGTAGAATCTAAGAAGGTCCAAAGGGAGAAATAAGCTTTAATGGTACTGATTGGTGCAAAACTTTTCAAAATGGTTAGAAATCTATATGCTAAGCAAAAAAAATGAAACTGTGTTCAAAACTTAACTCCAACTCAGTTTTCTAAAAATCTGGCTTTGGTGTTTTAATTTGGCAGTAGGACTACACAATCACAAAAAAATGAATTTAAGTAATTGTTAATATAAATGAATATATTCATGTTCTATCCAAGGACTAATAAAACATCATGTCAATTGCATAACAATATTCAAGTTCTACTAGCTTATTGACTACCTGGTGAAGCAAGCTACATAGTACAATGAAAATACAAATACAAACTTGTAAACATGATCACACTATTATCACTGTATTTGTCAAATTCATCCTGCAAATTTCAGATTTTCTCTAAAAACAAAAAAATAAAACCACCTCTGAGATACTTACGCCTCCTCAGGTTAGTAAAGTATTGCTACTTAGATTTATTATCCTGTGGAATAAAATTGTGTTCATATTTTGCCAGTATCAGTATGAAAACTCTCAATCTCTATTTTTTGACTTTTTTAATTAAAAGAATTATTACCAAACATGGTAACCCCTTAAAAGCCAATGAAAAAATACATGCAAAACTCTTTGTTGGAAAAATATTAATAGAAAATGTACAATGACATCATCTTAAAGATTAAGTAGAGTTTTTTTGGTCACATTCCCCACATTAAAAACTTTCTTAATAAAAAGTTTATTAAGATCTAATAACATTTTAAAACTCTGGCATAATCTGCACTAACCAAATAATATGCTAAGAACTAGAATGCCAGAACTTTGATTAATGGTGCCTATTTTAGACAAAAGGATTAGCATTTATAACTCATTGCATATGTAATATAATACCTACTAAAGGGACAAAACTTTTGAATGATTTGAGTTGACTCCAACCCAATTAATCCAAATAATGAGAAATGCCACTTGTTAAAACACACAAAATACAAATGGAATTTTCAAAGTAACTTACCGAACTCAATTACTACTTTGCATTAAGAACTAGAATCGCCAAATTAAAACCATGAGGATTTCACATATTATTATAAATTTTTTTGTGAAACATATTCTTCATTTTATTTTGGTGGTCACTATTACTGTGTTTTCATCAAAACACTTTCTCCAACTTAAAAAATAAAAAATGTAAAGAATGCTACAGGATAACAGTGTTTAACAACATTACCACTATTCAGCATGGAAACTCAACGGACTGAGAAAAATTAAATATAAAACAGATTTTGTTAATGTTAAATTTTTTCGAGGCCATCAGTTTGCTAAATTTTTAAATATGCATTATTATTTAGTCATATTTTGCTTCAGATTTAGTTCTAAATGTGTATTATAATGTTTTCTTTTTTTATGGAAAAGAAAAACAATGTTTTATTTAGGTACCTATGTGTGGCGAAACAAATTCCCTTTGTTTTATTCAGGAGGCTAGAACATTCCATTATGAATCATAATCATATCAATGACAAACAAGGTCTATGGGTCATTGGTAAATTTTTGCTGAATAAAAATTATTGCACATTACATTTATATAAATAGAATAACATTTTAAGTGCCTAAAGTGAGCCTATAATTTAAATACATCAAGAGATAATACACAAGTTCCCACACAGGATTACCTTTCCTATTGTATGTTTTCTAAACCCTTTTGTTGTTGTTGTTGTTGTTGTTTTTTGAAGTAGGACATCACAGAACTTCCTCCAAAGATATCATTTCAATCTGATCTAACTATGAAAGTCACCTCATTATGGATGAGCAGGTAGCTTTCTTCCAGCTTGGAAAAATTATATTCTAAGAATAAATGACTCTTCTCATCACTTTGGTATTTTAAAACCCAGTTTAATTATAGAGTACCCTCATGTAGCTCTGTACCTAGAAGTTAGATCTGCATTTTTATCAGTAGTAAACACTATAGTTCAAGATCTGTTCCGCCAATAAGACTAAAAATGGTTAAAAGGCTACAAAATCTACTCATTTTCCCTTAAGCTTTATTAAGTCCAAGTGATAAAACAGCCACCAAAATATATGAAACATTAATACTTCTGACATAGCAATTCCACTTCTAGATAGATATCCAACAGAAATGCATATATATGGCAACCAAAAGACAAATACTAAAATGTTCATAGCAACACAATTCATAATAGCCAAATTCCAGAAACAATCTAAACATCCATCAACAGTCGTGCTCGCTTCGGCAGCACATATACTAAACATCCATCAACAGTCAAATGGATAATAGGGGGTATATTCACACAATGGAATGTTACATAGCAATGAGAATGAATAAACTATAATTACAGGCAACAACACAAACAACTCTCACAATCACAGTGTTGCAGAAAGAAGGCAGCCATAAATGAGGACACACTGAGTAGCTCCAAATGTACAAAGTTGAAAACTAGCAAGAATTAATGTATACATGAGAGGCCAGGATAGTGCTTACCCTTGAGGGATAGGGCTAATAATGGAAACGGACACATGGTGGGCTTCTGGGGTACTGTTATTCTGTTTCTGGATGTAGATGATGGTTATGAAATGTGTTCACTGTGAAAACTCACTGAACTATATACACTTATGATTTGGGTATTTCTGGGTGCACACTTCAATTGAAAATTTACTTAGGGGGCAGCTGGGTAGCTCAGTCGTTAAAAGCGTCTGCCTTCGGCTCAGGTCATGGTCCCAGGGTCCTGCGATCGAGCCCCGCATGGGGCTCCCTGTTCCACGGGAAGCCTGCTTCTCCCTCTCCCACTCCCCCTGCTTGTGTTCCCTCTCTTACTCTTGTCTCTCTCTGTCAAATAAATAAAATCTTTAAAAAAAAAAAAAAGAGGGGCGCCTGGGTGGCTCAGTTGGTTAAGCGACTGCCTTCAGCTCAGGTCATGATCCCAGGGTCCTGGGATCGAGTCCCACATCGGGCTCCCTGCTTGGCGGGGAGCCTGCTTCTCCCTCTCCCACACCCCCTGCTTGTGTTCCCTCTCTCGCTGTGTCTCTCTCTGTCAAATAAATAAATAAAATCTTTAAAATAAATAAATAAATAAATAAATAAAAAGAAAATTTACTTAGGAGAAAGAGAAAATAAGGAAAGAGACATAACAACAGTGATCATATATTTTGTGTTTCCTACACAAACAAATATATGACAATCATCTCTTCCTAGATACTAACCTGATGACAAGATCCTGTTTTGCCACCAAGGAGCTCAACTTCTCTTCTTGTTTACTAATGTCCATGCTAACAGGATTAATATTATATTTCTTACCTAACTGTTTGATTTGGTTCTTCATGTCAGAGCCTATTTCAAGAATACAAAAGTCCAATTTTTAGATTACCTTCACTAGTCAGAGAGTAAAACACATTTTAACATCTCCAAAAATAATTTCTCAGAGTTTAGAAACAAGATAGTCATCTAAAATTCACAGAGTAAGCATGCTTTGAAATCGGTTTTCCTTCTTTAAAAATTAGGGCTTATTTACCTACTGTTATTTCTATCTTGTTATCTCTTGACAGGTATTCCAATACAGGTTCAGATACATAACCAGATCCAAGAACCAAGACCTTTTTCTTGGTGTCCATTGAAAGTGACTGAGCAAGTTCCCTATCAATAAAAGAGGGGAAGGGGAGAAAAATTTAACAACAACAACAAAAATATTTAAATAACAAAATCTTGCTGTCCCCCAAACAAACCAAACCTTAGACTATGAAGCAATAATTTTTCCCACATTTCTTATAATAAGAACCTCAACAGGAGTTCCCTAGACCAACATTTTTCATTAATTATTTGAGATTTTGCATGATAAATAACAGACCCTGACTTCTCTGAGGTGTATGTCCATACTTTCATGAATTCCCAACCACTGATGAGGTGCAGATGCTGGACCATTGCCTGGCTTGCTCACAATTGAGTAACTTGGTTTCACACTTTATCCTTCCAAGGGACATGATTCAAAATCATGCCAGGGGCTATACTTCAGAAACCTTACCCTTCGCAACAATCTGAGGAGACAACAATCTGAGGAGATTGCTATTAGCCATATTAGGCATTGTTTTGTCATTTATCATTAGGGTCACTTGAAAACAATTAAAACCAGACTTCTGAAATCACAAATGCCATGGGTTAAATATAAAAACCTAAGATGAATTACTAAGCAGGATTTTAATGCTTGAACAGTTTATTCTATTTTGTTCCTTCCTGGCAGATTAACTCTCTGTCTTTCCTACAAACTATGACCTCCCACACCGTGACTGTCTTGTTCATCTTTATAAACCCATTAGTGCTCAACAAATTTTGTCTTAAGTATGGAAGATACTCATTAAAACTCTGTTGATTCAAATTCACAAATATCAGTGTAAGACCATGGGAATGGCTTGGTGCCAGGGACATGAACAGAAGGCTCTATTGTTGGAATCTTTTAGGCCAAGATGTCTCTCAAACTTTAACCTTTCGATTAATTCTAAGTGAATAAAAATAAATTTAAATACAAAATGTCCCTGCCCCTCTTCACCCCCAACACTCATGTTACTGATGAGGTGAGTCTCCTTTAACCTCCACTCCCATCCATTTCACCCCCCAGAAAAGAACACAATTATTTGGTTATTGTGTATCCTTTCTAACAACATTTTCTATAGTTTAAGTAATTAAATTTCATTGTTTTGATGTCCAAAAATACAATATTCAAAATACATTTTTAAAAACTCGCTCCTAAATTTTAATACTGTCCACCCCATCAGCTACCTCAAACACTTGAAGTTAATAATCACTGTGCTACGTGATGAAGAGGCTATTCGAGTAAGGCAGGTATTTAAGACAACTTAAATTTCCTTTCAAAATACAATCTTCATTATCAGAAGTTCCACTATGAAGGGGGGTAGGAAGTCCTAGCAGACTTGCTGCTACAAGAAATATGGTGTGTAAGAGTGAAAACATCATCGTGACCAGTCATGTTAGACATGTTATTAGGATTAGTAATATAGAGATCATCAGATAGTAAGAATCAAACAATAGAGAGTTATGAAAAATGAACATATGTGAAGTTTCCCCTATAAGAAACTCTCTTACAGGACTATAGTGCTAGCCAGTTTAAAAACAAAAACAAAAACAAATCTCTCTTGGTCTCTTATGCCAGAATATTTCACCGACACATCATGGATGGACAAGCACAGCAGTAGTATACTTGATCCAAGCAAATCTCTTTACTTCTTAGAGACAGAAGAATTGAGAAGGAAGATAAGGCAGTTTGTTTGCTTCTTTTTAATTTTTCCACTCTGGTCTCTCCTGAGAATTCAGTGCATGGATTATTTTGTTAAATGTGAATAGACTAGTGGAGTAGATATAAACACAAATCAAGTGCAATCAGCTGAAGAGGACCAGAACATTCCAAAGAAATGTCAATGTTTTCAAACTCTGAGCAGTAAAATCAATTAAGGAAACAAGGCCCTTAGCTAAGTACCTTTCTAAGAGAACTATTCTCTTGGATACATTTACCACATTACTGTTTGGCACCTTCATCCTAAGAAGAATTCCCAGGGAAAACTGACCTCTCACCATTTTCTTTCTTCATGACTTCTCTTACTTTCTAAATAAGAGCCCACTTGCCTAAACATTTTACTAAACAAAATAGAGTCCAAACCCTCAACTAAAAATCAGACTGAAAGCACCACAGAAAGGGTTAGTGTGCTTATTTTCTGTGAGAAAATAGCCGAGACATGTCAATATGCAAAATGCTAGAGAAAGAAAAAGGGGCTCCTCAAAGGACAACTTTTTAGACTTTTGCTTGCTTACACACAAGTCTACAATAGGAGATTAGAAAGCCAAAATGATGTTCAGAGGAAAATAATTCCCACTGGTTTCACCCAGTCACATAGTTTGGATTTCCTATATGTACATTTTCCAAATTGTATAAACCTAGTATCATTAACTCAAAAAGAAGCATTTAAAAATACTCAACAAAACCAAGATAAGAAAAATGCTTACCTGCTCTCTCGGAGTTTCTGGATATATTTATACTTATCAGTCAATACACCGTTGGATGTAATTACTGCCTAAATGTGTATGACACAAGACATTTCTTTAGTGTCCATATATTAGACCCACAAACAGGGGCTCATATAACAAAGATGGAGAGAGAAAGGGAAAGGGAGAGAGGGAGAGAGGATGGTAGTGGAAAAAAACTATTTTTGTAACTTACGTCTCGCACCACAGGAGAAAAATTCTGACTTTCAAGAGGCTGTGTCGCATCTGATAATATCTGAAAAGAAAATGAGATTGGTAAGAGATAAATGATTGTAGAGAAGAATTCCTGGTGTTTGTTTCCATATTAAAATATTAGTCAAAGGAAAAAAAAGAATTTATAAAAGTTTTCTGAAGATCACTGAATATAAATAATTGGTAATAGAAGTCCACAAGCAACGAATTTTGTCCCCTAAGAACCTATTTCAGCACAAGTTCCAATTTTAAAACTAAAATTTGATCATCTTTGCTTGTTAAAAACACAAAATGGTTTATCCTTCCCCACCAGTTCGATGTGTCATATTGAACATGCTGGCAAACATCACCACAAGCTTTACAGCCATAGTTCCCACTCTGAGGGCCCGAATCCCACCCCAAAGGTTCACACTGTTCTATCCGAAAAGAGAATGGGCCTTTCAGACAAAAAGCCATCAAGCCTGCAATAGGGAGTCTCCCTCAGGCCCATATTATTCAATGTACAGGCACATCAGCATTTCGAAAGTATCAAGAAAAAAGTAGACCTCAAAGATTCACCCAGTCTTCCCTTTATCTTACAAGAATGAGTCAGATGGCCAATAACAAAAGCCACATCTCTCAGATTAATGTCCCACCATCCTTCTAATCCTCCTCTTTTCTTACAAAGTATCCAATTCCTGAATAGGCTGCCAAGAGTAAAGGTCACATACATTAGTAGTATTGCTTCTGATGGTCAGGACCTTAGGGTCAATGAGACAACCATTCCCTCCTTATCCTTGTAGGTTGAAGTCTAGAGCACTCACCCAGCTGAGAAAGAGCAAAATGTACCTACCAGATACTGGCAGAGAAATATTTACTTACTGTATTAAAATAAATATGAGGGGCATCTGGGTGGCACAGTCAGTTAAGCGTCCAACTCTTGGTTTCAGCTCAGGTCGTGATCTCAGGGTTGTGGGACCGAGCCCCATGTTGGGTTCTGTGCTCAGTGTGTAGTCTGCTTGAGATTCTCTCCCTCTCCCTCTGCCCCTCCCACTTGTGCTCTCTCTCTAAAATAAATAAATAAATCTTTAAAAAAATAAAATAAATATCAAAACTACTTTCATGTGTCTAAATTATACAACACTTATGCTATCTATTCCTGGGATATGGACATTTAAAAAAAAGATATTTATCTATAAGGCAGGTAGGGCATCTTTGGGGAAACTCATGGAATTGGCACACCTGGTGTCCTCCATTGCTTCTTTTACCCAGGCACCTGTGACTATTCCTTCCTCAAGCTGACTCCTCCACCTACCAACCCTGTCTCCTGCCAGAAGCCGTAGGTGAATAACAACATGGGATTCGAATTTCACTTGGCATATGCCTAAGCCACCAAACTCGTGTATCCTTCCATTTTCTCGACTGTTATACCTAATTCTGCAGCCTTACTCAGGCCTTTCTGAGACCAGGGGAACTACCTCCCACCTCTCTCCTTCCATTTATCTTCAATCTAAAACACAAACCTGACTGTTTCTTCTGTGTCTATTTAAAATAATCCAGTAGCTTTCCAAAACCCTCAAGATAAAAGTCTCTAGTTCCTTATGTGGTCCCCAAGACTCTCTATAGTCTGTCTCTGCCCCTCCAACCTCAATTCTCCCTTCATCTCATACCCAAAACTCTAGTCCTATCAACACTGTGAAGATGCTCATCTGCATTAGCGTTCCCATGCCTCTGTGCTATACCATGTGGATGCCTCACATGCTATTATTCCTCTACATGGAATTCCCACTCTTCATCCTCCAAGATACAGCTGAAGAACTGCCTCCTCTGTGAAGCCTTTCTCAAAATCTGCCCCCAAGCAGACTGAAGCTAAGAACTGCACTTGGCATCTTGCCTGTGCAATAAAATGGTAAATACTCAATAAATAGATAAATGGATATATGCAATAATCATATGGATTTTTCCAAGGAAAATGAAGTAACTATCTTGAGTCCACCTAAAGAAAGGCAAACATGAAAGACAACAAAAGGCTGCTGAATGATTGCATTTAACTGTCTTCCTTGCTGGAATTCAACCATGACAAAAGTATAAGCACAAGGGTCCTAAAGTATATGGCATGCCATGTCACTTTCACATATACCACCTTTGAGAGCTCATCACTCTTTCCTAAATTAATTTCAAGCTATTATTCTGGTATCAAGACCATTTCCAATATGGAACCAACATACTTCCCTTTACTGTATTGGATTTGACAGCTCACAGAAACCCTGTTAACTCCCACCTTTGCTCTCCTCTCTCCATCAGATAGTGTGCCTCCCATTCCCATGCAAATGAACAGATCCTATACATCTATCAAGAGCTGCCTCAAATGTCACCTCTTTCAAAAAACCTTTCTGACTTTACCCAACAAGACAGAGCCTCACCCTCCACAACTTCATTAGCATTTTCCTAATGGCTGTCACTTGTCTCCATCCACTTCCTGGACCTCATGCTTCTATAGGTCAGAAGGTGTATTTTAATTTTCTTCATCCATATATGTGCCTTGTTCCAGCAGACAATAAATATGTAATTAATTCGAGTGAAACAAACTTCTCTATTGGTTCAGAATGATAACCTTTAATGCCACAAGGTCTGAACCTTATGTTCAAAAGGAAAATCTAGGGGTAAAAGAGAATGCATATATTTTTTTTTTAAAGATTTTATTTATTTATTCATGAGACACACAGAGAGAGAGAGGCAGAGGGAGAAGCAGGCTCCCAAGGAGCAGGGAGCCCGATGCGGGGCTCAATCCCAGGACCCTGGGACCATGACCTGAGCCAAAGGCAGGCGCTTAACCATCTGAGCCACCCAGGCGCCCCGCATATACTTTTTTTTAAAAGATTTTATTTATTTGAGAGAGAGAGCAGGGGGAGGGGCAGAGGGAGAGGGAGACAAGCAGAGCCCCATGAAGGACTCTATCTCACGACCCTGAGATCATGACTTGAGCCAAAACCAAGAGTCAGATGCTTAACCGCGATGAGCTACCCAGGCACCCTGACAGTGCATATACTTTAAATACAGTTCCCATACAGTTATCAGAAGAGAACACAAACAACATACTTAATTTTTTTAGTGGTAAGCAGATACACACATATCAAGACTACAATATAAAGCCATAAATTTTCACAAATGTCCAGTGCTTAAAGACAGTGCTGAGATAGATGTCCCCAAGACAATCCTACCACACTGTTTGGAGGACTATCATGATACATAAAAGGAAAAAGGTGTGACAATTTAGAGAAGCCAGCTTAGTCAGACATCTGTGCAATATCATCTGCCTCAGTCTGACCAAAAATCTCCAACACCTCACTGTCAGGTAATTTTAACCTTGTCACATTGCCTATGTGAGTCTATTAACTGCCGGTTTATGTAAGCAAAAACATATCGCCTATTTAAATATACATTTTCTTTCCAGCAATGGTGAATTAGATCTTTTCAGACCAAGCTTCCCACTGAGTAAAACCACGTAAAACATGAAAAGCCTCAGTTCTTAGCTTCAAAAAAGTACATAAAACTTTTTTTTTGTCTGGGGAAAACAGTGGAATAGGAGGACCCTAAGCTCACCTCTTCCCACAGACACAACTATATAACAACCACATCAGTTTATATAAGCCAGAAAATGACTTGAAGACTGGCAGAACAAACACTCCACAGCTAAATGAAGAGAAGAGGCCACAATGAAGAGGGTAGGAAGGGCTGAGATGCAGGGATCCTCAGGACTTCCCACAGGAGGAGAGACAATACTGGCACAGGGAGGGGAGAGAACCAGACTCTCACACTGGGGAACCCACACAGGAAAGATGAATCCCCATAATATTTGGTTTTGAAAACCAGAAGGGCTGAATTTCACAGGTTTTTACAGGCACCGGTACTTAAAACATGTAACTTTAAAAATCTGCGGGCTTGGCTCTGGGAGACCCAGGAGGGCAAGATGAAACTGAGTTTCTACCCTTAAAGAGACAGCACAAGAAAAAGCTCCACTGAGATACAGCATAGAAGTAGCAGTTTGAAAAATGCCTGGGGTATATGGGAGGAAGATTTGTTTACTAATCTCAGAGCATGTGCCGGGGATTGGGGGCAAGAATCCATGAGAGACTTGTCTAGGAATCAAGGAGCTGGCCTACACTATTTCCCTGCCCCACCCCCCAGCGTAAACACATGCCACCAGCTGAAAGCAGCATACCATCTACACTTCTACCTAACTTGATAACAGTGTGCCCTACCTGTGTGTTCCCCTGTAGACACACCCCCTCAAGCCAGGCCTCAGCTCAATGTCTCCTCCCACTGAAGAACCGTGCAAGCCTTGCTAACACCCCACATCTGACACCACAGGCTTCTGCAGATCAAGCCCCTCCAATATACTCTTGGTCTGAGCCCATCCAAAGTGTGCCACAAGGCTGACAGTATGCAGGCAGCCCTGATGGACCAGCACCACTCCAAAGCGATGCCTGCTCCAGGGAGAGGGAAAGAGAACCACACACACCAGTCAGACTGAACCCCAGCAGTGGGCTGGGGACAGATAGCTGATCTGACGGCAGGTCCCACCCACCCACAAAAGCTTTTCAGAAGACAAAACAGGGAAAGCAACCTGCACCTCAGTGCTACTGCATCCACGGCAAATGCCAGGTCTGACACAACTCAAGCCCAAGGCAGCCCCAGACCAACCTACTAACATCACAGGGACCAAACCCTACCCATAATAGGCTAAGAGGGCCATTGCAGATGACAACGGAAGAAAAAAGTGGCTCAGCCACAACAACAGAGTGCACACAGCACACATAGGAGACATCCAGTTCTGGTGAATAAGGAACATTGCACTACAGGGCACTATAGGACCTCTTCTTCATAAGGCCACTACTTTCAAGAGCAGGAGATGTAGCTGACTTTCCTTACACATGGAAACAGACACAAAGAGTTAGACAAAATGAGACAGAGGAATATGTCCCAGATGAAAGAACAGGACAAAATCACAACAAGATACCTAAGTGAAATGGAGATAAGTAAAATGCTCTTGAGGTAAGAGTGGAGGGCTCGGTAAGAACCTTAACAAAGAGATAGAAAACATAAAAAAGAACCAACCAGAAATGAAGAATTCAATAAATGAAATTAAAAATACACTAGATGGAATAAATAGTTGGCTAGAGAAAGCAGAAAAAAAGATCAGGGACCTGGAGAACAGAGTAATGGAAAAAATCAATCTGAACATGTGAGAGAAAAAATAATAATACAAAATGAAAACAGACTTAGGGAACTCATCTACACAACCAAGTATAATACATTTACATTATTATAGGGATCCCAGGGGAAGAAAGAGAAAAGGGGGCAGAAAATGTATTTGAAGAAGAGCTGAAAACTTCTTCAGACTGGACAAGGAAACAGAAATCCAGATCCAAGAGGCACAGAGAGCCCCCAACAAAATTGACCCAAGGAGATCCCTACAAAACCACATAATAAATAAATGGCAAAAACTAGTGATAAAGAGAAAATTTTAGAAGCAGCAAGAGAAAAGAGAACAGTTACATACTAGGGTAACCCCATAAAGCTATCAGTGGATTTTTCATCAGAAACTTTTAGCAGGCCGGAAGAGAGTGGCATGATCTATTCAGAGTGCTGAAAGAAAAAACCTGCAGCCAAATATTCTCTATCCAGCAAGGCTATAATTCAGAATAGAAAGAGAAATAAAGTTTTCCAGAAAAACTAAAGGTAAAGGAATTCATGACCACTAAACCAGCCCTACAGGAAATGTTAAAGGAGACTCTGAGTGGGTAGGAACAACCATAAGTAGGAGCAAGAAAAGTAGGAAGCACAAAAGCAGTGAAATTAAGTATACCTATAAAAATCAGTCAAGGGACTCAAAATAAAAGGATGTAAAGTATGACACCATAGGGGCACCTGGGTGGCTCAGTCGTTAAGCGTCTGCCTTCGTCTCAGGTCCTGGTCCCAGTGTCCTGGGATCGAGCCCCACATCGGGCTCTCTGCTCTGCGGGAAGCCTGCTTCCCCCTCTCCCACTCCCCCTGCTTGTGTTCCTGCTCTCGCTGTCTCTCTCTCTGTCAAATAAATAAATAAAATCTTAAAAAAAAAAAAAATGACACCATATACCTAAAATGTGGGAGGGAAAGGAGTAAAGAATGGGTTCAAACTTAAATGGCCCTCATCTTTATATATAGACTGCTATATGCAGATGTTATATACAAACTGAATAGGAACCACAAATCAAAAATCAGTAATATATATGCAAAAAAATAAAAGAGAAAGGATCCAAGATCATCACTAAAGAAAGTCAACTAACCGTGAAAGACAAGAGCAAGAGAAGAAAGGAAAAAGAGAAGATCCACAAAAACAGCCATAAAACAAGTAACAAAATGGCAATAGTTGCATACCTATCAATAATACTTTGAATGTAAATGAACTACATGCTCCAATCAAAAGACATAGGGTGACAGAATGGATAAAAAAGCAAGACCCATCTATATACCACCTACAAGAAACCCATTTTAGACCTAAAGACACATGCAGATTCAAAGTGAAGAAATGGAGAATTTATCATGCAAATAGATGTGAAAATAAAGCCAGGGTAGCAATACTTATATCAGACAACATAGACATTAAAACAAAGACTGTTAACAAGAGACAAAGAAATATATATACACCCTAATATTAGAATATATATATTAATATAAAGAATAATATATATATATTATATACTAGAAAATATAACAATTGTAAATATTCATGCACCCAACATGGGAATACCTAAATACATAGAGCAGTTAATAACAAACACAAAGGAAGTAATTGATAGTAATACAGTAATAATAGGGGACTTCAATACCCCAATTACATCAATGGGTAGATCATCCAAACAGAAAATCAACAAGGAAACAGTTGTCTTTGAATGACACATTGGACCAGACGGATCTAACAGATATATTCAGAACATTCCATCCTTAAAAGACAGAATACACATTCTTTTCAAGTGCACATGGAACATTCTCCAGAACAGATCACATATTAGGCCACAAAACAAGTCTCAATAAATTCAAAAAGACTGAAGTCATACTATGTATCTTTTCTGAGCACAACACCATGAAACTAGAAATCAACCACAAGAAAACATCTTGTTAAATAATTAAATGATTAAATAATGAGCTACTAAATGATGAATGGTGCAATCAAGAAATCAAAGAGAAAATCAAAAAATACATGGAGACAAATGAAAATGCAACACAATGGTCCAAAATCTTTGGGATGCAACAAAAGCTGTTTTAAGAGGGGAGTATATAGCAATACAGGCCTACTTCGAGAATCAAAAAAAATCTCAAACATAGGGGCGCCTGGGTGGCTCAGTCATTAAGTGTCTGCCTTCGGCTCAGGTCATGATCCCAGGGTCCTGGGATCGAGCCCCGCATCGGGCTCCCTGCTCGGCGAGAAGCCTGCTTCTCCCTCTCCCACTCCCCCTGCTTGTGCTCCTGCTCTCGCTATCTCTCTCTCTCTGTCAAATAAATAAATAAAATATTTTTAAAAAAATCTCAAACATAGAAAAAGAAAAATAAATAAGACCCAAAACCAGTAGAAGGAAGGAAATAATAAATATTAGAGCAGATATAAACAAAATAGAAATAAAACAAAACAATAAAACAGAGCAATGAAACTAGGAGCTGGTTCTTTGAAAACATCAACAAAATTGATAAACCTTTAACCAGACTTATCCAGAAAGAGAGAGAGAGAGAAACAGAGAGGACTCAAACAAAATCAGAAAAGAAAGAGGAGAAATAACAACCAACACCACAAAAATACAAATAATTGTAAAAGAATATAATGAAAAATTATATGCCAACAAATTGGACAACCTAGAAGAAATGGATGAATTCCTAGGAACATGTAACCTCTCAATACTGAATCAGGAAGCAACAGAAAATTTGAACAGACCAATTGCCAGCAATGAAATTAAGTAAGTAATCAAAAAACTCCCAACAAACTAAAGTCCAGGACAAGATAGCTTCACAGGTGAATTCTACCAAACATTTAAAGAAGAGTTAATACCTACTTCTCTCAAATTATTCCAAAAAATAAAAGAGGAAGGATAGCTTCTAAATTGATCCTGTGAGGCCAGCATTACACTGATAACAAAACCAGATAAAGACACTACAAAAAAAAAAAAAGAGAGAGAGAGAGAGAGAACTACAGGCCAATATCTCTAATGACAATAGATGCAAAAATCCTCAACAAAATGTTTATTGCAGCATTATTTACAGTAGCCAAATCATGGAAGCAGCCCAAGTGTTCAGCAATAGATGAGTGGATAAGGATGTGGTGTAATACATACATACACACACATACACCCACACACACTATGGAATATTACTCAGCCATAAAAAAGAATGGAATCTTGTCATTTGCAACAACATGAATGGAGCTACCGAGTATATACTGCTAAGCAAAATAAGTCAGAGAAAGACAAATACCATATGATTTTCCTATGTGGAATTAAAGAAACAAAACAAAGGAACAAAGGAAAAAAAGAGACAAACCAAAAAACAGACTCTTAACTATAGAGAAAAACAGATGGTTACCAGAGGGGAAGTGGGGGATGTGTGAAATAGGTGATGGGGATTAAGGGTACACTTTGCAAATGTATAGGACTGTTGAACAATATATACAATATAGTGATATTGTATACCTGAAACTACTATAACATCATATGTTAACTATACTGGAATTAAAATTTTAAAAAAATTTTTTAAGGCAGATAAGACTTGCTGCACCATAATTCTGGGGAAGAAAGCCCAAAGAGATGAGTCTGGCATTTGGCATGACTTTTCGTGGGTGTAGCAGGAATAGAACCCAGAGTAACCACAGCCTCCAAAATATGAGTGGAAAATGCCAGAAATGGCAGATTCAGAAAAAGTGAAGCCCAACTTTCATGTGAACTCTGTTCAAGTCTCTGGATAAGCCCCAAACTGAGTGTGTGTAGGTAAGCAACCCAGGTAAAGATGAAAGAGCTGAACTTTTATTTGAGCGACCCCCACCTCAGGTGAGACAAAGTTTTCAATTTAAGTCTAACCAATGAATTCTCTGCTAAACAAACAAACAAACAAACAAAAAATCAGTACTTTTCAGGAAAATGTAACAATCCAGAATCTCCACAGCATAACTATTCACATCATCCAGGATACAACCCCAAATTACTCAACTGGAAAACCAGAAAACTATGACCTGACCCATTTTCAAGGGAAAAGACAATAAAGTTCAACCACAAGCTGACATAGAATTTTGGAAATATGATGCAAAGACTATAAGTAGCTTTTCTAACTCTGTCTATATGATAAAAAACAGTATACTCATAATGTATGAAAAGACAGAAATTCTCAGCACAGAAACAGAAGAGAATGCTTAAGATAAACACTGAAGTAAGAATGCTTATCTTTGGCAAATGAATGGAATTTAGATAACACAGTATTTCAGTAGTCAATCACTGATTACAATGAAAAATACATGACCACAACAAAAGCTGTCACTTCACTAAGCATTAGTGACAAGCAGCCAATAAAATTTTCTGCATTTCTCATTTTTCAAATCTGTTCATCACAGCACAGTAAGAATGTTCTAACATGAATTGACCTAGACAGCAGGAAGAGTAAAAAAAAGGAAATCTTACTTCACATGTCATGAACATTCTTAATAAAATATGCATAATGAGAGATAAATCTAATTGTAGTTAATCATGAAGGCAGTTATATAATTATATTCCCCATAAGACAAGTAAGCAGAATATATAAAAGAGCATCTATAAATACTTTTGAGGGAGGGCTGGCATTTCATTTTACAACCGATTTCTTAGGTATAGAAGACCAGAACATTCCTAAGATCCCTCCACAGTTCTATTTAAAGCCACAGATTTATTGTGGATGCTACCGGTCAGCTTACCATTTCTTCAACATAAGGGTAAAGCATGTCTCCAAAGTATTCTGTAGCTTCAATTGGAAGCTGTGCTGGCAAATTGTCAATGGAACACATCAGAATCCCAGAGCCTTCAACACTAGGAGAAGCAATATGCTTTATTCAGCTGTATAAAATGCTATTTGTAAGCTCTAACTTTCCCAGGCATCTACTCCATTATACCTGTTCCAAAATAATTTATAATTGTGTACCAAAGTATAAAAGAAAATAAACAAGACTTCAAACAAAACTTCCCTTCTTTAGCAACCCATCTCCCATTTAAATATAATAATCATGTATTTAAGTGTTTGAATTTGCATGTCGTTTTTCTACCAAATTTTTAAATATGGTTGAGCATATCTCTGGATCTTTGCATATCCTTCATAAAAATGTGAAACAGTGAATATTTTACACTAGTATATCAAGCAAACTCACCTGTCATGAATAATATGCTGGTCTGCATCATACATACAAAAGGGATGTTCTATTGTCGTACACTCGGTCATAAACTCTATTGATCCTCCTGTGTCAGCTGAAATGTCACATATTGCCACAAGCCTGAAAATAACATCGATACTCAGATGAGAGCATGGAACTTCCAAACAAGATTAAAAATGAATAAAAATGAAAGGTACTTGAACAACTTTCAGTGTGGGTGCCAATTATCTCCTGGGCTCTTCAGCTCTTTTTCCTACAGTTCACTGTTCAGGACACTGTGTTCTTCTAGGACATAGACAATCTTCCCACTACAAGCTTTAGTCTCCACACACAAAAGTAAGAAGAAAAAGAAGAGGAGGAGGAGAGAAAAGGAAATCAAAGTGGAGAACCCCTTCCCTAGAGAAATCATAAGAAACAGCCTAGTTAAAGTTAACCTATTTAGCCAACTCTCAATAACTTACGAAGATTTGACTGCACTACCTCCACCCTGCTGAGTGGCACCAGGTTTATTCTGAGAGGGACTCTGTATGACTGATGACTACAGAACACACAAAGACATCATTCTTCATACAAAGTGAGGCCAGTGTGTCCCATCAGGAGGTTTGGAATTGTAGGTAGCTTGTTGTCCAGTGGGGACAGGTCTGTGCTTACCTAGCCACTACATAATTTCACATGGAGTAGATGCCTGGGAAAGTTAGAGCTTACGAATAGCATTTTATACAGCTGAATAAAGCATATTGCTTCTCCTAGTGTTGAGGCTCTGGGATTCTGATGTGTTCCATTGACAATTTGCCAGCACAGCTTCCAATTGAAGCTACAGAATACTTTGGAGACATGCTTTACCCTTATGTTGAAGAAATGGTAAGCTGACCGGTAGCATCCACAATAAATCTGTGGCTTTAAATAGAACTGGGGAGGGATCTTAGGAATACAGGGAAATCTCTAGAATTATGAACAGAAATCTCAGCTCAGCTTTTGAAATCCTCTAGGGGTTGACCAAAACTTTCCTGCCCAACCTCCAACTACCATTTGACTTTGTCAACCCTGCACTAGAGCTAGACTGCTCACTCGCTGCGTTGTTAAATCGTGTCTTGGTGGCTCCATATTTATCAAGTACCAGTCCCACCACTTGAAATTCTCTTTCTCCTCAGTCTTCCTTTTCAAGGCGTTGCTGAGCCCAATGTTCCTGCTTTCTTTTAAATTCTTGTGCTATTTATTGCTCCTAGCATTCCTTTGGCATTTACTTCATGCCAGCTACATGCCTGAGGGTAGCAATCATATTTTTTCTCTATGCTTCAGCTTAGCAGAGTGCCAGGCAGAGGAGGTGTTAACAAATATTTATTGATTATGTAATTCAACATTTAATAATTATTTAATACAAATTGTAGGTCAGGCAATGTACTGGGTACTTGTCGCCAAGACAAATAGGACCCCTATCCTTAAGGAGATTAAATTTTAATGGGAGGGAGAAAAATCATAAACACAGGAAAATAAATGATCATGAATTTCAGGAGGAAAAAAAAGTTAACAGACTAGAGAGAGATGGGGATGGGAACACAGAAGATCTTTCTGAGGAGGTCACCTTTGAGCTTCATGTAGAGTTAATAGAAGAGTTTCAAGAAGGAAGGAAGGTTAACTGTCAAATGCTGCCAAAAGATCAAGTGAGATAAAGCAGACCACCAGTCATTAGCAGTCAAGTCCCATGATATGTGAATCCCCTATAGCTGATACCCTAAGAGTGGGCCCTGTTGCTGAAAACTGCCATCATTACTGAAGTAAAGTCCTTACTTGTGTGGTAATGCAGGGCAGCCTTCCACACCAGCAACAGAGGACCTGCCTGGGACCAAGAGACTCTGGACATCTTGGCGAGTTAGTAGACGAGGGGTGTTTTGTTCCCAGTAGATTCCATTAATTAAACAAGTTGTATAGGGTGCAATCTGTAAAGCAAGTGCCCAGTTCAACAAGATAGGCAATAGCAAATTTCAATGCAGTAGGCTGAAAGAGAGCTATCAGTAAAGTTCGTAAGAAATAATTTAATGTTACTTCGAATGGACTTTATTATTTGCCATGTCAGTGGTCATTTTGTGAGGTGAAGACAATAAATACTCACCCAGATTTCAGTGCAGAATTGCTCCATGATAGAGAAGTATATGAACATAAATACATTAATATTTCTGTTTTCTAATGTACTGCATGGCCAAGAAAAGGGAAAGGACAGAATCAAGTGACCTACCACTCTATTTCCAGCTCAACCGCCAGTAGGGTGATCTACATCATGCTACCTCAACTTCTCTGGGCTCTATTTTCCTTACCTGCCAGATGGGGATAATATGTACCCCATTCCTCAAAGGAATGCTGTGAAGATTAAATCAGATAACATCTGTAAGCTCCACGGACAAATGCGCTACATACATGCACACGTGGTAACTAGGTCATTATAAATTTTAGGATGCATCCAATCACCAATATTTCTGTGATTGGGGGAAAGAGAAGGGATGGAAATTTACTAGATTTTTTTCAGTCTGAAACTAGTTTCATAATTTTTGTTTCACAAGCAACTCAAGCATTCTCAAGCTACAGGTAAAAGTCCTTCTCTACAACATGCTCTACATGCCATAACAGCTATATTTCATACCAGCTATATTTCAATCTTATTGTTCAAACATATTTAAAATTTAAAACATTCCTTTTCATAATAAATGCATGCACTTTGTGTTTATTTTTTGGTTTGTTGGTGTATTTTGAGGAGAACTTTGCAGTGACTCCTACAGAACACATAAATACATTGTTCTTCTTAAAAGGTAAGGCCAGTGTGTCCCCATCAGAAGGTTCTGAATTATAGGTAACTTTCTGTACAGTGGGGATGGGTCTGTGCTTACATAGTTGTGTGTTTCACCCTAGTCCCCCATCATCAATGTCATGCATTCCAAGACAGCTGGCTGAGGTTATGACTGCAATTTGTGGCCATAGAACCCTAGGTTGAGATGAAACCTCATAGACACTGGGCTTTGCTAATAGTACTAATTGGTCCAGGATAAATACAGAAAAAAGTACTCCACAGGACATCGTTTAGAGTTATTGGGCACATGCAGACCCGAAGCAGAAACAGAGGCAATGAAGCAAAGGGCATATCCACCAAAACCACTAAGCAAAGGCCACTCCAAACATCAGTAAAAGCCAACAACTCCTAAGGCCAACCCAAAGGATTCACAAGTCAATATGGGGAACTGAAAACCAATGTATACATTTATAACCTCTCTCCTTGAAAACAGCCTAACTATAGGGTATTAGGAGCAACCAGCTCAGAAGCTGAGTGTGATACTCACATCAGTATTAAAACGACTTATGTAGCGCTCAGGATATTTGTCATACTCTACAGGATCATACACACCATCTGTTTTCCTGACAAGATGATGATGGCGACTTAACACCGTCCCATACACTTTTCTCAGGTCTTGCAGAGGAGAAAGAAATTAGTAAAGTAGGTGACAAATGATAAAGATTTATGGTGATAAAATATTATAACACAGAAACTGTTAAAAATAGTTAAAGGATACATACAGTCATCCCCCTCCCCCTTACCTCCATTTTGGGAAACTTCTTTTAATTCATGTGGTTCCACATATTCACAAGGTAATTCATTGAAGATTTCTTGGGCTCCCTGTAAATAATGCATGAGTAAAAATCTAAAAATCAATAGGAAAAAAGCCAACAAGGTTTTCTGCAACAATTCCAATTCACTTTCCCCACAATTATTAGCTCCACTTATCCGGCCCAGCGACGAGGCCTGCAACACAGAAGTATAGATACACTTCTTGCACACAGTCTACAAATCAGCTTTTATTCTTGTATGAACAGCATTCGTTGGAAGGAGCTTTATTTTTTTTTACTTAAGTTACTCAGAGTAGACACAAGGGTGTTTAAAAATGAGAGCACAATAAAATATTTCTATTTACTTTTTGCTCCGTTGCAGAATTATTTCAAGTGGGGAAATTGTATTTCCCATGAAAAAAAATTAGATGCCTATCTCACAGTATAATACAAATAGTGAGGTCCTGTTTGTAAAGTATTTTCATTGAGTGAAGATCTATTTTACAATTATAAATTTCTCTGGGGGATCACAAATGCCTTCTCAAAACCATCCCAGAAGAAAGAAAGTAAGAATTCCAGTCCTGAATTAAGCTTCCTAAAATCTTATTGGCAAAACTTCAAATCATTTTAAAAAATTTACATCCTGTGCTCAATTCCAAACTTTTGGACATCTCAGTGATGAAGGTAAAACAGATCACCCTAAGAACAGACCTTTATACCATTAACAATGATTTATCCCTTTAAAAAGAAAAAGTGTTCAAAGACTCTGACAGCTTGGAGTCAACTGAAAGCAAAGAAAATAAGTCTGGATCATTACTGCTCTATACTGTGGAGCAAGTTACATAGGTAAGAAAAGTACCAAAAGTTTTGAACGCCCACTCATCCAGAAGCAAGGCTCAGAAATGACCACAAAATGTTCGCATTCCTTGGGTTAGTTTCAGGGTTTTGATTGCTTTACAGAAAGTGGACTTTCTTGGAAGTATCTAAGAAGTTACCTTAGATACATTACCAGTCCCTGTGAACACAAATGTTAAAGGCCCTATCGACTTTGGCATCAATCCCAGAGATACTTCATAGCCAGCATCGCGGACAGCTTGCACAGCCTGGCCACTGTTCCTGTAGTTATGAGCCATGCCAATGTGCTGAAAGCAAGCATACAGGAATTCAAGTTAGTTGACCACCTGAGACACTTCCCTGATACGTATTTTCAAAAAAATAAACAAAATACACATCTCACCATAAAAGGTGTGTGATGTCCCAAAGCAAGGAGCCTTAACCCCATTCCATGCAAAATGTTGATCATCCCTATTGCAGAATCAGACCAACAGAAAAGCCATTAGTCAGGAGTTGAAGCTGTTCTCTCTGACCATTCTCCAACCGGCTCCGTGCTCTGACGAAGCACAGATCACAGCATCTCAGATTTGGAAGGGGCCCCAGGGGTCGCCTTATCCATCCCCTCAATTTTCTGCCATCAAAAGCACTAACCCAGCTGGCATCCCTACCTATTCCCTTCCACTTTCAATCCTGCCAAAATGAAAAGAGTGTCCCTCTTCTTTTCTGAGGTTATTCTATCTTTGCTCCAAATCCCATCCCTTCCCATTCCTTCTCTAAGGAATTCACTTTTGAAATTATTCCTTTCACTATCCCTCCCTATTGGCTCACTCTTACCAACATTTAAAGACACTTACATTCCTCTCAAACCAAAACTAATGAACAAACAAATACAAGGTCAGCATTGACCTTATGAGTGCCATCAGCAATTTTAGTGACCTAAATAGCTGAACTCAGTGAACAACTGTCAGATCTTACCTGTCAGAGGTATTTGGCAACATGGACTCTCTCTCTACTGGAACCCTCTTCCCTCAGCATCCCTGACTTAAAAATTTTCATCCCACATTTCTCTAGGTGCCTCTTCCCATGCCCATTTCTTTTAAATTAGTGTCCTCTCCCCTTCCCTTAAGGTCTTCTTTTAAATTAATTAGCATCAGGATTCTGTCCAGGGCCCTAGTCTCTTTGATCTCTACATTTTTTTTTCCTTAGCTAATTTTATCCAGTCCTAAGTTTCAAGTATTCTGTATATGCTGATGCCCCTAAGTCTGTATCTCTAACACAGATATTTTATTTCAAGACCTGACCAACTACCTTATGGATTTCCCAATTTGGACTCAAATAGCGAAAACTCAGCATACCCATAGCAAAGACCTCAGCATCCATTCTCCTCTTCCTTTTTCCTTCTCTGTATCCCTTCCAAACATTCTTTGATCTTTTTTCTGAAGTCAACTTTTAAAAGTGTAATTTATATTCAATAAAATGCACCAATTTAAAGTGTACCGTTTGATAACTGAACATATGTATGCACCCATATTACCACCAACATAATCGAGATACAGAGTATTTCCATCACCCCAGTCAATCCTCCCCACTCCTTTGCCCCAGAACTAACTACTGGTCTTATTTTTCTCTGTATAGAGTAGTTAATTCTACAGTTTCATATAAATGAAATTGTAAGTATATACTCTCTTGTGTGTCTGCTTTCACTCAGCATGTTTTTGAGATTCATACATAATTCAGTGTAGTTTCAGTAGTTTACTTCTTTTTATTGACAAGGAGTTTCCATTTTATGGGTATATCGCAACTTATTTATCCATTCTTCGGCTAATGGACATTTGGACTGTTTCTACGCTATTATGAATGAAGCTACTAGAAATAAGTCTTTATAAAAAATAATTCATTTCTCTTGATAAATGCCTATGAGTGGAATTTCTTTTTTTTTTTTTTTAAGATTTTATTTTTTTATTTGACACAGAGAGAGAGACAGCGAGAGAGGGAACGCAAGCAGGGGGAGTGGGAGACGGAGAAGCAGGCCTCCCGCAGAGCAGGGAGCCCTATGCGGGGCTCGATCCCAGGACCCTGGGATCATGACCTGAGCCGAAGGCAGACGCTTAACGACTAAGCCACCCAGGTGCCCCATGAGTAGAATTTCTTATGTACATTGATATTCAAGTTTTTTATTTCTTGAGTTGGTTGTGGTAATTTTTGTCTTTTAAGGATTTGTCTATTTGATCAACATTGTCAAATTTATTGGCCTATTCATAATACTTTCTTTCCCTTTTAATGTCTATATGAAATACAGTCATGACCCCTCATGTATTCCTAATACTGGTAAATTGTGGCTTCTCTCTTTTTCTAATCAGTCTAACTGGAGGCCTATCGATTTTATTGATTTGCTTAAAAACTAGCTTCTGAGTTCATTGATTTTCCCTCTTTATTACTCTTTTCCTTGTATTTGCTTTGCATTTAATTACTTCTTCATTTTCTTGCTTTGTAAGATAGAAGTTTAGATCACTAATTTAGACTTTCTTCTTTTCTCATAAAAGCATTAAATGCTATAAATTTCCTTCTAAGTAACCACCTTATCTGCACCCCATCAATTCTGGTATGCTGTTTTAAATTTTCATTCAATTCGAAGTATTTACTAATTTTTCCTGTGATTCCCTCTTGACTCATGGGTTTTTCAAAAATACATTATCTTCCAAATATCTGGACATTTTCTAGATATCTTTCTATTATTATTTCAACATCAACTTTATTATAGTTAGAGCACATACTCTATGATTTCAAACATTTTATGTTTATTAAGAACTGTTTTGTTCTTGTGGGCCATCTGGGCGAGTGCTCAATAACCATCAATTGCATCAGGGTGGCCGATGGTGTCTTACTGTTCTATATCCCCACAAATTTTCTACTTGTCCCAACAATTACAGACCTTTAAGTACTCTAATCTGATGCAGAGCTCTAATATAAAAGTGGTGCTTCTTCAACCAAAGAAGTTTTCAAAGTACTAACTGGGACAAAAATCAAGTGGAGTTTTCCCCCAATTCCAGCTCTTATCCTTTCTAGACTGCTCCTCTCTTGGTTCCCAACCCTGTATCTTTTCCCTCTCTTTCCCCCTTTATTCTTCTCCACAATTTCTCATCACCAAACTGACCTCTCCTAGTCTTCCAGACAGAACTCCCTAAAAAGTCAGAACCTACTCATAGTTGTTCTCCTTTTTCCTGCTTTCTTTTTCTTTTTAACTTTTGTAATAAAGATGTGTAATGATTTACCTTATTTTATTCCCCTAATATTCATCACCCTTAGCTGTACCCCCATGTTTATTTTTTTAGTGGAAATGAACACTTCCATGCCCTTGCCACAGAAAAAAAGAAAACACAGTTACTTCCCAGGCAAATTTAGAAAGTGGGTGATGTAAAAACCCTGGCATACCTACCTGCCACACCTGCCCACTGTCCAAACGCCACTACCCGTGTTCCTCTATGATCCACCATTTTCTCGTAATCAATAAGTCGGATTTCCTGAAGAAAGGATAAAAATTTCCACCCAGACCCATTAAGCTTAATTTCAATGAGTAGACCACATATATGAGCAAATAAATATTTCACATTTCTTCCTCTTATAAAATATATCTTGACCTGACTTTGTAAGTTACCATCAGGTGCACCATGAAATATTTAGAAAATGTTGGGTCACAAACCAATGATAGGTTTTGATTAGAGATGGTCCTAGCAGGGTGACAAATGCCCCTTGATGGTAGTCAATAAAATAGCAAAGACATGATCTCCTTTAACTTTTAGGCCAGCACCACCTACATACATATCTATAGTCCCACTCACCCCCACATCCTTCCTTCTAGTCTCAAAGAAAACAAGTCCCTGCCAAGGCTAATCCCTGTGAGCTGGATCCCAGCTTTTTCCCATGTCTTCCAAGACCACTCTTGAACTTTTTCTTTCCTGCATTATCCCTTTGTACACTGCTCCTTCCTACCTTAAAAATGACAACACCCCCTCTCAAGTCCATACACACAAATCTATCTCATTTTCTCTCTCTCCCTTCCTCCTTTCCTTTTTCTCTCCATCCTTTTACAAGTAAGCTTCATTTACAAAGTAACACATGCTGCCTGCTTTTCACTTTCTCACCTTCACTGAAACCACATTCTTCCTCTATCTTTGGGAATCTTCCCTCTCAGGAATAAGTCTTATTAACTCATGCTTAAAAGCTATTGATACACTGTAATTATAGAATGTTTTAAAGTCATTTTATTTCCTCAAAGATCATGGTTTTTACCATGTGCCTGAATTTAAGAATGTTTAATAGTCATCCAACTCTAACTGGTTACAAAATACTGCCAAAAAGCAGCCATGCCCATTCTGTTTTTGTTAATTCTCTTGTAATGAACAAAAATCCGTAACAAAGAAAATGCTTCTAAAGTACTTTTAAAGGAATTTATCTGCTTAAGGTGCAATCTTTTTCTTACATTATTTCCATTAGTTACTTTTTGAATTTGCTTTTCAAAACCACTGGGAATTCACTAGGCCAGGTCTAGCATATTTGAAATGAGTAGGAATGTATTCTATAGGCCTGTACAGAACACATTTTCTTCCAGTGCTTTTACTGTTTGTGAAGTCTCCGGTTCTCTGCCTATTCTCAGATTCTAGTCTAGTTCCTAATGCTCTTATCTAGCATCCGTACCCCAGGGCTTGGACCTTGGACTTCTCTATCTATACTCACTGCCTACCCTCATCCAGTTTCATGGTCGTAGATGCCATCAAGTCTCTAACAACTACAAATACGTATCAGGAGGAGCCGCCCTGAGCCTTGAACTCATTGTCAATGGCTCCCTCCTTAAAATCTAATGTCTAAAGTCTGCAATCTGCTTAAATGTCTAATTGACAAGTTAAACTCAACAGGCCCCAAACTCAACTCCTGATCCTCCCATCCAAGCCTGCTCCCTCTTGCAGTACCATCATCTCAGTTTGCGGCAACTCCTTCAAATTGCTCAGGCCAAAACCTTGGATTCCTCTCATTCCACTCTTTCTCTCATATTCCACATTCGTCTCACGAGTAACTTCTGCAGGATTAGACCTCTAAAATCCACCCAATATTGGGTCTATGCATCACCACCTCTGCTTCCACCGGCCTCGTGCGAGCCACTGTCATTTGGAACCTGGGGTCCATACTAGTCTAAACCAACAATCTTACCAATTTTCTCCTCCCATCTCCAATATTATCCACACAGCAGGCTGAAGAAGCACTTCAGAACATGACTGACACTAACCCTCCACTCAGCCAGACCCACGGGACTTTGTGCTACTATGCTCTCTGCTTGGAAGACTCCTCCTCGATGGATATGACTTGATCCTTCACATTACTTCAAATTTTTGCTCAATGCCCAATCTGCAATGAGGCTCTCCCTGATCATCCTATTTAAACTACTGTCACCTCCCACAGTGCCCAGAACCCCTTTTTTCCCTTCTGTATCATATTTATGTCCATCACACATATCTCTAAGTGACAGATATCTTATTTATATATTTATCATCTGTCTCCTCCCACTAGAATGTAAGCTCTGTGAAGACAGTTACTTTATTGCCATTGCAGTGAAGAGGGTCAGACACATTGCAGACACTCAGTAAATATTTGTTGAATGAATACTCTGTATTTTAAACAGCTGATAGTTTTTGTATAGTATTTATAACTCAAAAAATGATTTCTTCCCTCATGAATGTTAATAAATGTAAAAATAATCTCCAGTCCAGTTCTGGCACTACAGAGCTGGGCAACCTTGGTCGAGTCACTTCACCTCTCTGGGCTCCATCTGAAAAATGAGGGAAGTGGATTATATGATCCCTGAGGCTCTTTTTTTTTTTTTTTTTTTTTTTTTTTTAAAGATTTTTATTTATTTATTCATGAGAGACAGAGAGAGAGAGGCAGAGGGAGAAGCAGGCTCCCAAGAAGCAGAGAGCCCGATGCGGGACTCGATCCCAGGACCCTGGGATCATGACCTGAGCCGAAGGCAGACGCTTAACCATCTGAGCCACCCAGGCGCCCCCCTGAGGCTCTTTTTAGCTCTCAATTCTACTTGGGAATATCTGAGCAATTGGCCTCATAAAGTGCTAATCGTTTGGGGAGAAATACTTCTACCATTTTTGTCCATTTCAGTACAAAAGGAATGAAATGTTTGGCTTCTCATTACAAATTCCAAACTAGCACAGCAGAGGAGCCCGAAGAGCTGCAGAACTATTCAAGCACTAACTCACAGATCATCTTTCCTATTGAGGTGAATAACATGATGTATTTCCTAGACGCTGAAAGAAAACTAAAACTCCGCTTGACATTTAAAAGTTGAAAGAAAAATTGTTTCTATGTTAACATTTATGATTACTGGTCACTAATTACCTGTCTCAGAATCTCATCCAGCAAACCCATATTGGCCTCCTGAGCCTTTATTGTGTGGGAGAAGAATGCGTAAGTCTTCTTAGACATTAATTTTTCCTCTGGGGGTCTTTTAACTCCCAAAATTAGACAAGCTTCAGAAATATCCTCCTGAAGAATGCCACCAGCTTTGACATATTCCTGGGAATGCAATTGGGGTTAAAAGTTATTTCCCTAATTTGTTGATTCTTATTTTCTTTAATAAGTAAGTATAGCAATTAAAGGCATAATCTTTCAGCGGCATAAAATCTGTATGGATTAGAACAAATAATAATTACTTCTAATATTTTTACTTTCTGGCTAAAGATCAATTTAACAAGTTTGACTTTATAGCAAAAAAAAAAAAGTTAGAAAATTCACCACCTACTCCTATTTAAGAGCAGTTAATAGTTTGATCATAACCACTAGCACATATGATTTAAAAATATTTGTGAAATGTGTATTTTGTATCAACAATGTACTGAAATGCTAAATGCAAAATAGTAATTTATTACTCACGTGTATTTTTAAAAAAAAGGCATATATCTGCAATATTTACTTTGCTTTTTTTTTTTTTTGGTTCAATTAGTATTTATTACTGCCCCATTCTGTCCAGTGGACTGTGCTAGAGATGAAATGATAAGACACTAAAAAGGCAGACAACATCCCTCCTATAAAGAAGCTCACAAGATACAGTAAAAAGAAGTCAGGAACATAGTAAGTGAGGCTGAATTCAAAAGAATTATGAACAGCAGAAGCTAAGTGATACATTAGTTTAATGGATATTGAGATAATTCCTGGGTGAGATTATCAAGGAAATATGAAACTTTAAAGTAATCTAATAGGCTAGGTAGGATTTTTTTAAATTTTATTTTATTATGTTATGTTAGTCACCATTCATTACATTATTAGTTTTTGATGTAGTGTTCCATGATTCATTGTTTGCATATAACACCCAGTGCTCCATTCAATACGTGCCCTCCTTAATACCCATCACTGGGCTAACCCATTCCCCCCACCCCCCTCTCCTCTAAAACCCTCAGTTCGTTTCTCAGAGTGCTAGGTAGGATTTGAAGAGATGGAGATGTGAAATGCAAGGTGGTAATATCAGTAGAAAGTACTGAAGAAATATATACAAATATGGAGGCAGGAAAGTAAGAAGATGTTTAGGGCATAATGGATAAATCAATTTGGAAAAGTAGACTAAATATTATCATGGTGAATATGATCTTTATTGGATAAAAAATAAAAATCAACATTTATTAATAAATTAGTACTTGCTTTACTGAGCTCTTTTCAGGAATTATCTCATTTAATTTTCTTAAAACTCCCATGAAGTAGGTATTATTATTATGGCCATTTTATCAATGGGAAACCTGAGGTTTACACATTTAACTGAGATTGAATACCTAGTACATGGAGGCAATAGAAAGTCATTTCAGATTTCTAAATAAAGGGTTAGCATGATCCAGGCAGAATTAAAGGAGCATCAAAAGTAGCAGTTGAATAAAATAAGACGAATCCAGTTAGGAATCTACTTTAAAGGAAACTATAGATGGATAGACACTACAAGGATGAAAATGTGATTCATACCTGGTTTCTTTGAAAGTAATCTATTTGTCCATTTATAGTAGACTAGTTAAATAAATCACAAATGATGGAGTAATGATGACAGAGTAATTAAAACACAGCCATTAAATAGAATGAAGCAGATCTCCATGAACAGACAAGGAGTGAGTTCCAGGGTATGTTGTTGACTAAACAAACAAGGTACAATAGAGTATGTATAGTTTACAACCTTTTATGTAAGACTAAGGGGGAACTAAGGATACACACACACACACACACACACACTCATTTTTACATAAAGAAACATAGGAATAATCGATCAGAAACTAATGACAAGATGTATCTTGAAAGAAGTTGTGTGGCCGATGTCAAAGAGGTTACTGCCTATGTTCTCCTCTAGGATTTTGATGGATTCCTGTCTCACATTGAGGTCTTTCATCCATTTTGAGCTTATCTTTGTGTATGGTGTTAGAGAATGGTCACATATTCATTCTTCTGCATGTGGCTGTCCAATTTTCCCAGCACCATTTATTGAAGACACTTTCTTCCATTGCATATTTTTTCCTGCTTTGTCGAAGATTATTTGATGATAGAGTTGAGGGTCCATATCTGGGCTCTCTATTCTGTTCCATTGGTCTATATGTCCGTTTTTGTGGCAGTACCATACTGTTTTGATGATTACAGCTTTGTAATATAGCTTGAAATCAGGCAACATGATGCCCCCAGCTTTGTTTTTCTTTTTCAACATTTCCTTGGCAATTCGGGGTCTTTTCTGATTCCATACAAATTTTAGGATTGCTTGTTCCAGCACTTTGAAAAATGTCATTGGAATTTTGATCGGGATGGCATTGAAGGTATAGATCGCTCTGGGTAGCAAAGACACTTTTGGGACTTCATCAAGATAAAAAGCTTCTGCACAGCAAAGGAAAAAGTCAAAAAAACAAAGAGGCAACCAACAGAATGGGAGAAGATATTTGCAAATGACACTACAGATAAAGGGCTGGTATCCAAGATCTATAAAGAACTTCTCAAACTCAACACCCAAAAAACAAATAATCAAGTCAAAAAATAGGCAGAAGACATGAACAGACACTTCTCCAAAGAAGACATACAAAAATGGCTAACAGACACATGAAAAAATGTTCATCATTAGCCATCAGAGAAATTCAAATCAAAACCACACTGAGATACCACCTTACACCAGTTAGAATGGCAAAAATTGACAAAGCAAGGAACAACAAATGTTGGAGGGGTTGTGGAGAAAGGGGAACCTTCCTACACTGTTGGTGGGAATGCAAGTTGGTACAGCCACTTTGGAAAACAGTGTGGAGGTGCCTCAGAAAATTAAAAATAGAGCTACCTTATGACCCAGCAATTGCACTCCTGGGTATTTACCCCAAAGACACAGATGTAGTGAAAAGAAGGGCCATATGCACCCCAATGTTCATAGCAGCAATGTCCGCAATAGCCAAACTGTGGAAAGAGCCGAGATGCCCTTCAACAGATGAATGGATAAAGAAGATGTGGTCCATATATACAATGGAATATTACTCAGCCATCAGAAAGGATGAATACCCAACTTTTACATCAACATGGATGGGACTGGAGGAGATTATGCTAAGTGAAATAAGTCAAGCAGAGAAAGTCAATTATCATATGGTTTCACTTATTTGTGGAACATAAGGAAGAGCATGGAGGACATTAGGAGAAGGAAGGGGAAAATGAAGGGGGGGAAATCGGAGGGGGAGACGAACCATGAGAGACTATGGACTCCAAGAAACAAACTGAGGGTTTTAGAGGAGAGGGGGGTGGGGGCATGGGTTAGCCCGGTGATGGGTATCAAGGAGGGCATGTACTGCACGGAGCACTGGTGTTATATGAAAACAATGAATCGTGGATCACTACATCAAAAACTAATGATGTATTGTATGGTGACTAACATAACATAATAAAATTAAATTTAAAAAAAAGAAACTAATGACGATAGTAACCTATGGAGTGGGTGGGAATAGGATGTAAGGGATTAAGCTAAGAGGAAGACTTCTCTGCACTGTATCATTTTACATAGTTTTAATCTTTGAAACTTATGTTTCACTTATTTTAAAAATATAATTAAATCAAAAAGGATTTAAAAATTTTAAATGTATAGAAAAAACATAGATAAATCCAACTGTATATCACACTGACAATGTAACTACACAGAAAGAATAATTCAAATAACTTGAATACAGCAATCTGAATATTCTTTAAGATATATTCTAAAACCAAAAAGACTTTTTTTACTCAAAAAATCTTAAACTCCATTTAATAGGTTTATTTTTTTATTGAGGTATAACTGACATACATTATATAGTTTCACGTATACAACATAATAATTGACATTTGTCTGTACTGCAAAATGATCACCACAATAAATCTAGTTAACATCTGTCACCATGGATAGTTACATAAGAACTTGTAAGATCTACTCAGTTAGCATTCATAGGTTTACTATTAGTTATAATAATAGTATGATTCCAAAGCTATTTTATGTATAATATAGGATAAACCAAAAAACATGCATTAATATTATAAAGAATTAAAATTTTCACTGCTGTAAAAAACAGAGGCAAACATAAAATTTTAGAGGTAAGAAAAACCTGCAATGTCAAAAATTTTAATTGGAAATATCAGTATTGATTCATGATTGAATAATATTAAATAATATATACGTATATATATGTGTGTGTAATCTGTGTGTTTCTTAGCTCTGTTCACTAAAAGTGCTAAAAGCCACAATATCCCAGTAAAAATAAGCACACCTAACACCAGATATCAGATCTTGGTTTCTATATACTGAAAGAAATCAGGGCTCCCTGATGAGACAGATGGCTAATTCCAGGTGTGGGGCAAGAAAAGCACAAGTAAGACTAAGACCATTTGTTGCTTTGGAAAACAAGAAAGCTGAAAGGTAAAAGTACTCCAAAGGACATAGGAGCACCCTTAAAGGAACCCTCTATCTCAAATCTGGGATAACTGAGACATTTAAAAAAAAAAAAGGTTAATAGATTATCATACATTAAATGAAAAAGGCCCATGCATCCTTAATGATACTCAAAAGAGCAAGAGAGAAAAGAGAAACTAAGGGAAATCTCTTTTCTATAGAAGAAAATCAGCAAGTAAACTTAGAAGAGCGATAAAATCAGAAAAATCATCACTTCAGGCAAAGATAAAAATGTATAAAAAATGATTCAGGCAAAGATTATCAACATATGCTAATATCTTTAACAAAAGGTAGTTGAGAAACAAACAGAAGATTCACAGGTCTCAAAACATCACCCGACAGATGACTCAGTAATTACAAAGGGAAAAAGGTACTTAGACAATGGAGAGATCTGGTGGCAACTACCTGAGCCAAGTGACCACGAATTCCTAACCTTGGGACAACCTGGTATTTTGTGTCTCTGATGTGATAGAGTGGGAAGAAAATACACCATTCATAATATTTATATCAAAAGTGTTTTAACCTGAATCTAATCACCAGGATAAAACTCAGACTAATAACACCCAGAAGCAGACCATTCTACAAGTCAACTAGTCTGGACTCTTAAAAAGGAGTCAATGTCCTAGGAACAAACAAATCAAAAGGGTGTGCTGTTCTAGATTAAAAGAACTAGAGACATAACAATAAATGCAGCAAACCTTAAGTAAGCCTCAATTAAAATAAAAGACCATAAAGATATTTGAGAGAATGGGGAATTTAAAACGGGCTATGTGAGATGGTATTATGGAATTACTAATTTTTCAGGATGATGGTTATGCAGGAGAATGATTTATTCCTAGGAAATGCAATAATGTCTTAGTGGCCTTAGTCTCCCCAGTCCCAGAACCAGGGTTGCACATGGAGACAATGACAAAAGGACATTACCTCATTCTAAAGGCAATCCCTCCATCCCTCAGCTGCAGAAAGCATGGAATGGAGTGACAATAATACTTAATTGATTAAATTCTGGACCCAAGTACAAATTCTAACTAGACATCTTGTTATAATCAAGAGAAAGGAATATTCTCATGTGGCGTTTAAATGACACTGGCAATCATTTTATTTTTACTCAGATGCTCCTTCATTTTCATTTTATTCCCACATATTTAAAAAAATTAGAACTATTTACCTTGTCGTGAATGGCCCGCCGATTGGAAGGCTGTATTAGGACTTTGTATCCCAGGTTGGCGATGCCTTTGATGTGCCGGGGAGCCAGAGGTGCTCTTCTCTCCCAGGCATTCACATCCTCCCGCCTCAGGGCCACCACCGCTTTGTGATGAAGCCCTTTGGAGAAGCTGAGCCCCAGCCTGCCCAGTTTGGTCCCTTGTACTCGCAGCATCTTAAAACCTGGTGACTGTAAAGACATCATAAGAGAACAGGACAACAAAAGGCAGGAGGGCTCACAGATCAGTTCTGGTCTCCTGAGAAATCGGCTGTAAAATCCAACCAACTCAGATGTAACAGATACAAGATAGAGAAAAGAGGAGGGAAACCTTGGGTGACATCAGGTGCTTCTTTACCCAACAAACCCAAATTTCCACTAGTGAGGTTATTTATTTCCAAAATAATAATTAAAAAAAAGTACTGAGCAAATTATAGGACACTAGCCAGTATTTGCCAAGCCGAAAGAGTTTTTTAAATATATGTTTCATCAAACGTATTCGGCACAAAAGTTTTAAGCATGTTAACCTACAATGCAAATACAGGAAGATAATTTATGCCAATTTTGATGGCATAAAGGTTGGAATCCTTTAATCGTGTGCAAGATTTTTGACAATCCAGCTCCAATCTCTTTGGAGTTTCATCTCTGACCATTCCCTAAACTAGTGCTACTCAAAGTATGTTTGGCAGCCTGTTGGTAGTCGGTGACTTGCTTTTTACTGGTCCTGGATGAGCTATGCACAGAAATAGAAGGTAAGCGCCTGGAAACCTTTATATCACATGACCATTTTTCTGTAATTCATTGTCACTGAATTTTATGAAAGTATTGGTCCTGGCAGATGGGAAATTTAAGAAAACAAAACAAACATGCTTCTCCATGACAGGTGTTAAAAGGTTAAGAAGCACTGTCCTAACCCTTCCTGAACCTTTTGTTGATATAAACATGCTGTTCCCCTTTTCAGGGTTTCCTCTCCATACCACTTCCTCCTGCTATGATATTAAACCCAGACCTGTCTCAACCAGTTTTCTAGCTGCTATTCCAGATTGCATAATTCCACTAATTTATTCAATCAAGAAATGTTTACAAGAGGCTTACTATGTGCCAGCACAGAGTAAATTTTATATAGATTTTTAAAGCATAAATATCAAACAATACTCTGTCCCTCTTCAAATAGTTACATACACTTGGCAATTTCAGATGATAATTTATGGATCATTTCAATGCTAAGCCTTAGTTTTTATGTTTAAGGCTGGCATCAAAATATAGGGACTGAATTTCACACTTTCTAGAAATTTCCTACCAATCACTGCTAACATACATCAAAATTCTTATGAACACATTTCTGTTACATCAGACTGCAATCTTCTAAATCAGACCCACTTTACAGATGGGGAAGTTTTGTCTCAACAGTGGCACATACAAGTACATTTCCAGGGAGCAACTACTTAACACTTGAAATAGAAAATGTATAGGTCAACTCACAACACAACAGACTAAAAGAACAAAGCTAACAGCAAGGAGATCAGCTAAGAAGCCTTTAGAAAGAGGGACGTAAGAAAAATAATGCACACAGCAAGCGAACACGCTGATGAAAGCAACTCAGGCTTTTTCACTTGGCCAAAATACTGATGAGCAATATTTTAGTAAAAGACTGCTATATACTCTATCTAATTTTTGGTTTATTTATACAGTTTTGTTTTTAAAATTCTTTTTTGAGAGACAGAGAAAAAAAGAGAAAGAGCATGTGTGAGCAGTGGGGAGGAGCAGAGGGAGAAAGAGAATGCCAAGCAGGCTCCATACTCAGCACAGAGCTCAACACAGCGCTTTATCTCACTACCCTGAGATCATGACCTAAGCAGAAATCAAGAGTTAGACACGAGCCACCCACGCGCCCCTATACAGTTTTGTTTTTAAAAGAGATTATATTATGCCCAAACTCAAGCCCAAGTCCATAGCACTTATTCTCCCCCAAACCAAAGGAAAAACTGCAACAATCCCATAGGACTTAAATCCCTACGGTTCTCAAATAAAACCAATTCCAAAGACAAGTGAGTTTTTTTGAACACACAAATGAGCCTAGAAAGGGCCCCATCTTCCCCACAGGGCCTATTTCACATACCATAGGTGACGAAGTGACCCTGCATCCTCTATTCTTAGTAGCAATTCTTGGAGCCAATATGAGGGAAGACGTTCAGATAATTTAGTGTCTCTCCTCAGCCCAAACTTGATTTATAATCACAGCCTCACCTTATTCAGTGACCATCCCTCCACTTCTTCCTTACCTCCCTTGTCTGGGGTAGGGGATATGGTGTGGGAGGAGACACAGACACATACACACATATAATACACACATATGTATTTGCAAAGGCAGACTTCCTGTAGACTAGAAAAGAAGCATACAGGGAGTGATCCTCTGAAGTTTCTTTGGGAAGCTGCTTTCACTTTCACTTTTTGTAGGGAATTCTCAAATCATAATTCTAACTTTGTTTTTAAATAAATATAACAATAATTACCATTGATTTAACCTTATATGCCAAACACTATGCTGAACACTTTCCAGACATTATTTCATTTCCTCCTTGCAAAAATCTTAGTAAGTAGATACTGTTATTATCTTCATTTTACAGGTGAAAAAACTGAACTGGAATCTGCCTAGAGCTGTTGCTTCTAAGCAGAAGCAGGATTCCTAAGTTAATATTTAACACTCAGGATTTTTCTCTTTGCCGAAGCCTACAGATCCACACCATGTAGATCTGATGTATCTTACTGCTGCCAGCTCATTTTAGAAATAAATTAGATTCATATGGCATCAACTTTAATAGAGTAAGTGATCAGTTATCTCCCCAGCATGGAGTGCTTCTATCAATCCCTTTCCTATGTGTCACTGAAAATCCTTCCTGAGTCACTGCCAAGGTAAATTCTAGGTTTCTGGGTGCTTAGAACAAGAGATTTAATTGTAGCAGGTATTACTGTGCTAGTAATTGTTTGAACTTCAAAATAATCTGGCCTCAACATGGAACTTTCCAGGGCCACAATTCATTCCATTCTAAGGTCATCAAGAAATCTGCAGTAGTGAGAATTTCTTAATTGCTCTTAGATAGGGCATGGCAGGTGTCTGGTATTTCATGGAAAAGCCCAGGTGGGCTGTTTTGGATTTCCCTGTCCTGAATTTTGTGGGCTTTTCCAAGAATATCAGGAAGTAAACGTGAGGTATATTTCTGACAACGCTTTCAGTGAAACAAAGCAGGAAGACCCCTGGCTTACCTACTGGCTCTAGTGAGACCACTTGACAGTGCTAATGACAGCCTGTAGGATGAGCAAGGAGGAGGTGGGAAAGCAAGAAAAGGACATGAAGAGACAAAGAAAGAATTAGGGAAAATAAGGAGGAGGAACAGGAGAAGAGAAAGGGTAGGAAGAGAAGTGTAACATAGTCAGTGGAGGGAAATAAGACCCTTCCCCTGACAATTTCTAAACAGTCTTTTTCCTTCAACATATAAAATGCCAATGTTCCTAGTATCATAAAAATGAAATTTAAAAGATTCTTCTCTATTTTTGTAAACCAAGAACAGCACTAACGTATACATTTTTAATCAGGAATTTGAAATAACTCTAAAAAGTCACAGGAGTATTATAGTGAATTGCACAGACATGTACTGAGATAGGAGGACAATGAGTGGATGGACTTAGCAATAGAACATACTCTACAATAACCACCGTACCTCTCTTTCCATCTTTCAATGGGAAAAAGACTTAAGAACTTCTTTTAATTTACAAATTACCTATCTTTGCAATGTATACATGAGAATGGGGCAGAGGGAGGACACCCTTAAATGTTCTTGGTATTTTCTAACCTTTTCAAAGAAGTGAACAGGAAAATGGTCATTAGAGATAAAGATGATAAAGCAAGCCTAGAATTCCATACATATCCCCCATTTTCTTTCAGTTACTATGAAATAAACCATGATCACTGAGTATATCACCATCCTAAATCACATAAAGGAACCAGAGAAGATTTTGTGAGATGTATTTATAAAAGATTACATCTAAGGAAAAGCTACCTTCAAGAGCAGAGGACCATAGCTCCATGGCATTGAGTCTTGGCCCACACTACATACTTGGTTTCCAGACCATAATAATCCTGGAGAGGCCCAAAAGGGTTCCAAATTAATAGAACACCTCGTGATAGCCTAGAACTGATCCAAATGCCTCTCAACCCCAAGGCTGGCTAGAACAAGGCTTGGGCAAGCAGCAACACCGTCCTCCAGACTTTCACTTCCTGTTGCATAGGTACATTCTTTTAATGCTTCCACATTAAACTCCTTATAAAACAGTTAACCATATGTTAAAAAACAAACAAAAACAGTAAACTTGGGGCAGGGGGAATCTACTAATATTAATTAATCTGGTCTAAGAATATTCATGTTTTCAAGCAGCTACTCAAAGTCATCCGAAGATCTAAGACCCATGACTCTTCTGGTCTTTAGCCCACAAATTTAGTATCATTGAGATGGAATGCAAAGTTAATTTTAAATTGGAGTCTAATCCAAAATGTTTATCTGCTTATCTGTCCTTTTGCTAAACTATAAATGCTTACTCTATGACCTTGGTACATCACTTGACCTTTTTGTGCCTCATCTGCAAAATGGATTCATATTAATATCTACCTCTCAGGGCTACTGTGAAGTTTACCTGAGCTAATATGCATAAAGTACTGAGTACTATCTTGCATGCCATTAATGCTCAATAAATGTCAAGAACCAAAGAAGGCCCCAAGCCTGCCTACTCCTCAAGGGTGAGCACAACCACACCACTAACAGAAAACACTACTTTCTCCTTCTCTTTGTTACACAGTAGTAAGGCCCCACAGTGGCTCCACATTGACCACCCCTTCCTCTTTCCATTTGTCAAGGAAAACAAAATGGAGCCCAGTAAGCCCTCTCCTCAACTTCACCCTTCCGGCCTAGGTGTTCAAGATAAATAACTTACCATTTTAATACTGTATTTCATTAAATTTATGACACATTTTTTCACATTTTAGCATCCCTGAAACAGGGATGTATTTTACGATCGATGGCATCTTAGATTCAATGAAAACAGTAATAATGTTATTCCCCATGCCAAATGTATAGTTTCTTAATTCCATAGAATTTTTTTGTGATCTCACCAAGAACACCTGCCACAGTTTGCAATGTTATTTCTATGAGATAATTAATAAAAGAATATTTGGAAAAATGACAACTTTTCTGTTAAAGGGGCACTGCATACATACCAAAGATCACTTCCAAAATCCTGAGCTGTTAAGGTCTGTTAAGGCTTAAAAGCTTGGGATGGGGAGAGGGAGGTGGGTAGGAGGATTCCATTGCAAATAAATCAAAATATAGTTCTGATAATGCTGTCACCAGTAGCAAATGAGATTGAAAACAAATACGATTTTCTGGAGAGTGGGAAAGTCACTAGGGAAAGTTGTTGGCCTAAATCTCTGTCCTCCTAACTCACTTTGCAGAATGGCACAAGTTTACACTGCCAGAAGGTCATATACCCCTAGATTCACTCATCTATGTGGAAAAGGGGGTGGGGGGGAGTGCAAATGACAAAATATACACGCAGAGACATATAGACATCCATGCAAAGTGCAACTTTTGTTTTTACCATAAAGTATATGAAAGCTACCACCTGAGTAACTGATCCTTCAGTCCCATGAAAAGCTACATCCGCATAATCACAGGCACACCTTCCTCACGTTTTGATAACTGATGACCCACAATATCAAAAAATGTTCACCTTTGTTCAGGTTACTGATCGCTCTCTCTCCCTTCGTCCCTTCCTTCCTCTCCCCAGGCCCCACTCCACTCCCACTCCCCTAAAATCAGTGTCTGAAAAGGACATCACTTCTCTAAGTTGTCAGGGCATTTAGCCCAACTCAATCGGGCAGAGTAGCAACGAACTGCGTCTGCTTGCGTCCCTTTCCCGCATAAGTGCTCACACTGGCCTCGCAGCCCCTGCAGGGTCTCAGGAGTTCAGGAGTCGCTGATATTCAGGGTGCCCAAATTTCTTACACCTTCTTGGTCTGTTACAGTGTAGCCAAGGAGCAGCAGTTTGCTGGGGGGGGGGGGGGGGGGAGTCCCCATCTCAAAGAGAATGGCCAACCCGAGATGGTCAGGGCTAGGCGTTTGTGATCAGAGTTTGGCTAAGCAGGCCAGAGCGGGAAAGGTCGACCGGCAACCGCGCACAGAGAAAGTTGGGGTTAAGGGAAAGGACTGCCCCCCAAAATCTCCATCAACCACACCCCGCAGCCAGCCGACCTAAATAAGTGTGCAGTCCGAAAATTAACAGGGTGTTCGTTCTGCAGCTTCCACACCTAACCTTTACTCCCCAGCAACCGCTCCCGCTTCCCCGCCAAAAAAAAAGAGAAAAGAAAAAAGAAAAAAAAAATTGATTGCCATCCCTTCCTTTGCTATTCAGAAATTCCAGAACTGCGCCGACAGCCCTCCCTCGCTCCAAGGGAAACGCTCGCAAGGGAGGCCCAAAAGCTCGCCACCCTCTCCCTTGCCCGTCCGAGCAACCGCTGGGTTGCGCCGAGTCGCCGGGTGGCCCGCGACGCAGGGCGTCGGAGGCAGAGCTCGCCCGCCGCTCTCGGAGGACAGTCGGAGCCTCGCCGGCGATCTCCAAGCGCCTCTCGCCGGCTGGGCCCTCCGCCCGTCGGCTCAGCCCCCTCCGGGCAGCCCTCCTCACCTCGTCCCCTCTGAGGTTCCGACCGGTCCTGCCGCCTCCGAGCTCCTGGGTCCGGATATGGAAGGCCCCGAATTCCCAGCAGAAATTGGGATGGGGGCCGGGAGGAGGAGGTGTTTGCTCAACTTCTGAGGACGTCAGGCCTCTTCCTCCCGCAGCCAATCAGCGGCCGCCCTGAGGGAACAACCTTCTCCTCCGCCAATTGGCGGCGCTGCCAGGTGCTAAGTCATGCCCTGCCTCTGCTCCTCCCCGAAAATCCTTCTGCCTTTAGATCTCTGACCTGCGTGCGTCCTTAGCTGGGGGCATCACGTCCTCCCAGGACAGTTATTGACCAAGTCTGTAACTGTCCGTAGCAGAGGACAGGCGGAGACGCAGAGGACGAAAATAGTACGGGCATTATACCTAGATAGATGTGTGTATCTCCTGGAAAGAAGTTGCGAACGCATGTCTGTTTGTTTAGCGATACACACTTTTCGAAGCGTTTCACAGCTTCATAATAAGCCTGTGAAGCCAGATGACGGTTCTTAGAACAGTTTTAGAGTCCAACAAACTGAGACTAGGAAATTAAATGTAGTGTATCCACATCCAATGAATATTAAGAATCTATGTGTATATGGCAAAGTCTATATTCTTAAAAAGCTTTAAGTGGCCCTAGAGGGACAGGGGGAAATGCACTTCATGAAGACTAGCCTCAGCACTAGAGGCTGAAGAAATGCCAGACGCCCATCTGTGGTCCTTTAGGGAGTCAATGGCCAAAAGGTAACTGTCCTTCCTATTCTTGTAACTTTCTCCAACACAGACTTTTCTCATACCTACCACAGATGTGTTTAACCATGAAACTCTTGTGTCAATAATCCAGAGCCTAGAACATTCTTATAAACTCCACTTGTACTCCAAGTGCAGAGAAAATTAAAATCTTTTCTGGAAGCTGAGACTGTCCTCTGTATCTCTAGCTTCACATACCCAAAATCATACTCCTAATCACTCCTCTCTAATCACTCCTCTCTTAAAGTCTTCCTTTTGTGCTGGGTTTCCCAGCTCCATTCTTGGTATCACCGGCTTCCTAATCACCACTGAGCCAGGCCTGAAACACCAAATTTGCTTCAGTTCTTCTTCCATCTGTCAACCTTAACCCTGGTGTTGACTCTGTCCTTTAAAATCCCTCTCCTATCACTCTCACCCAAACCCCTTTTATGCACTACCTAGATCATATTCCCTTAAGCACACAACTCTGATCATATCATTAGCCTGAGCAAAATCCCCTGAGACTATCCACTATCTGTAGACCATTGCCCCAAGTCCTTCACGCAACATATGAGTTGCTTCAAGATATGGCCCAAATCAGCCATCTCAGCTTTATTTCTATAGTAGAACCAGCCTTAAACTGACACTGAAACACAATCTGTGCTTTTCTATATCCCTAAGGATTAGGAGCCTGAATCAGAATCCTTACTTTTCCCCCTCAAGCTGTAAATCATGGGGAAGTTACTTCATTTTCAAAAAAGCCTAGGTTCCCTTATCTGTCGATAGAATAATACTAGGAACTACTTCACGGGGTCATTACGATAACAAAATAAGCTGATGTCCAAAGTGTTCTGCCAAGTGTCTAAAGAAACTGACAATTATTATTTCTCCCCCAGTATCTCATGCTGTCCACTTTTCTGTAATTCTCATTTACAAAAACGTCCACCTCTCCAAAACTAATCCATCCTTTAGGGTTCAGCTCAAATGCCACTTCATCAATGAAGCTGTCCCTGAATACCAAGCAGATCCGCTCTCTCCCTTCTCTCTCCGTCTGCCTCTCTTGTTGTACTCACCACAGTCTTCCTTATACAATAGCCATTTGTATCTAGCTTATCTCCATCTCTCACCTGTCCTCACTATCAGCTCATAAAACCTTTAATAAAAGCAAGTATTTATGTGTGTGTATATATATCCTTACTCACTTTTTCCCCATTGCTTCTAACACAATACTATGCATGTGATAGATCAGAGTCTCAGAAGGAAACAGATGGCACAATCCAACTGAGTAAGTTAGGAGACGTGAAAGGAGTAAGTATGTGCAGCAATAGAGGAAGGCAACAAAAAGATGCTGCCTTCCCCCCCAACCCCCCAGGGACTAGCAACAGTGAGAAGTACCTGCAGGCCTTCATGCGGCCAGGTAAGAGATGGTTACCAGAACTCAGAAAGAGCTCTAGCTGTGGTGTAGCTAAACCTATGGGGAGTGCCACTTGATAGTGGTGGCTTTTAGCAGGCAGGGAGCTGCCTAAGGAACAAAAAACTCCACCCAGAGGGAGCTACCTAAGGCAGAAGTCAATAAACTTCTTTCTGTAAAGGGCCAGAAAGGTCTCTGTCACAACACCCAACTCTGCCATTTGGAGTGTAAAAGCAGCCATAGACAATACTTAAATGGATAGGTGTGGCTGTGTGCCAATAAAACTTTATTCATAAGAACATTGCAGGGCAGATACGGACCAGGGGTCATAGTTTATAGACCTCTGGCCTAAGGAATGAATAACCTCCCTTCATTCTCCTACCCTCCCATCTCCTGCTGGTGCTATCTACAAATTGAACACAAGAAAAGCCAGAGGGTAGGTGTAGTCCATAAATGTTAGTCCCTCAGGGACAGAGCAGGTAGAGAAGGGGGCAGAAATTCTAGAAGATTCAAAGGAGAATATTCAGCACAAAAGGTTTTCAGCAAATGCTTGTCAAAATTAATGAATCATATGACTGGTTACTGTGAATTACTCTGCAAATGGTTGAACATTCATGGGAAAACTATCAAAATTACTTCCCTGAATAGACAAATTTGGAAAAGGGCCCTGGACCATGGTGACCCCACAAAGGGCCCATGAGGCTCAGTCAGCTTCTCTCCTGCTTTACTTTGAAACCCCATCCACTTCTGACCTGCCCTCACCTTGAAGAAATACTAACCTGTCCCCAAATTCCTCCTGTGTAAATTCCAAACTACTGCTCAAATGCTTATGGTATTCAGGAATTTTGCAAAATATGTGAATGAGAAATACTGTTCCTTAAAATGGGGAATTCAAATGTTTTTCATCATAGTGATATTTGTTTTAATAAATGTGACAGTTCTCAGAAATTTCTTCACAATGAAAAGGGGCAACAGATGAGATTAAAAACAGGACTTGGATATACCCCAAGTCAGCTCCCACAGTCAACCCCTCAGACACCCTCAATATGGAAGACCCCTTCTGCCCATGTGGGGTGCTAGGTTAACACTCCTAAATTAGAAAGTTGATTTGGGGCCATTCAAGCTACCTTTCTCCCACCTTCTTTGGCTTTCTTTCTTCCCTAATTGTTCCTCACTTTGGTTCTGTCCTTCCTGAAAGACCCTGAGGGTAGTAGTTAGGCATCTGAACACTGCAGTGAGCTGGACCTAGACTTAATCCTCCTTTTCCACTCACTAACAAGCCATTTTGTTTCTTCGTTTCCTTGTCAGGACAATGGGAAAAATCATAGAGTTCTCAAGAAGATTAAGTGAAGCATGTTCTCAATATATGTGAGCTATTATTGGTGCTCACTATTTTATTCTGTCTTATCTTCTCCTCCCCCCCCCATTTTTTTGTGTGTGTTCAGAACCCACTCTCAATCTTTTTTTTTTTTTAAAGATTTTATTTATTTTTTTGACACAGAGAGACATAGCGAGAGCAGAACACAAGCAGAGGGAGTGGGAGAGGGAGAAGCAGGCTTCCCACAGAGCAGGGAGCCCGATGTGGGACTCGATCCCAGGACCTTGGGATCATGACCTGAGCCAAAGGCAGACGCTCAACGACTGAGCCACCCAGGCGCCCCCCACTCTCAATCTTAAGTTAATTTTGCCATAAAGAGATGGACATTTGGAGGGAGGAGGTAGAAGCAATCCAGCATGCTACTAAGTTTGTTCTACTTATTTCTCAAGACCTTATATTCTTACATGAACAGCAATTTTTATTGTATCAGCTATAATCTGCCCACCGTAATAAATTATTCTATTATAAACACAAGCTTCTTGTAGACAGAAAGTGCAAAATCAAATGTACAAAATTAAAAAAAATAGTTTAGGAAGGCAAAGTTTCTAAATGACAATTACTATTGTTGCCTCCCCAGTTATCTTAGGAATGAAACATACCTACCTATCTTCAAGCAATTTAAACTGATCTGGTAAGGCAAAAGCAGGAACCACCCACAGATAAATCGTAATTCCTGCAAACAGTTTCTGAATGGAGATAGTGATGTCCTGGGGGACTGTTCCCCACTCACCCTTTTATAAAAAAGCAGAGAAATCTAATTCCTAGTTTACCTCCTCTACCATTAGCAGTCCTTAACAAGCATTCCTGAAGAAAATAAAATTCAAGAAAATTTCAAAGCTCCTTTGCAGTTCCAGCGTCAACCTTTACTGGTTTCTAATGTTTCACAAAGTCCTCAAGGGTCTTGGCATCCCGTGAGAGTTAAGTGTGTGTAGGTATACCTCAATGGGTGAGTTTGCTGCCCATCATCACCTGCTTAGTAACTGTTATTCGAAGTCTACTAGGACTTGCACGTTTTCAGTTACATATCATTGTATTTTATAAATTGGTTGAGAATTATAAGTTATAATAATATAAGCAAATTTGAGGAATGCAAATTTTGGAGTATATCTCCCTGACTAATGATGGATCTAATAAATTCAAATCAAGGAAGAAAACCCAGTGCTTTTCCTCTCAGTCTTGTTTGAATGAAAGTCTCAAGAGAGAATGTGACTTGAGGGACTGAGAAAAGATTGGAGAAAGGAGGGGATAAGTTATCAAAGTAAAAATAAAACACAAGTATAATTTTTCTGGCGTATCTGTAAGTGTAATTGAGCCAGAAACAACTAGCAGATCAGGTTTAGGAGGTAGGAGAGTCAGGACCTTCTCATTCTAGTCCCAGTCTGGGTCAGGTACTGAATGAAACCAATCTTTTACTGTTGTCATCTCACTACAGAGCTAGGAATGAGGGGGAAAAAAAACACATAAAATTTGGGGTTTTTGCAATATAAGAAGTAGCAGCTAAGAGAAATAATCTCAGCATTGGCAAGGTCACAGCAGGAAGCAGAAAATCAGGTGGAGAAAGTATCCCTGACATTGAACTGACTCTCATGATAATTGCCATTTGTATAGTTC